TAAAATCTAATGGTAAAAAATTCCACAAGATCGAATTACAAAAGTCATTTTATACATATATTGTTTCTTTAAATTTTGAATCTCTATATATTTTAATCTCTTAGGTTTGCATTCGAGTAGACAAATTGGAAATAATTAGTCAAATTCACATTAATTACAATTGTCAATGTGTGATTTTGTCACATGTTTTTTTAATTAATATCAACTTGAGAATATATTAAATACTTAGATGTATTTGTTCCTACAGGACACAAGTATAATTGCCCTTAAAATGAAAGTTAAGATTTTTTTAAAAACGACAATTTTGTAACTTTGGTAGAATTTCCGATCACTATATATTATTTTATACTAGAATTTGCACCGACCGCCATGGTGGTGGTGTGAATTGCTCCACTCTAATGTTGCACTGTTGGGCTTGCACGAACTATTTGGTGCTATTTCAGCCAGTTTTGCCAGGAAAAAAAAAATGTCTTCTACGTAGAATGTGTAAATATAAATGTTTTTTTTTTTGGCATTAAATTATTAAAATTTAGGATAAGAGATTTGTAGAGATTGCAAACACATGCTCTATTGGGGTTTTGGAATAATTTTAGAGAAGATTATTTCCCTCTCTTTCGATCTCTACTGTATTTGATTAGATTAGTTATGAGATTGAACAAATGAAAAAAAATTAAAAATAACATTTTAATACTTCATATACGTTGTAATATTGTACAACGTACTTGTATATGCCAACCTAGAGGCAAACTTTTTGCAAAAAATAAAATAAATTTTAAAAAACCAATAAAGTTAATATTAAGCACAACATTTACGTTTATTCAAAAAAAAAAAAAGCTCAACAGTTACGTTATGTTCTCGCCCATCTACTATAGGTGGATAGCTTTATCAAATCACGTTGATTCAAGTAATTATGATATATATGTTCTCTTATCCCCTTAAATTATCCTCTCTTATTCTACATACATCATTAGGAATGACACGTGTAACTTCTTGGTACTGTTGTTACCCTCCAAAACTCCCCCAACCCTTTTAGCAAAAAATCTTTTATTTTTTAGAAAATTTATATTATACAACTATAATAATATTCCAAATCTGATATATTATCTTTACATAAAATGTATATCTTTTATTTCGTGTTCTTAATTCTTCCATACAAGTTTACCTAAAACATTATTTTAACTCTTTTTTAATTATAGAAAAAGTGAGTCACTGGTTCAGGTACAGGGAAGTATCATTACTGCCTGGACATCTTTTAGCCGAAGTATTATTGAAATTTTGCCCTAAACGTAGTAATAAAATTAGTTCATATAATTGATATTAAGGAAATTACTTTAAAACAACACTTTAATTATTTTTTCAAATACCTCTAATATTTTGTTTCTTAGACTAATGGAGTATTACATGACAATATTGTTGGAATATTTAGAGTGTTGATGGTTGCGCGCTTGCGAACCATGAGTAGCGCCCGCGCTAGGTACGCGCGGCCGCGCTGAGTTCACGCCTAAACCACGGACCTCACTGGAATTTGGATTTTTGGAAGGGTGAAGTTGGCGCGACCGCGCGTCATGGATGGTGCCGCGCCTGTGGTTGCGCCTAATCCGCGTACCACTCTGCCTTCCTTTGTGAATTTCGCAAGTTCAGAAGAGGCGCGCCCGCGCCTGTCTGTTGTTCACGAAATTCTGACGGTTAAGTCTTTAATAAAAGGCTTGATTTTAGATTCGAAGTGAGATAGAAAAATTCTCTAAAACTCTCCAAAGAAATTCTCCACTCTTATTCTCTCAAATTTCTTGCAAACTTTTGTGAGAATTCTCTTGCAATTAATTCTATATTGTGAATTGATCATCTTTCATTGTTTCTTAGTGCAAAGAACATTGGGCTGTCTTTTGTATCTCAAAGAGTATTTCCGGATTAAACCCAAGCACCGTTGTGGGGGAAATTAAACTCTTTAGGAAAGTGTTTACACGCCTAAGACAGTGTATCAAGGATTGAGATTCAAGTGGTCACCGGTTTTTTTTTCTCATGTTCATGTTGGTTATTAAGGCTTGGAGTAGAGGCAAGTACATTATCTTTCACAATTAGTATTTTCTTTGTATTTTCTGTAATACTTCGATATTTTGGTGTTTGGTTGTAATATATTGAATTGTATTTGGATTATTGTATAATTTGATATTAATTATACACAATTAGGTTTTTTTCCCACAATTATTAAGTAATTCTTGTTCTTGAATTGCTGTAAAACCTAACAAATATAATAAATGTTGTGTTCGACAACTATATCATATGTCTAATTCTAGGAAAATGTGAAATATCAATCAATTTTTTTTTCTTATTACGTAATTAAATAAATTTATATCTTAGTAAATACAAAAAAAATTATTGACTTTTGCTAAAACATGTGATTGAGATGATAAATTTCTTACATTCGACATTATAAATAAGATGCATAGTAAAAGACACGTCAGACATAGTGACAAGTGACATCTTCTTGTGTATCCTTTTTTTCGATAAATAACTATCATCTACAAATAAATTTTTAAGGCAATAAACAAATAATGATTAAACTTCAATTATTAGATTGCTTCAAACACATTTAATTTATAATAACAAAGAGCGACGATATCATGTAGAGCATCAATTCATAAATAGAAAATGTACTATTAATAATATAGGTTAATGTTGTCTAATTGTTGATTATAATTGCCTTTAATGATCCGAGCAGTATTTATTTCCATTGAAATTATTTTATTGGATATAACGGTGATATATCATTTGTAATTTATGAATTACATGTATGTTGTGCTAATAGTTTTACTGTAGATTTTATTATTGTTTGATTGATATTTTCATGTTTATTAAAAGGCATTTATAACTAAGTCTTTAGTCATATAGTCACTAGATTGTATGTTTTATTGGGAATAATATGCATCATTTATGTAATATAATGTATACTGCTTTTAAATATTTTCAAGAAAACTAATCAACAATAAATTTTTATTCTCAATTGTAGTTTTAATAATTTGTGCGTTATTTTTTTATTTTCCTATATGCATTGCATTTTTTTTATTCACATGAGTTGTCTCATTTTTAATTATATCACAATTAATTATGGGAAAATAATTATTACTACCGTGCATCGCACGGACAATAATCTAATTATTTCATGATAAATAAGTTTTAATCTTGTAAGATAAGTTTCCGTTTGGGCAACAAGAGCTATCATAGTTAGATAAATTTCCATTTGGGCTAGTAAGTTTGGTAACAAGCTAACGTAATCAAAGTACAAGTTAAATTTATAACAATTGTAATAAGTTTAAATAAGTTAACGGAAGTGATTTTTTTTTTTAGAAAAGTTAATTCACGTGAAATTTAGGTAAGAAAAACACACGATTAGAAGGATCGTGGATATTTACAACCTAATTAAATATTGTCTTTACTTAGGAAGTTGTAAATCCTTGTAATGCATCTTATATTCTTATGAGTGCATATATGTAAAATCATAATTTATGAAATAATATAAGCCTCTAAATTAATCACTTTATAGATTTATACTACATATGGAGTTGGTAACAATTGATGTCATATATTTTTTTAAAAAATAAAAAATAAAAATAAAATTGATGTCGTATAATCATAATAACCAACTGGGTTCCATGGAGTAAAAAAATTATGAACACTTTCATCGCTTAGGATCTATTGTGTCAAATTGTTTTACACTTGTTTGAAAGAAATAAAAAAAAGTTATAAATAAGTTAAACAATAATCCATTCCACCTAAAATAAGACAATTCGATGTGTACTTATTCAAGTTCGATTCTAATAACGATTTCAAAATCACAATTAGTTATACTTGTTGTTAGAGGACCATCTCAACAAAAAAATTAAACTAATGGTTGAAGCCCAAAAATATGTTTTATACTCTATCACGCTCCCTTACACGAGAGCCTATTGGGTTTGATGTGTAGATGTAGCATGGGCCCCACTGTACCCAACGTTTAATATTCCACTTTGAAAGGAGGAGTAAATGAGATTCAAACCCGTGACCTTTGTGCCACGCTGGCTCTTGATACCATGTTAGAGGATCATCTCAACCAAAAACTTAAGCTGATGGTTGAAGCCCAGGAATATGTTTTATACTCTATCACTTGTATTTAAATTAGAGACTAAACACACATATATATTGTACTTCCTTTATTTCTAATTTCTGGTCTTATTTTAACAGTAATCGTCTCATATGGAGTATTAAAATTCAAAGTAGAAATACAGAGTAACATTTTAGTAATTAAAGGAATAGAAACTAGAAAGCATAAGGCATGAGGTCACAAAGTGAATTCCTTAATCCCCACCATCTACATTTGTTTGGGAGTAAAGAGATTCCATATCCCCCCTTTATTCTTACACATTAACCTATATAGTCGGACTGACTTAGCTTGCGAGAAGTTCTGGTAAAGTACAACAGGGTCTTTTCATTTTTATTTTTTTGAAAACAAATATTAAACTGATTAGGCATAGGGGCAAAAACTTGTACCAGTACCAAAGACGGATCCAGGGAGTGGCCAACCTATGATCCAAAAAACGTATAATAAAAGGCAAGGTCATTTGGCTGATTTGGTTTTAGCTCACATCTCATAAAATGAGGTTAAGAGTTTGAAGCCCAATGAGCCCATTTATTACTCTTTTTTTTTTTACTAATTCTTTTAATCTTTCTTATTTTTTGTCAATAAAATCAAACGTTAAATAAATTTTAGTTAATTTATACGTAAGCTTTAAAAATCTGGCCCGATCTATATAAAATTTCTAGATCCGTCCTTGACCACTACCGAGTACATCAATGTTCACTCCTTTTTATTTTTTAAACAGTCAAACAAAAATCAAAATGAGTGAGGACAAAAAATTGGAATAGAATAGAGCAGAAGCCCCTTAGATATAAAAGAAGTGAAATTACTCATTTGGGCCAACTTTTTTCCTGAAACAATGAGAATCTATAAGTATATCATTAATTATTAACATCCTCCTACTTTTATTTTTAATTTTTTATTACAAATTGATTTTTAAAATTTTCCTAAATTCTTCATTTGTCCAAATTAGAGGCCCTCTGCTTCTGTTCTTTCTGTTCAGTTCAGATAGATTTCTCCTCATTTTCCATCTTTCTCTCTCTAAACTTCAATTTTTTTTTCTCTTTCTTTCTGACAATAGAAAAAGCTTTGGCCTTTATTGTTGTTGTTCTTTCTTTGAGTTTAACTATTTAATGAAGAACTGACATTGCCAACTGAATTTGTAATTTCTCAACAAAAATGTCTCAGACTAACTGGGAAGCTGATAAAATGTAAGCTTTCTTACCACAAATCTCATCTTTTTTTCAACAAATTTCTTCTTTTTTCCTTTGTTTTTCACTATCTAACTAGCATGCGGTACCTTTTTATTTTTAATTTTTTCTTTTGTTTTTCTGCATTTTCTTCTGGATTTAGTATCTGGGCATTTCTAATTTTTCTGGGTTTTAGTTTTTTTTCACCAAAAATCTCATCTTTTTGATAATAATTTATGAGAATTGAGAAACAAATTTACTTTCTCTTCTTGATTTAGCTTCTGGGTTATTTTTAGTTTTCTGGGTTTGTTCAGTTTCTGCATCACATTGTTTCTGAATATATAGTTTTTGCTACTGTTTCAGTTTAGGTTTAAATTTAGGGTTTAATTTTTTGCAAATTTACAGTCTTATACCCACAAAATTCCCTCCTTTCTGTTTATCTATGGTTTTAGAGTCTTGGGAACTGTGTAAAATGGTGCCTCTTTAGTATGCATGCCTTCATTTCTGTGATTTTGTGCAATTTTCTGTTTGGTTTTAAAATTTTTGGGCTGATGAAGTGCCTAATTTCTATGGTTAATTTTGGTTCGAAACTAAATATAATGTGGGATTCTTGGAAATCACAGAATTGTTGTTTGTTAATTTCTGGGGTAATGGGGTTTATGTTAGATTTTTTTGCTTGTTATTATGATTTTAGGATTGAATTATTGCATCATTTGTGTTTTTAAAAAGTGATTGTTGGAAAATCACAGAAATAATGTTTGTTAATATTTGTAACTATCAGGTTAGATGTGTATATTCATGATTATTTAGTGAAAAGGGATCTAAAGGCTACTGCACAAGCCTTTCAAACTGAGGGAAAGGTCTCATCTGATCCTGTTGGTATGATTTCTTGCAAATTTACTGTTATTGTTTCTAGTTATTATTTTAGCTTTCAACACTTTATTTTTGAAAATTGAGACATGGTATTTGCAGCTATTGATGCACCTGGTGGATTTTTGTTTGAGTGGTGGTCCGTCTTCTGGGATATATTTATTGCCAGAACAAATGAAAAACACTCCGAGGTAGCTGCTTCATATATTGAGGTTGGTCTGAGAAGTAGTATGTGGTGTGGTTGCATCTTGTATTATGTGTGTATCCCATTTCGTGTTATTTCTTGATGTGCTTGATTGGCATGGGCGGACGGCCAATCTGGAAATAAACCTACAATTTTATTTAGGAAGCTATAGTAGAAATCTGGTTTGAGCTTCAATTCGTGTAAGTCTCACATATTGCAAAGGGTCAATACTATTAACTTTTCAGTAAATCTTTATTTGTGGTATGAGCCTGTGGTGCAATGTTTGATATCTACTACAAAGATGATAATTCTGTGGAAGCAAGACCAAAAATGCGTATTACTACTTACAAATTACAATGCTTTACTCTTTAAAAACTAATATTTGCCAGTTGAATTTCAAATGTTGATGTCATTAAGATTTTTGATGAATCTTCTTCACTGGAAATTTTTATGTCGCCTTTCTATAATGTGTTACAGCTGTCCTCTTGAGTAATGCTAACTGCATTGTAGTGTGCTACTAGAACTTAAATCTTAATCTGGACTTTGGAGCTTCTGATATGTCCCTGAAATTGTAGACTCAACTGTTAAGAGCAAGGGAGCAGCAGCAACATCCTCAGAGCCAGCAACCGCCTAATATACAGCAACAACAGCATTTGCATATGCAACAGATACTGATGCAGAGGCATGCACAACAACAGCAGCAACAGCAACAGCAGCCGCAACAACATCAGCAGCAACAACAACAGCAACAACAGCAGCAGCAACAACAGCAACAGCAGCAGCAGCAGCAGCAGCAGCAGCAGCAGCAGCAGCAGCAGCAGCAGCAGCAGCAGCAGCAGCAGCAGCAGCAGCAGCAGCAGCAGCAGCAGCAGCAGCAGCAGCAACAACAACAACAGCAACAGCAACAGCAGCAGCAGCAGCAGCAGCAGCTACAACAACAACAGCAACAACAATCCCAAAGAAGAGATGGTGCTCATCTCAATGGCAATGCTAATGAGCATGCAGGAAATGATCCTCCTGCTCGACAAAATTCTGGCACTGCAAATGCCATGGCGACCAAAATGTACGAGGAACAATTAAAAGTGCCCCAACAAAGGGACTCGTTAGATGATACATCATTAAAAGTAAGTTGTTCCTTTATATCTTCATGTTTAGTGTTGTGGATTCTCTATGATAGTCTAACTACAAATGCACTTCTTGCAGCAGCGATTTGCTGATAATGTAAGCCAACTCATGGATCAGAATCATGCCACTATACTGAAATCAGCTGTTGCTGGCCAGCATTCAGGGTCTGTCTTCTTCTCTTTCCCTCTCCTTTTTGATGATTGGTTAAATATTCCAGCTTTACATTGTCATGATCTTGTTTAATGGAGTGCTAATTATGTAGATTGGCATCAGATTATCATTTTCCATCTAGTGAATTGGTTTGAACATATTTTCTCGATGTTTGACTTGGTAGCGTTGCAATTTTGTTATTTTAAGTAGTGTTGTAATTCTTTGTTAGCTATATTCTAGACTTCGCTGGTCTGGTTTTAACCTTTGATCTTGGTTCTTTGTCAGTTCTTTGTCAAGTGAAAGACCTTTCATTTTGCCACTCTTAAAAATTGAATTATAAAGCTGTTTACTTGGCCATTCTTCAATGTATTTTGAACAATAATATGATTCTGTTGATTTGCTATTTGCAGGCAAGTTTTGCATGGTTCATCTGGTGGTATGTTTCAGCAGATGGCATCTCGTAATCAGCAGCAGCCGGGGTCTGTAGCAGTAAGTCTTCTTGCTTGGTTTCCTTCCTAAACTGCCTTTGCAGTGCTCTGCAGTTGACATGGTCCAGTACTTCCCTGTTTTTGAGTAGGACATAAAGACAGAAATGAATTCATGCTTGACTCCTCGAGCTGCTGGACCTGAAGCATCATTGCTAGGTATTCCTGGTATTGTCTGTGATACCCTTGAATCGAACTAATGTATTATTGGCTCTTATAATACTTGAAATGTTATATTTCTCTTGGATACTGCTCCTACTTGAAGGTGGCAGTTTCCAACTTTATTCTACTTTGATCATGTAGCTGTGGTCTGGTGGCCAATTCCATGTTTATTTGGCTCATGTATTACGTTAACCTCTTGAATCAGGTTCAAACCAAAGTGGTAATAATTTAACATTGAAAGGATGGCCACTCACAGTAAGTCTTTGTTCAAATTAATTTGAGTCGTCCATTTATTGTTACATTTGCTCCAGCCTTATAATTATACTTGTAGTTATTGCAGTGTGTAGTTGTATATTGTTAGAGTGTGTACAGTTGTACACAGTTGTCATTCTGATTTGGTATTTGTGAAGGAGCCCATAATTGATTCCTGACCATATTGTCCGCTTGTTAGGGATTGGATAATCTTCGACCTGGGCTTCTCCAGCAGCAGAAATCGTGTATGCAAACTTCTCAACCCTTTCACCAACTTCAGATGTTGTCACCACAGCATCAGCAACAACTTTTGCTTGCCCAACAGAATTTGACATCAGCTTCAGCAAATGATATGGAAAGCAGAAGACTCAGAATGTTGTTGAATAACAGAAGTATGAGTTTTGGGAAGGAGGGATTTCCAAACTCTGTGGACATGGTCGCAAACCTCGGATCACCCTTGCAAGCTGGTTGTCCTGTTGTACCCCGTGGAGATGCTGATATATTATTAAAGGTAATCATTTTCTGCTTGGATTTTTGTCGATTGGTAGGATTCGTGCCAAGCAAGCTGTTCTAGCTAATGATTTTCTCCCAAGTATTGATTTTGAAAATTTTGAGTACTAAACTAAATCAACATTAAATTACTAGAACTGCTATTCAAATATTAAATATATTACTTTTTTTTTAACAATATTAAATACTTCTTCCGTTTCTTTTTAGATGACATGTTTAATTTAGGCACTCACTTTAAGGAGAGGAGAGAGAATGTCAAAGCAAGTGGGTAGACCATGTGCTTAACTTATTTAATTAAGTGTGTAGTGGAGTCAACTAACAATAAACTCCCCCAAAAGGAATCTGTGTCAACTAAAAAATATTCCCAAAAAGGAATACATGTCAACTAAAAAAATAAAAATAAAAATCGGAGGTAGTATATTACTAAACCATTTCAATTCTTAAATTTCAGCTCAAATGATATTACATATTGCCCTTACTGAGGCTCCATCTTAGAACAGGGTGAGCTGGTGATCAATTTTTTGTAGCCTTACCAGTGTGAATGTTATTAAGGCTGTTTCATGAAGAGCCTTGTTTTTCAAGGGCTCACAAGACAAGGCATGCTGAATAATTGTCAAAGCCTAGTAGTGTGTGTGTTGGTGAAGCATGTTTAATGTCGGACATAAGAGGCTTATAATGTACCCAGTTGCCTGTAATTTAGTACTCCCTCTGTCCTTATTTGTTTGCCCCATATGGCTTTCATGGTCTTCAAGAAACATCTTAAAACATTAATATCTCCAATTATGTACGCATGCAAATTATAAAAAATTAATACTCTTAAAGTAGATGGTGAAACAACATGATCCTACATGACCAAATTATTTCTTACGAAGTATAAATTAGTGAGAATTTGCGGTCATAGTTTTGAAGTTTGACCCCAAAACATACAATGGTGCAATTATAAGGGACGGAGGGAGTATGTAACATCTTATGGTGGAATGGATGCCTTAAGTCTTAGTTAAGGTTGTTGTGTAACCAGTGCTTGTCTCTGCGGATCTAACTCTTCGCGCTTGTACTATTTTCTAGATGAAAATGGCTCAGTTGCAACATCATCATCAGCAGCAACAGCAGCAACAACAAATTAGTCTCAACCAGCATCAGTTTCAACAGCTTCAGCAGAATGGACTTTCTGGTCAACCTTCTCAAGTTTCAAATCATGTTCTTCATCAGCCTGACAAGATTGGTGGAGCTAGTAGTATTACCATGGATGGTAGCTTATCCAACTCGTTCCGAGGGAATGATCAGGTCTAATATTTTTCCTAATCCAATGTTGATTTAACTCTACGTGCTTCCTCAGAGCTGTTAGTTTAAGTAGAAGTGTCAGTAATAATTGGAAATTTCTATTATATTGTATGCAATATTTAATTTGATCATCTTGTTGGTGCAGTAGTACTGGCTTTTAGTTTTGAAGGAATATAATACCTTTGATTCACAAACTACTTAGCGAGTATTTTCTTTCAGATACTTAGAGTGAGTTCATCTTTTGATCTAACAGATGTAAACAATGATGATTATTACAGTCTACAATGTGAAAGACAGTAATGACATTTCTTAAATTATGATGGTAGCATGGTCAATTACCTTTGTAATTGTATGCATTCCTAACATGATTTTAATTTATTAAGGCTTCAAAAAATCAGAATGGGAGAAAGAGAAAGCAGCCTCTATCATCTTCAGGACCTGCAAATAGCTCTGGAACTGCAAATACTGCTGGACCTTCCCCAAGTTCTGCTCCTTCAACCCCCTCAACTCACACAGCTGGAGATGTGATGTCAATGCCATCCTTCCCTCATGGCGGCAGCACTTCAAAGCCAGCACTAATGTTTGGTACTGATGCAACTGGAAACCTTACATCACCATCAAACCAGTTGGTGAGCGAATTTTAATTATGTTTTGCTGATAGGCAATATTTAAGGCATTGCACAACCTCTCATCGGCATTTCACGCCAGCTCTAAGATGGCAAACATCTGGAGTTTCAGGTTGATGTGGAGCGTTTTGTGGAGGATGGGTCTCTAGATGACAATGTAGAGTCATTCTTATCGCCTGATGATGCAGACCACAGAGACTCAGTTGGCCGTGGCGTGGACATAACCAAAGGTACGTTGGAATCATTGATTTGCAAACTTCACATCCCACTGTTTCAGAATATGAAAGAGGCATTTGATTTAGTTGTAGTTGCTGAAAATCTAACTAGTGATAGACAACAAATGACATGCATTTCCTGATGGCTTTCCTCCATCTTTCTTGATGCCCGTACATTTAATCGTGAAATCTCATATAATGTTGAATACTATTGTTATAATATGGCTTCTACATTCTGGTCATTGATATCTTACTAGCCCATATCTGAACAGAATGTCAGCCTTGTATGATAATTATTCATCTCAATATGGCTACCTTAAAATTTAGCCACTAGGGAAGATTTATTGCCGAGTTCTTATGTAGATTTAAACAAGTCTTCACGACTCTGATTTTATGTCACTCTGGAACAAGTTAAAATCTCTAGGAATTGCATGATCTGGATTTCTTGCTATCCATATTTATATGACTTAAGTACATGAGCTGAAGTACTTGTATTATCATTGTTACGTATAGAATCAGGGGCTCACAAATTGTGCTATTAAACAGTATAGTAATGCTAGACAGAAAACAATAACGAAGAACGTAAAAGAACTCAAGATTAATTTCTCTCGGAAAACCTCTTATGCATAGAGTTCAAAGGGCGACATTATGAATAATAAAGCATTTTTTGTTTTCCATCCCTCTTATATCTGTGAATATTGTGTTCACTTACTTAGGTATGGAAGTTGGTTGCTTCCTATGAGAATAGTAGGTTGATTCTCTAGAGCAGGGAAGTGCGTATGCGCAAACTGTCTGATCGCGGAGTAACTTATTCGTTTAAAGATGAATACCTGTTTTAAGATTGTGAATTAAATTCATTTAAATTCAAGATAAATTTCACTTATGTTAGGGTTGGTGTGTAGTGGAAGCAAATTAAAGATGTAGAGATTGAGAAGTATAATTAAAGAGAAATAAAAGGCAAGAAAAATAGTAAAAGAGGGACAATATTTAATGCAAGAAAAATCAGCAAATAACCCAGGACGACGAGCATCCAAAAATAATTTTTGTTTGTGTAATGACAATTTTTGTAGCTTTCCATTGTTTTTTTATTTTTAAAATGAATTTGTATGTTTTTATTTTTGAGCCTTCTGGGGAATTGTTTGAGGTAAAGCCTCCAAAGCTTGAAAAACATCCACATACGCTATAGCTTGAAAAAGCATTCATATACGCTGTAATTTGAAAACACATACGTTCGTATACATACATTAAAGTTTGAAGAATGTCCACATACTTTGGAGCTTGATTCTTGCCCTACATTACTTTTATAACCATTCCTTGATTGATTGTTTACTGTTTTTGCCGTTACAATTTATCTTATATAAGCAAGACATGTTTTACTTTCTACCAGTGCAATGTTAAATTTATTATTACCAATGCAATGTTAAATTCACTCTCCTCTTGTTTCGGGTCACAACTATCACTCCAACTAGTTCTTTATGAGTGCACACAATCTACCGTTGTTTTGTTAACACCGTAGAGTGTCAGCACAATCATCTTTTAGGATCCCATATCACTTCAAGTAGTAGTCTTGTCTATTATTCAAGTAAGATCGTTCCTGTTTGTATTTAATTGTGTGTGGATTAGCGCTTGTAGATTGTGTGCAATCTCAAATTTTCGGTTGAACGGTTGTCACTCGGATCAAGAGGAGAGTAGATTAAACATTATATTGGTAGTAGAATGAAAAGAGAGTGAAATGTGTGCTTATATAAGAAAAATAGTGACGACAAAATTTGTAAGCAATCAATAAAGGCATGATTATAAGAGTAATTTGGGATAAGAGTAATTTGTAAGCTACAACGTATGTGACATTTTTCAAATATAATGTAGGTAGACATTTTTCAAACTGTAACATATGTAGATTTTTTTCAAGCATGTATGTGAACAATTTTCAAGCTTTTAAGGCCTTACATCTAAAAATCCTCCACAAGGCTTAAAGGTTGAGAAGAACTAAGATGACATGATTCAAGTTGATTTTAAAAGAATAAATGCCTAGTGTAAATGTCTTCGGATTTGAATTAACATTGTCTTAGAAGTAAAAACCACCAATTTTTACCAGGACTTTAATCAATCTGTACGTGATGAATACAAAACACTCAAGATCTTTCTCAATCTCAGATAATATAAGATCCAAGTTTAATAATGTTTTCCTCTCTGAGTACACAATGACTTTGCCTCATATAAACACATAAAGTCTCTTCTTCTACGGGTTCTCGCACCTCTTCTTCTGGGGTTGCATAGTATGACAACTAAGACCATTAGGGCACAAATATAAAGTTTAGGTTGAATACATTCACGCACTTGGGAAAAATTAGGAACACTGCCAGATGATTGTGGCACTTGAAGTTTTGGGCTGCCGATGCCTTCTAGGCTACCCATGGCCTTTGCCTTTTTCTCACACCATAGCTTGACATTGGCTAGCCTTCACCGACTTAGGTAGGTTGTGGTCTACCTTTGTATCTTTCGAAACTCTTATAGAGTTATAGACCTGTATAATTTCATTTATGCTATATCTTTCGAAACTCTTATAGAGTGACTATACGGAACAATCACTTTGGTTCATGTAGCTGACCCAATTATGAGATTAAGGCTTTGATTGACTCATGCCGTCTCTACTATCACCACTATTAGATACTTAGCTAACACTTGAACACAACAATCTCCCACTTGGAGATAGTTCGTATGAAGAATGCCATCATCATCACCAATTCACCATTACATCCACCTAGTACAAACCCGCTTTTTTACCTTTTGCTTCCTTTGAGGTCTTAGCTCAACCTCAAGTCGCCATCATCATAGGGCTTGTATAGACAATGTTACGTCTGTTTTCAAGGCGCGAGACTTGGTATCACATTGATCATGTGAGGGGTTATATAAGACAATGGGCTCTCCTCCATTTAAGCTAGCTTTTTGGGATGGTTTTCCTAATGTCCTATATCATAAAATCTTTTTTTGATCCCACATGAATAACACACGCATTTCATGACTTACACTTATCATACTCGTGTGCCTTTTTGGTTTTTCAATCGACGTTTTCTATAGAGACACTAACTTTACAACTACGTTTCTCTTTCACTTGCCACCCTCTTTTTGGGGTTGCATTATATGACAACCAACACATGTATTTAGAATAGGGCGTAGATTAAATTTAAAACTTTGTTAGAATAGGGTTAACACGTAGAGGGAAAATTGGCACTTGGGGTTGTTAAATGGATGTGGCAACACCCGTCACGAATGTCCAATTTAAAAGGTTTAGGGGCGACCCTCCTCATTGCCATATGGTTTTGAAGTGGAACTTCTTTGGACTTCACAGATGTGGCCCTCATCCGTTTAACATGTTATTGGAGCCCTAGTTGGCTTTAGTTGTGAAGTGGCAATGTTATGGACAATTCGTATGTGAGGGGATGTGTTTGAGCCCATGAACAAACCCACATGTGAGTGGCAGTGTGGTCCCATATTTAATTTAACGAATGTAAAAAGTGAGGAGTGTTAGAGTGTGTTAAGTAATGAACAAGCTTAACAATAACCTAAAGTTAACATTATGCTCACTCCATAATGCTCATGAAGAACTTGTTTAAGTATATAAGTTTGTTCACGCTCCATTATAACTCGGTCAAGGCTCACTTAAGCTCTAAAAATCTTTATCATATTAAAACTACTTTAGTATAATTATATAAACTCTTACATATTTGTATACAATTCAAATTATTTCATCCTATATAGAAAGAATGGAAACGTCAATTTAAATGGATGCATTGAAACTTAATGATAAATTAGGGCTTGGTTATTCATATATCAAATAATGATAATTTAGGGCTCCTTTATATAATTAAGCTTATTGTAGCTCATTTAAGCTCGAGCTTAAACTCAAAATACAAACGTGTACGTTCGTGAACAAAGCTCGAACAAGTTTACCAATCCCTAACTTTAATGATAAATTAGGACGCGTTTTCAATGCCTAACTTTGACCATTAGAATCTTGTTTGAGCTTAAACTTAGTAATTTTCCCCACATATAATGAACTTGCAATTTTGCAGAACTTTGATTACTAGGTTCTCAAAGTGGCAATCCATTGTCTCTGCCATTAAAAAAAAGGAATATACTAGTAAATTTTAGGGGATTGTAAGTCATTCGCTCTACCAAAGTATATATTAACAAGACCATTATAGTATCCGTTTAAGAGATACAATGCAAATATGATGTAGTTGTTTGGGGGACAACTTTCTAGGAGGGACAAGTTGATGCACGAAACATAGGCATCCTTTGCCTATCAACTAACAAAACATAGCAACATTAACAACGCTGATTATTAGATCAAAAGCACTAGGGCGTTTAAAACAGTAATTGATTCCACAAACTCTTGCGCTTACAAGTCCTTTGTTCTTAAAGTTGTTATGCAGATTTTTCCGATAAGTTTCTAGCTCCTCTACTAAAACAATTGTTGCACTTCAAACCTAAGATTCCACATACACTCTTGTAACCAATTTGACACACATTCATATTTGAAACTACAAATGGAAACTGTTTCTACAGTACTGATCTCCGTTGAAGGATGTCATCACAAATAAGTGAGATAACTACGATAGAAAGGACTGATTGAGTTATTTGCAAAAGAACAAAAAAAATGAAGAAATCTGATTGCACCCTCTCTTTGACAGAGAAAGGACTGATTGAGTTATTTCAATTATTTGTGATGAAATCCTTCAACGGAGATCACTACGGTAGAAACAGTTTTCATTTGTAGTTTCAAATGTGAATGTGTGTCAAATTGGTTGTGAGAGTATATGTGGATATATCAGGTTTGAAGTGCAACAATTGTTTTCAGCAAAGCGGATGGAGTTTTATCGAAAGAACCTTTGTAACAATATTAAGAATAAGGGAGTTGTAAGCGCATAAGCTTGTGGAATCGATTATTGTTTTAGATGTTACTAGTTTTTTTGCTATAATAATTAGTGTTGTAGATGATACTGTATTTTGTTGGTTGATGCCCAATAGATGCCTATGTTTCATGTATTAACTATTCCCACCAGAAAGCTGTCCCCCAAACAACTATGTGCATTGTATCTAGTAAACAGATACTATAATGGTGTAGTTAATGTATACTTTGTTGGAGGTAGTGGCTTAGAATCCCGTAAAACTTGTGTATTTATTTTTTTTAAAGGCGGTGACGGTGGATCGTCATTTTCGGGGATTCAATGAATAGACCTGTTCAATAAGGCTCAGGTTGCTATAGGCTGCAAGTATTTGCGAGGAAAGATTAATGAGGTTAAGCTCGAACAAGGTTTTTAAAATCTCGATAGCTTTAACACTAATATTACTTATCAAGCATAGCTCCAATGGACTAAACTCGCCTGTATGTGTATCCGACATTGAATAAATAAGATTGTTGTGTCCACTATATAAGGATAAAAGGCTACTCCTTTCCTTGCCATATGGTTTTTAAGTAAACCTTATTGGACCGATAAAGTAGACATAACTTTCTTATTTGTTCAATGTAGATTAGGATACACATTCCGACACTCCTCCTCACTTTTACATTAGACCGCATGCACACAACTTCACATTTTGGGCCTAGCCCATACAAATTTGTGTTTTAGATCCGTACTTAAAAGGCCTCATACTAGTTGGAGTGTGCTCCCACTTATATGGAAGTCGTCTATTCTTTATGTTTACCATGTGGGACTTGGATAGCCTACCCCAACAGTTGTTGTGGGCTGCATGTTGCTATTACCTTTTTCTCTCGCCATGACCACAGCCTATGGTTAGCTTTTGTCGCCATGGGTAGGTTGTGGCAACAGTATTTGGATAAAGGAAAAGTATGCACAATGCACACTATGCATTCAATGAACATCAAGCAGGAAACCAAAGATCTTCAAAACTAAAACATAAGAACATAAGCTCCAATTAACATAACATCATCATCATAGTTGTAGCTCTTATGTTCATTGGAGCTATTTATTGTGTTATTTGGTTTTAGGCTTGATGTTCATGTTGCGCATACGCCTTAATCATCATATTGCGGTTCTTCTACGTCTCCCAAAATCTTTATTCTTCCATCATAGATTCATACTACGTATTAGCTATCTCCACACTAAACCCCTAACAATAACATCCCTATAATCTGAACATTTAAAAGTAATAACACTAACTCTCTATTTTGAGAAAGTAATCGTCCAAACCTTTGAATGATCACTTGCACTTCATTTCCTTTCGAAATTGATGTATTGCCAAATTAAGAAATTAAACTAATAATTATCTTAAAATAAGTCATACCCACTTAGCAAGTATAGCATCTAGCCAACTATGTAGCGTCATGTAAAATTCTAGTTCCTTTTTCAGTGTCTCATAATGAAATCTTGATTTGATCAGGCTAACGTAGGTGCACAAATTCTATCAGCTTGGGCATAGTTTGAACTTTGAAGTAGTATCCGCTTAAATTAAACAAACCAAGTGGCAAGATTTATATCGTTGCTTATCAGTTAGTTTGGCGATTAGTCAGAGCCTCAGAGGTTAATCTAATTCTGCTAATCTGTCATTGCTTCAGGATTTATGTTCACAGAAGTAAACTCTGTTCGAGGGAGTACAGGCAAAGTAGTCTGTTGTCACTTTTCGTCAGATGGAAAACTCCTTGCCACAGGTGGCCATGATATGAAGGTGACTATTTAAATAAAAGTGGGCCAAATAATTTATGAGTTAAAATTTGCTTATTACTAAATGAATTTGACTTTACTGAAATATGTTAAAATTTTCATATAGGCTGTGCTGTGGCATGCTGATTCATTGAAGCCCAAAACTACACTTGAGGAACATACAAAATTGATAACTGATGTCCGCTTCAGTCCTTCAATGTCACGCCTGGCAACTTCATCCTTTGATAAATCTGTCAGAGTTTGGGATGTGGAAAATGTTAGTGCACGTTTTCATCTTGTTGTCTCCTCACTGCAAATTGTTATATTATGTTTTGGCTCCTCATTCAATTTATCCCTGTGTTTTTCTCGGCTTGATCTAACAAGTATCCTAATCCTATATTTTAAACGCCAATTGATTTTCATGCTGTTGGCATGTATTTATATGTAAGGTTGAATTTGCAAGAATTAATTATCTGGCGATCTATGCTGTTGACTCAGAACTCAATGCTTCCTCAACATAAGTAGTTAATGTTAGGCTCTGACAATTTGCAGGTGACATGAAACCCACATTTTGTCTCAGAATACATATTGGGATAATACTAAATCATGTCATCTGGCTGAAGCAGTAGTTGTTCTGCAGGTCAAAATGCCTTGTAACTTAGATGCCTTCTCTTTGAAACATGCTAACTTCTCATTTATTTCAGTTTTCACTGGCAATACTATGAATGGTCCAAGGAAACATAGATGGACCCGTTGGCTTGTTAATGGTTGAAATGACAATGATAGATTTGTTTGTATCCTTATCTGCCATGCTTACAAAGTCTATGATTGATTGTTGCATGCTTAGTTTTACTCTATAATATGTATTTCCCTTTCCCTGTCCTTGGATTGTGTTTTGTTTACAGAACTGACATTTGTCTTCTTCTGTGTATTTAGAACCTATAGCAATTACACTGATGAGTAAATATTGTATTTTCAGCCTGGCTATTCGCTTCGTAATTTTATGGGACATTCCGCCACTGTCATGTCTCTAGACTTCCACCCTAATAAAGATGATCTCATCGGTTCATGCGATGGGGATGGTGAAATCCGCTATTGGAGTGTTAACAACGGAAGCTGTGCCAGGGTCTTTAAGGTGAAATACTGTTGAACCCCTCAAATTTGATACCTCTTCTGTCTTATTGTAGTTTGTAGTTGTCCTCTATAAGAAATGCAAAAAAAATTGAGGATACATCAAGTATTTGTGATTTGACCCACTGTCATTTACATGCAAGTTTTGACTATTACTCATTCAAATTTGTGGTATAATGAAAGCTTTTGCTTATTATTATTACTGTATTATTATTATCAACTTTTGAGCATTCAAAAAGGGTAAAGTTACATCATCATCTTGACAACTTTTGAGCATTCAAAAAGGTTAAAGTTAACAATTTTTATTGGATGGAGGGTTATCAGTCTTTTGCCCCTCTCTTATTATTGTTGCTATGGAGGACATTGCTAATTAAGATTATAATAATGACAACTCTTTCACAATATATTTTATGCAGGGTGGCAGCACCCAGATAAGATTCCAGCCCTGTCATGGAAGATATCTTGCTGCTGCTGCAGATAATATTATATCTATACTTGATGTGGAGACGCAAGCTTGTCTGCACAGATTACAGGTTGGCCTTTATGTTTAAGATTTCAAAATAATTTAACATTAAGACTTCAATGGTGGTTGCTATTTCCTAATTTTGTGGATGGACTGTATAATTTTTAATGAAAGTTGTTCCGCGGTCCCAGTTATTAGATTTTCATTTCCTGGTTAGAGTTAGAAAAGGGATAGCTTGTGTGTTTATGCATGCTTTGATGTGTATATAATAAGCTGCAGACATCAAATGTTTGCGTTGTTTTTCCTTGCATATCGTGGCATGTGAAGCTTAAACTGCATGATTTTCGTTGTAGGGGCACACAAAACAGATTCATTCTGTTTGCTGGGATCCCTCTGGTGAATTCTTGGCTTCTGTCAGTGAGGACTCTGTTAGAGTCTGGAGTCTTGGCTTAGGAAATGAAGGTGATTGTGTGCACGAGCTGAGCTGCAATGGAAACAAGTTTTACTCGTGTGCTTTCCATCCTACATACTCTTCTTTACTGGTGATTGGATGTTACCAGGCAAGTGTCTAAACTCTAATATCATTCTCTGATGAATGGGAAATAACAAATAAAGAAGTGGGGGAAAAAAATTATATACGAATTTCATCAGTAGGAAAGCATAGTGGATTGAACCCAGGTTTAGCGCTCCCCATTATATTTCTTGGCAATTATCACTGAACCAAAGAGTTTATATGAATTTTAAAGATAGTCAACAAAATAGATTGTTAATCAAATAATATTTGTGGGGATACCGCGCCCCCTAGCTCTGCTAGTGGTTATCCAGAAACAGCATTTTATGAGAAGTGGAACTTTCTTTATATCCTCCAAATTGTTTTGAATCTAACATAATTATTATCCTGTTGTGGGTTTTTGTAGTCTATGGAGCTTTGGAACATGTCAGAGAACAAGACTATGACCCTATCAGCACATGACGGGCTCATTGCTGCGCTAGCTGTATCTAGTGTAACAGGTTTGGTGGCTTCTGCTAGTCATGACAAGTATGTGAAGCTCTGGAAGTGAGTCAAATGACTAGTTATTCTCCCAAAATTAGTAAGATTAATATTTTGACCCGTAACAGCTCCATGAAGCTCCGGGCTGTTTTCTGGTAATTTTGTAACGTAGTTAGGCTTTACCCCTTTGATGTAAGTTTTAGAGACAACTTTGAACTGAACTTGTTGATTGGTACTTTTCATTGGATGCTTTTGGAAACTAACATGCATCATTTCATAGTGAAAAATACTGGAAATTTAACTGAACTTCCTGCAGAAGCCGTTTTATAACTCTTTTTGTTTGGTTGCTACCCTGCTGAGTTCTTGCACTTCTGTATACGCTCATCACAGGCCACAACTTGTGCTTAACTAGGTACATATATGGAGTGCAGGAGTAATATTTTGAAGAAAAGGGATTGTGGAAATCACCAATACTGATCCAAACCTTGTAGAGTTGTAGCCTAGCGTATGCCATGTATTTCTGCCAAAAATATCGAAGCATCGTACTTTCACACCCCAACACCTCCATGTCTACAACTGACCACACCTGAAACCACGAAGGCTACCACACGGTAAAACTCTGAATTGGTTTGTTCTCAAACCCCTCTGCAAACGACTAACCATCTGCAAGCTCTCAATTGCCTATACAGCAAAGTATGATCTCTCATTTTACCAAATTTCAATTCTTTGAACCACCAAATTTTATTAAAGAATTGACGTCATTTGTCCCAATTATGACTTGTCCTCTTTCGATTAATTCAGGGCGGTACTGATTCTAGAGGAGACCCTTTCAAAATGGTTCACAACATGTTTTTAATCCGTTTTGACCGGTTAATAGTGCCACGTGTTTGTTTTCGATAGGTGTTAAAAGAAAAAAGAATCCTCCACTACTTTAAACACCGACTACTTCTCTTTACACTATCTTCATGTTACCAGTCAACCACCATGTTTGCAAAAACCTACTGCTGTTATCACTCTCGACCGCGATTTTGGGTTGGCTTGAGTGGCTTGATTCGCAGGTCATTAAGTGGGAATGGCTAAGGATAGTGATGACAAGGAAAGTAGGTAGTATGGAAGCTTGGTTACATTTATGGCTAGGTAAAGTTTATCATGGGCTGGGTCGGGTTTTGGCAAAAAAAAAAAAAAAAAAAAAAAAAAGTGGTATGTTTCCAGCCAAGGCTTAATTCAACATAAATTAACCATGCCCAAATTTGTTATTTCGGGCCAAAAATAGCTGGATTTTCAGTCAAAAACGTGTCGGGCCTAATTCTTTAATTAAAATTGTAATTTTGGGTTGCCCAAAACACACAAATTAAATTCTAAATTCGGCCCGAGTAGGTCCCGAAATTTGCATAAGTCTTAGCTGTACCCTAGTACAACTAGGATAGCTGCATAACGCTATATAAGATGAACATTTAGTAAAAAAAAAATGAACATTTAGTACTAAAAAGTGAACATGTTAAAAAAAATGATCATTTAGTATATTTAAAATGAACATGATTATCATAATATCATAAAATTGCTAGACCATGACCTTAAAAATGAACATTTAGTAAATAATTATGAACACGTAATCAAAAATGAACACGTCAAAAAATATTATGAACATTTAGTATATTAAAAATAAACAATTATCATATAATTTGGTATGAATAGTAGGGAATTTCATAGATCCCATGTATCAATTCCCTAAGTAAAAAGGAGTAATTTAGGATATAATTAATCCCGAAGGGTAGGTGTTCAACTCCTCCCTTGTTTCCACCATTAAAGACGAATTTTCACTGCTTCTCTATTAAAGATGAAGATGAGCTTTTCATTCTCCATTGAATGCAGCCAGAATAATAATGCCGTCAATTCTCCAATTTATTCTACTGTTTGCAACCTTTATTGAAGTTACACAGATACCCCTAGTTTACAACTAAAAATGACGAAAGTACCCTTATATTAACAAGTTTTGTTAATATAGGATATCAACTTGTGTTTTATATTTATTTAATATTAAAAGTTACAAAAAGTTGATATTTTGAAATTAGATATTAAAGCTAACCTTACAAGAATATGTTTTTGTCTACGTTTATGTATAACCAAAGATGGTCAAAGCAGGGGATGTGAATACTACAGAAAGTCATTACACAATTACACAATAAAAAATTAGAAAAAATAAAAATAAAAGAGAAGTAGAGGAAATACTATTTTGAATGGTGTATTTTGTGTATTTACTAAACTTGTTCAACCTAGGTGACAACTGCTTGAAAGAGCGAGAATGAAAGAAAGGAACATCCAATGAAGACTGGGAGATGAGTATACTGCAGAAAGACATGCCAAGGAACAAGCAAGCAAGTCTGTCCTTCTGGGTTTAGGATAAAGAATGAATAGGAGAAATATCGTCAGCACAGTTAAGGAGAAGGCTCTGATCAAGAGTCGTTCCTAGCAATTTTATTCTGTTTATCTGAATCATTTACCACTCATTATTGTACATTATCTTAAACACCATCTTTGATAAAGATTTGTCTGCTGTTGTTATTCCAATTTCTTTTCTATACATCAGCACTCAGATCTTAACATTGGTTGTGGTGTAACTTTTGCTGCTACAGTTTTGCAGGTACAGCAGCCGCAAGGTAAGTATATTTTGTTGGACAGGGTCATTTCCCTTCATCTTGGGGTGTAAACATTTCAAATGCTGCAAGGAGGATCTACATCCAGCGCGATGCGTTTGAACAATTCAATAGAACTTTAGCTTGTTTGTATGAGAAATTTGTTCAGGGTGACCATAACAATTTTATTCCTTGTAGCTTAATAGCTAATGTAATCAGCAGGTTTTGATGTCTCGAGCAGTGCTTGCGCCGCTACACATGCATAGTGTAGACTTGATGTATAAAGGAATTCATTTGATACTGCAGCCCGCATATAAATTTGACATTAGATTGCTTCCAATATTTTAAAATTCGTACGAATTTGAACGAGCCAATATGGGTTGAAAAAAGAAGTATAAGATGATATAATTTGAAAATTGAAACTAATTAATTGTAATTTAAATTTTGGTCTTTGACTAGTGAGAGTTGGTACACGACTACACGGCGGTGTTTTATTTAAATAGTTCAGTAATGTTATGCGATGTAACTATGTAAGGTATGGAGAGAATTTAAAAGGATAAACAATATACGGCATAGGGACAATCTTTTTAGGGACGAGGAGTAAATTCAATTATTACTTATTAGAGTAATGCTTGGTACCAGGCACCATTTTTCTTATAAAACTTTGCAATTTAGTAAATCACAGCCAACCTTTAGTCCTCTAGTACAATGAAAAGTGTATTAATTTAGGCTATTAAATTTAAGTCAAAAAAAAAAAAAAAAAAAAAAAAAAAAAAAAAAAAAAATTGAATCAAGAACTTTTTTATGGTACAAGAATTTTTCAGTTCAATAAAAGTTTACTTTTTTTTTGGTGCAAACCTAGCTAATTGCTTTCGTTGGGCTTACCCCTGTAAAATTTAAAAAAGGATGATTGTTTCAGAATCTAAAATGATACGTTTACCATGAGAACTGAGAAGTGCTGAATTTAGAAAGCCAAAATGTGAAAAACTGAACCATTGCTTTCACTTCTCCCTTCTCCTTGGTAAAAGATATTTTCCAAGACCGAAATCTATACACCTCTAGTCCTCTATAAGAGAATACAGTCACCAATAGTCTTACAGAATCGTTGCAGAGCAAATCGCCTCCTCAAATTGATTTCCACACTCCTAAAATTGATTTCCACACTCCTTTTAAAGTGATTCACACTACACATAAACTGCACTCTCACAAAGACACAAAAGAAGTGTCAAAATCAATCTTGGAGTGAAAAGTTAGTTCCTCCTTCATTCCCTGCAAGTAATTAAAATCATTTTTGATGCAAATCGAAATAATACCCCCAAAATGAACCAGATAACATGGAGTATGAACTCAACAACCACCAACATCGCAGATACAGCCCATTAATGCACAGCATGAGAAGGCCAATACACATACCAATCACCTCTTCTATGTCCTCAATGCACGAACAAGGCCCTAGCAGCAACCAGCCTTGACCAAACTGCTGATAATTTCCTGCAGCCTCAAATATGGCACTACTTGCTATATGTAATACTTTCATATGCTACTTACAAATATGAAAAGAAAAAAAAAATGCACAGTAAAATATATATGCTCAATACTATATACGAGGTCGGATCAGATTGGTTCAGATAGATGGATAACCGAAACAATCTAATTATCAATTTATCATACGTTAAGAAAATACATCAAGGTTGAACAAGATCAACATCGAATTTCATAACGATAACTATGATGAAGTAGTATAAAGTAATATACAAATTATAAATCTACTTTAAAAATCCTAAATCAATATAATTGCTCAAATATTATACTAGCAGCACCTCAAGTCCGACATGACAGAAGCTTTAACGAATGGTGAATGATGATAGAAAGGGCTTAAGTTCGAGACAGGAATAAGGAAGAACCAGACTGACAGCAATACAATATGATGCTAAAGTTCTATAATGACAAAGCAGGCAAATTAGCCACTCCTCTGTCATTATACTGCACAATCCTGGAGTACAGTGGGAGACAAAAAATAAAACCTTACACAGAAATAATGATCACACTTGCAATCAACAAACAATGCCAACAATACGTCGTGCTAAAAAATCATAAGCATTATTTGCATGTCAAATTTACATCGTATAGAACTTACAAACAATCATAGACCTTAAAATGTTTTGGTTGCCAATTCATCCTCGGGAATTAGCATGACGTTGGTTTCTAAAGTAACTTAGAAGACTTTGAGCCTGCAAAAAAAAAAATGTTCTCTAAATATTAGAGTATATTTCCAGTAATCACACATTGGTAATTTTGGGATGCAGAGCAATTGTACCTTCTCTCTGGCTCTGGGAGTCCCTGATTGTGATAAAGCAACCAAAGGTGGTACAGCTCCTTCTTGGAGTACATTATTGCAAAATCTGGCGCTGAAAGTACAAAGTTGTAGAAGTGCAGCAGCAGCGTTCTCCTTCCCCCTCGCAGAGCCCAGTTCAACAACCTCTACAAGAACAGGAATCCCTCCTGCCTGGCCAATGGCTGTCCTTCCCTCAGTAATCGTAGCAAGATTTGCCAAAACAGCAACAGCCTTATCAACCATACCTGCTGCTGGATCCATCAACTCAACTAGATGCCTTACAGCACCAGCCTGCACAATTCTAAGTTTGTTCTCATGATATATAGATAAATTAAACAAAGCAGTGGCAGCGTCTTTTTTTCCCCGAGGAGTCCCATTTCCTAACAATTCAACCAAAGGTCCAATAGCCCCAGACCTGCCTATTTTAGATTTATTTTCCTCAATTACTGAGAGGCTAAAAAGTGTGGCAGCCGAGTTCTCCCGAGCCTCTTCAGTGCCGGTCTGAAGAACATGGATCAGGGGTTCTATTGCGTCTGCATCAGCGATAGCGATTTTATTATTATCATTAATTGATAAATTCAAGAGAGCAGTCACGGCACTTTCCTGTGTCTTTGGATCTGTCGATTGAAGCAGATCAACCAACAATCTTATGGCCCCACAATTGGCAATCACAATACGGTTATCCATGTTGTGTTTTGCAAGTAGACGCAGTTGTGTTGTTGCATCTCTTTGTGTTTCCACTGACTCGCTATGTAAGTCCTCAACCAACTTCTTAACTACAGCTTCAGTTTCAGAGAGATCAGGTCTTGTTTCTGTGGTCGATGAAGAAATCATCCGGGGTACAAGCCTATCTGATGGACGGCGCCAAATATTTTGACTACGGGATCTCGTATCCATTATTCTAGGTGGGAACTCATGTTCCCTCTGGGAAGTGCTCTCAGGGACAGCAGTATGTGGTTCTTCTGATAGTTCTCCAGAAGCATCACGGCTATCAACATCTGAACTCTGTGAAACCTGATTGGCATCTCCAGATAATCGTTGAGCAAAATTCATGTCCGATACTCTGTTTCCACCTAAGGACATTCCATCATTTCTTTCAGATGGCTGTTCATGAGTATTGATAGCATTAGCATAATCTCTACGCGCTGGCGACCCAGAGTACTGACCATTTGAATCTACACTTTTTCTCTCCGAATTGCTCAGCCTGTCTTCCAGAGATATCCTCCCAACATCCAATCCATGCTCTTTATCAACCATGCGAAACATAGAGCTATCTGATGAAGAACGTGGATGTAATGGGGAAGCCCCTTCTCGGCGAAGGTCACTTGAATGGCTGGAATTTTTGCCATCAAAAACTGCAGACCGTATTGACTCAGGCGATGCAGGCTGGTTACCTCTAGAATGAGACTGTATGTGAATATCCTTTCCAGGACCGGAATCGTTATGAGAAAGTAGGGCCAATGGTTGATCTCTATCAATAGACTTCATAGGGTCAGGCAGCTTCACATCGTTTATCTCACACCAATTTGCAATCAGTGCTTTAACAGTATAATTAGGAATCAGATTGGTGTGAACTAATGACTGCCTTGTCTTTGGACATACAGTAAGACCAAGATCAAGCCATTTCCTAATGAAAGCACGTTCATATGTTTGGCCTGAGGATACAATGACAGGGTCTGTCATAAGTTCAAGGGAAAGAGGACAACAAAAATCAGCTGGTATAGGGACAGGTGTACAGCTCTGGGACTGTTTCAACATTACAAGGCGTTCATGCATGCGTGTGACAAGAGAAATCAACTGTTCATAATCATCAACCTCTGCATTCTTTTCAGCCTGCTCAGCATTCTCCTTCAGTGATTCAAGAGCCACGGCCTCAATGAGAATTTCTTGATTCGACCTTAGGCCCAGGCAATCAGCAATTTTTACAAGTCGCTCAGGGCTTGGCCCATGGTCGCCTGCTTGATCCTTCACAGCATCACTGATGATTGTAGATGTAGTATCACATCCTATGTTCTTAACCTTTTGTATACAGTGCTGTCAAACAGAGACCGGGAAGACTATTAGAGATTCCATTACATAACTCATTGGCAGGTTACAAATCACAAAAGTACTAACAATATAGCGCCCCCTGATGCAAAGATGAGATAACCCATATGATTTTACTTCGTAAATGGTATCTCAAATATTCTAATAAACAAAAATATCAGTATTCAGTAAGACAGCCAGAGGTACCTCAAGAGATGATGAGCTCAGCTCCACAGGGAGGGACTGATGTGAATCTTTAAGCAGCCAGAAGAATTCCAAAACACAATTCCGGATCTTTGCTGTCAACGATTCAGCTCGGAATACCTATATATAAGGCAAGTCAGAGCAAAGCGAAAGTAAAGCATAAGGCAAAATTTTAGAGAGGTCAAATGCCATGACATTACTTCAATCTAACTTGCCTAGAAGTGGGAGAATGATCCAGAGTTTACATCGGTATAATATTCAGTTACTTTAGTCTGAATTTAAAAGTAGCTATTCAAAAATCAATTTCAAAACACTTAGGTGGCATTTGGTACAGGGATATCAAGAAAGGGTAAAGCAATGAACTCTCGTAATTCCCTTAGTTGTTTATTAGTTCAATTTTTCCATTCCCTTTACCCTATAGTTTACCACATTTTACTCTACATTGATTATCCACCCCCACAAAGGTTTCATCAAAGGAAATGGCTCCACTCTACCAACCAACACCACTGCCTTCAACCACTTGCACCAACCATTTACAACCACCCACCACTGACCCAACCACCTCAGCACCGATCTTCCGTCTTACCCAATACTACCCACCACCCCTAAAACCACGAAATTTGTTCCACCACGAATATCGCCAACCTCTAAAAACAAGAAATACACCCCACCCACCACCTAACAACCTGAATTTCACCTAATCCCACCGAAAAAAAAAAAAGAGAGAGAGCAAGAAAGTGTATTGCTTTGATGGCAGAAAGAGAGGAGAAGGATTAGTGGTTGTAGTAAAGGGCAACAGAGTGGCGGCTGTAGTGAAGGCAAGGGGTGGTTGAAAGGGAAGGAGTGGTGGATATAAGTTAGGCTTTAAATTTGTTGTCTCTATAACAAACAACCTTGTAAATCTAAGGGCTTCTCTTTCCAGTTTCCATTGTCCTTGTTTTCCTTAATTAAACTCTTTCTCTTTCCCCTTCTCAAATCAAACACCCCCTTAAAATCTTAAATTACTTCTATAAAGGGACATATCGGTAAAAAATAAATTAATTGAAAAAAATAAAAATTTGTACTTTTGTGATACCACTAATTTTTCTAGTTTCCAACCTAGCTTTGGATACTTTTTTCCAAGATTGCATGGAACTCTAATGTACAACAATTATATCTAAGACATATGGGTTTTTATGATAAGGATTAAAAATGATACGCCCTCCGTTCCCAGATACATGCAACACTTGTATTTGAAGTTTTTGGAGTATAAGTGGGTAGTACAAGAAAAGTGATATGTTAAAATGCAAGTGGGGCTAATGATTATTTTAATAGTTATTGAAGACAGAAACATTAAATGATTAGTACACGTGGGGTTAAAGAGAGAAAGAAACAATACAATAAACAGTCCCATGTCAAAATAGGACATGCTGCACGTATTTAGAAACGGCCAAAAGAGGCAAGTGTTGCGAGTTTTTAGAACGGAAGGAATGTAACATGTTTGGATTCATTCCACCTTTGCCTTAATCTTTAGCCAAATTTGCTGCTAAGGCGGAGTCCTGCCACAATAGTCTAAATATTTGCTGCCAATTCTGGTTCTTGCCGGCCCTTGCTAATTGTTGTCCACCAGTGGCAGTTGTCAACCGTTTATGTTGATAGTTTGATACTGACTATGTGCTCGTCTTCAATATATTGGAGTCGATCCATAAACTACTGGCCATGACTCTTCCCAGTTTTTTTTCCCCAACAGCTAAATGAGAATTCTATTGAATGTCTACCCAGGAAACAAGGTTGCAGAGCCAACCAAACAACAGAATCAACACACCTAAAACTGCATATAATATCATCAATATCCCAAGGACAACACCTTTGTTTGAGAAACTACCAAACAAGGTTCTATCAGTGTACTTCATGTGCAAGCGATTGGTGCTCTGGTTCTTCTTTCTCAATATGTTTGGCTATCTCTCTTTTTTCTTTTTTAAATACTAATCATGGTATCCAAGCTATGGACTGCTACTTTACTTACTGAAAAGTATTTACTTTCCTCCTTATTTAGTATGTTTCTCACCAAGAATGACAGATCCCCAAAAGAAGTCACAAGAAATTGGTTATCCTTGTAAGACTATATAATCTAAGTCGGCCTGGAATTGGGCGCCTTGTGCCCCAGCAGAACAACGATTAGGATTTCTTGGTATTCCTGGTTCTAATAATTTTCACCCAGAGTTGTGCCAGTTGTGGTAATAATTAGAAAGGATGATTTTAAAAGGACAGCTGGAGTTTCTTTAGTAAGCTATTCTTCTTTTTCTTTCCTGATGAAATAGTGTTAACAGATTGGTTTTTAAGCTCCGCGCCATGGCAAATAGGACTACAGGGACAAGAGACAGGTTATTGTTATTAGCCGAATGCTAACTAAATCATAGAAGGTCAAGGAAGAGACATTCTAACTATAATCTGCAGTTCCACAAGTGTAAAAAAAAAAAAATCATACCTAGGCTTTGAAGCCTAAGGCAATATGGCTAAAACGCTTATATTAGGCTAGGCAAAGAGTAGCTAAATGCGAACATAGGGAGGTGCAAAGGTACACCTATAAAGAACATTTTGCACCAAAAGTTTTAGATTCTTATTAACTGCAACTAACACCTGAGCTTTTGCCTAGGTTCTAAGACTCCTGACTCCAACACCTTTAGGTTTTTTGAACATTGATCACAATCCTTTTCCTAGATCCACATCACCAGCCTAATAAGTTTCCTTGTATTCTGTTAATCATCTAGTTTAATTGCAAAGCATAGATTGACAGCCAATATACTCACTCTAATCTAGTATTTTTCCTTCTAATTAAATTAATTAGATGAAATCACACATGACAAAAAGGATTATGTAACTGATCAATCTGTCCTAAAATATCAATTATGGGAGTATGTCGAAGTCTTCGAACTCATACGTGAAATAAAAACCATCAGGTTCATTTTTTACAGTAATTACAGGATATGTGCGAACACAGTCATATGAGAAGATAGATAACCATCTTAGACATAATTCAGTGTCAACTTTTTAAGGCAACAAGCATAACATAAAATTTTCAACCAAACAAAATGGATATTCTTGTTAGACATAGTAGATGTCAAACTTTTAGCAGGCATAGCAAGATCTCATGATCATATAAACTGCAGATAATAGTCACATTTTCCTGACATCTTTACCAAAATAAAGAGTATTAATAACCTGTTTTGACAAAATCAAAACAAAACCGAATACCCTCTTCCTCTGTCCCCAACATTTCTAATGTCATTGCTTCAAAGGTCCATTCTGCTAGACCTCAAGACAATTCATAAAAAAAGGTGCCAAGAAGATCAGGATCATAGGAGAATTGAAGGAAAATTCTTGGTCTTGATTTCGTTTGGCAAATAGGCACATATAAGGAATGAGGTTTATACACTTTTTAAAATGAGTGAGATGGTGGATTAGGATATTTTTTAGAAATGACACGTAGTTTAAGTGGGGGATTTAGAAATTCACACAAACAAAGTATTTTGTATACAGGGATATGAGATAATTATTCTCCAAGCACTGTAGATAGTACGAGACTACAAGTATCTCAGGAATTTTTTTTCCAATTCAGCCAACCTTATGAAGATTAGGACGAGGTCAACTACAAAGTAAAATGGCAAGAAGTGAAAATTAACATAAAGCTCTTAAATATAGTTCCTTTGTTCTTTGATAATTGCAGCACTTTTATTTTTAAGAAATATGCATCATCACCTTTTTTGCTAGTACGTTCTCTCTAAGTCTCACCTCATCACATGGGCTCATTTTTATCACTCTATATCTCCTCACTCCTCACCACGAGCTCCATAAAATTCAAACCTTCCCCCTCCCTAACCCACCCCCACAGGCCACACCTCCACATCGCAATTATTAAAAAAACAGAGAAAAAACATACTCAAACAAAATTCAAAACATACAAGATCAACTCTGCTTGCCAAAGGATGCCAGCTCTCAAAGAGATCTTGTGACTCATCGATAGACAATCCAAGTTCTTGTAGTGCCTTATTGAGTCGCTCATCAGAGGCTACTTCAGTATCCACAATCGCATCAATTATCGGCTTTAACAACTTAAATATCTCTTCCATCTTCTGGTAGCATTTTCGCACCGGTTCTGAGTCAAAGCCGTCACGTGATGATAAACTTAAAAACGACGATATATTTTGAAGAAGAGCCCTCCAAATGGAGACCTCCATTACACCTGCATAGGAAGGCAAATCTCCGAACATGTCAAAAAATACTGTACACTCCGAATCTGCCAACAAGCATTAGGCCTACCAAACACATACTCATCGCAATCCGATCAAACAAGAAGCAAAACTTTAACAACGTAAATTGGTCAAACAATCACACCCGTCCCTGTCCCCGTCCCCGGCTCAGGGAGAACAATTCCATTTTCATAGTTCCATTCCTAACATTGAACAATTATACAAAACAAAATTCTGCACACATTAGCAACCAAATTTGACTCAATCATCAAATTAAATTCTTCTCGCTTGAAAATATGAATATAGCAAATTCTAGCAACGAAATTGCTGGTTATAATCAATCATTCAGTAATTTATAACCAAATAATTCAATAATCCAGCATAGAAGAACCCTAAATGGATTAAAATGACAATTAATTAATTTAAAGATTAACAGAGATTGTGAAATTGATATTCGATAATTAAGAATAAGAAGAAGAAATCTGACCTTAGGAGCTGGTTCAATGGAGGAAAGAAAGGTGAGAAATAGGTTGAATGGAGAATTGAGAGTACGCGCTTCAATGGAGGAGAGAGAAAAAGGAGAGGGAATGCAGCGAGGCAGGCGTACATGTGAAAAGGCTCCAAAACTACCAAAAGGGCCAAATTATAAACAACTACTGCTCATAATTCTATTGGAAAAATCAATTTGAATTGCCTTTTTTTTTGTTTTTTTTGTGATTTTTTTTTAAGTTCTTACTCTCTTCGATCCTAATTGTTGGTTTTGTTTTTTTACTTTTCTCTAAAGTTTTAAACTTTTAACGCTTTTATTCAAAAAAGGTAAATTTAAAGCATAAAAAACTGAATCTAATAGGGACAAATGGAGTATTGAGTAATCCATACTAAATAAATATTCATATGTTTTTTTTTTTTTTTTTTTTTTTTTTTTGAAATAAATCAATTCATTAATAAAAAGTCATACGACATTTACAAATGAAATCTAAATCAACAAATAAATAAAATTGAATCAAATTAGGGTTTCCTTATGATCGTTGAATATATCTTGCAATGTGGTACATCTCTCGCATACATCGCTGGAATATACAGCCTTTTCGGAGAGACGGTATAACGATTTGTTGTAGCCGTAAGAATGATTTTCATCTGATTCACTTGAACGCATTTGAAAACTCGACAACCGATGCAATCCCGAACAAATCTTTACCAACAAACTGATAGTAGGGCAAAAGATGATTACCTTTTTTTATAAACCCTAACACGTAAACAAACCCTAGAAGAGAGGAGGAGATAAGAGGAGAGGAGCTGAGAGGCGAGTCGGGGGCATATTCATATGTACTTTAAAACATAAAAGTTAAAGGTAAATTTAAAGCATATAGAAACTAAATCTATTAGGGACAAATGGAGTATTGAGTACTTCGTAATAAATAAATATTCATATGTACTTTAAAACATAATTTTTTTTTTTTTTTTTTTTTTTTTTTTTTTTGGTAACATGTCGATGAGGGTAATTTGATTATACTTCGTATATGTTTACAAAAACATATAATCAAAATGAAACTTTAGTCATTTTTTTACCTTTCCTCATCATTCCTAGTATTAGCCGCTTTAGATGATATTATATTAATAATAGAGGACATATAATCTTAAACTCATTCCTAAACTTTACATTGTGATGCAAGTCTACATGCACACTTCTCACCTTTGTAAAAAAAAAATCCAATAAACAAACACGGGAGTTTTATCCACTTGAAAATGAAAAAAGTCTCATTCCCACCATAACTCTCACGTACCAAACACCCATCTTTCACAATTCATAGGTTGAGATTGAATTGCATTCTTAGTTTACAGTTATTTACATTATGATTGATATAATAAGTTCATATGTATAAACTTTAAGTCCATTTGAGAGCAATATCAATCAAAATTCAATATTTACATATGAATTTTATTGAATTTCCATTTGATTGAAATTTAACATGTAAGTTTTAAATATTAATTAATCATTAACTATACAATAAAAAAAATGTATTTCATAGGTTCATAGCATTGTACGAAGTTAAAAATATTAGAAAACCCAATTAATCTAGGGTATATTCTATTCACCTGACTTTTTACCTATCTGATCTTATGTTTATCTGAATTTAGGTCCTGTTTACTTCACCTTATTTTTGCTGAAGTGGAATTATTTTGACTAATTGAAATTATTTAAGCTAAACTGAACTTTTATTTACTGAATTGAACTTATATATACTGAACATGACTTATTTTTACTGAATATTAGTTTTTTGGTAAAGTGAACAGGGCCTTATATGAACTTATTAAAACTTATTTTAGTTTGTAATTTAAACCTAGGTACCCTTATTAGAACATATTTTCCCTAAATTGAACTTACATAAAACTTACCTGAAATTTATTAAACCTAAAATAAGTAAAAATAAGGTGAAGAGAACCGACTTTTAATTAATATCGATAATGATTTTAATTAATGAACCATCACGATATTAGTGGTTTATTATGCTGAAATAATTTTTACTAAACAGAAATTAATTTTGATGAACTTAAATTATTTTTGCTTAACTAAAATTAATTTTACTGAGCTGAAATTATATTTTGCTGCAATGATTTCCCTAAATTAATTCCCTATTTGCGTCGGTATAAAAACTTATTCCCACCATATAGTCCATGTAGGATTGGTGGAAGCGGTTCTATACATTAAAAATGCAAGAACCCCTAACGCTGTTTGTGATTTTAAGGTATAAAACCGCTAACAAAAATAAATAAATTAACGAAGCGTCCACCAATCCTACGTGGACAATATGGTAGGAATAAGTTTTTGTACAGATACAAATAGGGATTTAATTAAGGGAAATCGTTGCAGCAAAATATAATTTCAATTCAGTAAAATTAATTTTAGTTAAGCAAAAATAATTTAAGTTCATCAAAATTAATTTCTGTTTAGTAAAAATAATTTAATTAATACAAAAAAAGTGTGTAAAAAATACATACAAAACGTGCATCGCACGGGATCATCTAGTTAATTTACATCTAAACAATTTTTAGGGGAATCGTTCATTCTTGCTAAACTGAAATTATTTTTACTAATTCTCTAGTTTAGTTATTTTGTTACTGATTATTATTGAACTGAAATTAAATTATTTTTACTAAACCAAGCTTATTTTATTCGTCACTCTCCCTTATGTAGAAACTAAGGGGTCGTTTGGTTTACACAAGATAAACGGAATGGAATGAGCAAAGGGAATGGAAAAGAATGAAATGAAATTACCTTAAATTTTCGATGTTGTTTGTTTTAAAAACAAAGGGAAACACTGCCACCAATCCAACCACCACACCACCACCACATAACTACCTAATTGCTTCACTTCCCACCATTTCCAGCCACTACCAAGCCACCCCACCACTCGACGCACCTCCCCCACCACTTGCCACCCTTCGCCGCACCTCCCCCACCACTCGCCACCCTTTGCCACACCTCCCCCGCCCCTCGCCGCTGCTCCCCGTGCCCGCATAGCTCTCCCCTCCCCTGAAAAAACCTCCCCCAACCCCGCAAAACCCTAGAAACAATTCCCTCTCCCCGTAAAACCATCGGTCGGCTCTCCCACCACCCTCGAAACCCCATGTAAACCCAACCGCTTCTTATTCTTCCTCCTCTCCCACCACCACCACCACCGTCTTCCGTAGACCCTCATCAACCTTAAAATACACTCCCGATTTCAAATCTCCATCCAAACCTGTTTCGGTGGTGGGTGAGGGTGAGGCGAAGGATTTCGGTGGGGTGGCTAGCTGTTTCGGTGGTGGGGAGTGTGGTGGTGTGGTGGCTAGTTGTTTCGGTGGTGGGGAGGTTTTCGCTAGGGTGCCTGGTTGTTCCGGGGGTGGGGGAGGGATGGCGAGGGTGAGGGGAGGGGTTTCGGTGGGGTGGCTAGCTGTTCCGGTGGTGGGGAGGGTGGTGGTATGGTGGTAACTAGGGAATAGAATGGAAATACCTCGGGGGGTGGGAAATCAACTTAGAATGATTTTGGGGAATGGAGAGGGTAAAGGACATGGAAAAAAAGACCTAACAAACAACAACAAAGGGAATGATTCCTCTTGATTCCCATTCCCTTTGATGAATACCCCTAACCAAACAGCCCCTGAACTGCTAGTACACGTGAATGTTTCATTAATTATTAATCAATTTTTTTTAGAGGGAGTGAACAGGCCTAACTGGTGAAAAAACTTAATAAAAAAAAAAAAAAAAATATTGATTACGTGTACTAGCAGTTTCGCACCCTCCCTCCCTCTCTCCTGAAGCTACTCTGAATTCTCCATTGAAGCGGCTTCCGAGCATTTTCTCCTCCATTGAAGCAACTTCTGAGGTAAAATTGCTCTATATTAAAAAATCGAATATCAATTTTACAATATAGTGTTAATCATTGATTTATTCGTCAGTACATTCAATTTAGGGTTCTTCTAAGGTGGAATATTGAATTATTGGTCTTGATTCCTGAAGTTATGAATGATTATATTGTGCGATTTCGTTGCTACAATTTTGATTATCATCGTATCCTTAGGGGAGAAGAATTGAATTTGATGCTTGAGTCAAATTTGATTGCTAATGTGTTGCATGCTTTTGATCATACAACCCTTTAATGTGAGGACAGAACCCTGAAAATGAAAATTTTCTCCCTGAGCCAAGGCGGCCGCAGTCCAGGGACTGCTTGAGTAATATGTAACTCCAATTCAGGTACTCATGTCGGACATGGGTACATGTCAAGTGTCAGAATGCTCATGGTGAAGTAAAAAGTCCGAATGACATAGATTATGTTGGAAAAGGAAAAGCTTTCGTCTCGTGAGGTTTGTTAAAGGAAGATGGAGAAATTTGTCATGTAGGAATAGAATAGCGAAATGATGTATGGAGTAATTATTATGATCCTAAGTATTTTTCAGAATTGAACACTTGATTAGAGGGTTGAAAAGAAAGGAAGAGTGACAGATTTTAAGAGTAGGCGAGTGCTTATTAGTTAAACTAGTGCTGTTACAAGTGTTTTATTTTGGATTTATTCGAAGAGCTATGTAAAAGTGATGAATTAAGTTAATTGATAGTTGGTTTTTGAGAGAATGATTAAAATCTGAGAGGTTAAACAACCCTTGCATGTTTTATTTTGAACCTCGCCTTGTTTGGCACCCTCTGTTCCTTATTATTGCCCCCATTGGGGTGAAGTTGACTTTTTAATTTTTGGTGGAGGGGAGTTTATGAGAGAGAAGAGTGATAGGACGAAATGTAAGGTTGTGAGAGAAAAGTTGTGGTCCCCTACAACCGTTTGTAGTTTGGAAGCAAACTTAAAGGGACAAACTAAAAGAAAAGTGGAGCATACATCAAGGGACAGAGGGAGTACCTCCGTTCCTTTGACTTGATTATGATTTCCGTCTTCGCCAGTTCCTTTGTGTTGGTTACTCTTCCCCCTACCTTATACGCTTTCATATTTTTTCTTATACAAACCCCACTTATAACTCTCTCATACTATTTCTCAAATGTGGCTTACTTGCTACATTCTCTCTCCTCACTTCCTCAATCCCTGTGCATATAGTCACTAATGGAGGTAGTACATGTTTAATGGTCATTAGTATTAATGTTGTTGAGAAATCATCATTGTGTTATAGACTGAAGTTCGTACTAAGCAATTGTAATTAATTGAACAGAAAATAGATTGAAAGCTTGATGATTGTTTAATTGAAGCAGAAGCTTTATAGAATTACAGGGATAAGTTGATAACTTGATAACTTGAGGTTATCACCCTCAAAAGGTTGCTTTACGTTACTACTCTCAATACAATATATCACTCCCAAATTTTCGCATAATCCTTACAACTATTCTACTGCTCTTTATATAATCAAGCCATACAACAAAAGGTAACCTAGCATTAATTGGTGTTTGTCTTCTTCTGTACTTAAGCAAATCAGAAATTAGACCCATGTTGCCACTCCCTTAAGTGTTTCCTTAACAACCCTTGTCTTCATGTGCTGAATTGTCCTCTTCCAATTGCCGTGGTTGATTCTTGTCCCCTCTTCCACTTTTGTTCCTTGTGTACACCCACAATTGTGGCTCAGTGGAGGTGGATGACAGGTCTATGACACGTTGGCAGTCCTTTTTGCTATGTTGGCATTCTAAGTGCAAGTCTCTCAAGTACTTGGTTGTTACTGAAGATTTTGGAGTGCATGGGTAGAAAATTTTTGCTGCTAACTTTTTTTTTTGCATGAGCTTGATAAATTTACTACTCTTTGCAGTTATTGTAATGGTAAAATAATGTTCTTTTCTTATAAATGCTAATGTATTTGACTGCTGTTGCTCTATTTTTACTATTTTTTAGTGACACAGTTGAAGACTCTTTTTAAGTTGATGGGGTCTCCCAAGGCTACCCAGGTTGGCGATAGTGATTATGCTGGCATCGATCCTGCTGTGCAATGGACTGTCAAGACACATCAGCATGATAGCAATTATGAGGTAAAGTTTTCTGTCTTACTAGAGTGTGGTTATTGCTTCCACTTGCCAATTACAATATTAACTGTTACCTATCAAGTTTGTTTTACTAGTTTTGGTCAATTGGAGTTCCATAAATGTGATTTAATCAAGATATGAATTATCTGCTGACATTTTCAAGAAATTTAAAAGTATTTATATTTCATAATTTCATAAATGTTGGAAGTACCCATGCCTAATTATTGCTACTTATTGACACTGCTAGTTTGGACTTGTCTTTTGGAAACAGTCAACCTCTTTGCCTGGGATAAGGGGGTGCAAGCATCTTATTGTTTATAGATCTGCCCTTAATTAAAATAAAAAATTCTTTCAACAGGCAGCAGTGGTTACTGTAATGTTTTCTCTAGTCTTGGCTGCTTTTCTTTGAATGTTCTTTTAATGCATAGTTGACCTTTTTTTGATGTTTTGAAGGCACCACTATCACTCATAGGGTTTAGAATTTGCTCCATTTGGCTGAAAGCTTTTGGCAATAGTATCTATCAGTGATGTGGATTTATTTCCTCTGTATTGTGTAAAGTTCCTTTGTGCCTGTATCCATGTACTTCAAAATGTAATTCCTTAAAACTTAGAATCTTGGACTCTTAGGAATGAGGTGTTGGTCTGTTTGAAGAACATGATTTCCTTCATTCCAAATTAGTTGACACGTTTCTTTTATCACGATTGTCTATGCGAAAATTTAATCGAAAACATCTTTAGTTATACTATTGTTTAAACTACTAAAAATTGAATTTTGGTTAAGTACACATTGAAATTGATCTAACATGATCCCACGTGATTTTTTTTTCATATCATATCAATAATGCACAAATGTTAAATAGTGTCGAAAGTCAAAACGTGTCAACTAATTTGGTACGGAAGAAGTATTTCTTAATTCAGATTTAGATTGGGATCTATATGAAGTACCTATCATACAATTTTTACTCTTTCTAGAATATTATGATTCTTCGTAATTTGTATATAGAATGTTTTGAATTGTTTTTGGATTCATAGAATAACTTTTATACAGTTGAGTATCTTGAATAGGATTATAGTAGAAGCAAATTGAGTTAAGGGAATGAGACCAACTCTTAGCAACTCCTCATTTGGCTCTCTTTAGTTTTATATTTTGTGATTATAGGTGGCATATTTTGTCTGTCGCTGAGCAACAATAATTATTCCAAATTTTCAATGCTATCTGTCTTTGTCTGAACTCTCTGAAGTAATGAATGTCTTGTGTCTAATGCCTAGTTGAAGTGAGTATTCCTTTAAGTTTTGCGTTCCCTGCTTACAGAATGAGAGAAGGGCTTATGTCTTGACAGAGTTGCAACTTTTAAAAGAAAAAATTGAGGAGACTGGTATTGGTAGTAAGGTGCAAAAATTGGTTTCCTTGCTGAAGAAATCTAAGGTACATTGTTAAAGTTCATTTGATCTTGTGGCAAGTTAGTAATTAAGGTACTTATTGGCTGTGATTCTAGGATGTTGTATGGGTTTGATTCTGCATTTCTCATCTACGAAGGCTTTGTTCTCATTAACTTTATAAAAATAGGTTAATTACAACAATAATAAGCTAAGTTTATCAAGAATAAGTTATGTTATAAGTTAAGTTAGAGAAAAAAATAAGCTATGCTAAGCAAAAGTCCTACAAAAATAAGTTAAATTAAGCAAAAATAAGCTATGGGGAACGAAGTCTAAGAGGGAATCCCATGTAGCCATGGATGTTCAATCCCTCCTCCCTAAAGGGAAAGAAAGAGGTATTATATGTTTGTATTTTTCTACCATAGATGTCTCAGCATCTAGGCTGCCTTTTGATTTTCTCAGTTGTTTAGCTCAATGCAACTAGTTTGGTTTATTTATGCATTTTTTTTTAATGATTTTCTGCAATTTATTTATTTATTTTTTTTCTTTTTTTTTTTCCAAATGGGTTGTCGTTTTCTTTTATGTAATCAGGCTCGGGAGAGGCAAGAAAATGAGTTTCAGTCTGACTGCAATTCTGAGATCACTAAATTGCAGGAAGATTTGAGGATTGGCAATGGTGATAATGATCCACATGATTTTCTTGACTGTTCTATTTTTGACTTATCCAAGAAGTTAAAATTTGCAAAAAAGGTAAGATTAAGCCATTCTGATGGTCTTGGATATGGATGGTAGTGTATACTGTATAGTCAGTGTTTATAGTCAAGTTAAACTTTTAAAAAAAGTATTGTAGTGTAGAGTGCTTATAGTTGAGCTGTTGAGTTAAATTTTAAAGAATAGTATTGTAGTGTAGGGTGTTTGTAGCTGAGTTAAACTTTAAAAAACAGTATGCTAGTGTAGGGTGTATGATTCCTTATGACGATTCATGTTAGCCGACCCCAAATCATTTTGGGACTGAGTCTTTGTTGTTGTTGTTGTTGACTTGTTGTTGTTGAGTTAAACTTCAAACTGTTTAAAGAATAGGATTTGCATTTTGTTTGAATAATCTAATCATATTTTAATGGATGAATGTATTTCTTTTTTATTCTGTTATATTTATGCACCAGATTTTGCTTAATGTTCTGAACAATTTTCAGTTGCAAATATCCTTTTGTGGATGATAATTGTTTTTTTTGCCAATGATCATTTTGTAGGATGCATTAGATGGCCAGGTGCAGATACATATCTAGAACCCTAACTTATCCCATGTCCTTTTTTTGTAGCCCCATTACAGTGTGTGATGAACCTTAAATTGTAGGGTTGAGATTGATTTCTAAGCCTAATGCTTAATTTAAATCTTTAGAAGTGGGTTACATTCAGCCCACAATTGAAGTAGAAAGTCATAGATGCTTATCAGGTTAGACAAGGCATTGATAACCAAGCCCAAATGTCCAAAATCAAGCTTAGAATTGAAATTTAGATGGTCTCTTTTACGCAAAGTTTCAATTTCCAAGCTTGCAGTGTTCATAATTTCCATGATTTAATTCTCCTCTTCATGTACGTATAGTTTATTCAATAAGCTTTCAAATAATGACTATGAATCTAAAAACGATTAGAAATTAAGAAGTTACATGCTGCTTAAATCGACACCATTGCACTCTTTAAGTTATCTCTCTTCTCATCAAAATAATGTGGGATGAATTGCATTTGAAAGTGAACTCTTCATCCAGTGTGTCGTATTAATTTTTGTGTTGCGAAGCTTTCCTTGTATTCCTATTTGTTTGATCTGTTGTATGAATTTCTTTCATTCTGTATACAAAATGTATTAACCTATATCTCGTGCCAGGAACTTTCTATTAAGTTGAGGGAATTGGTCTCTTTGAAGAGGCAGCTTGATGAACTTCCAATTGAAGCTGAACTTGTTCAGTATGCTCTCCAGTCTCCATTCTTTAAGTTCTTAAGTCTTCCCAATAAATCCTGGTCCTTCCAAAAAAATAAATAAATATATATCCCTCTCCCTTAGTCCAGTATATGAACACAATCTTATGGTCTTTGCTTGTACCTGTACTGATTGATGTATAGTTGTGAATAAAATCTTTATAAGTAAAAAGAAGGATAATCCTTAAAAAATAAAAATTAAGGCATTATGAGGAGAAATTGTCCTCTATGAGATTGTAGTTATCCAGGTAACTTTGCTTGCTCTAATACATGTAGGGGGACAGAGAGTTTCTTGCTGACTAGATGCATAAATGACTGTTGAATCCTGTTTCTCATGGCACTAAAGGGTTTGAAAAATGCTAGTTTTCTTTGCTATTTTTTGACTACATACTAAATACTACTGACTGGATGCAGGTACGGACGCCGCTTTTCAGAATTGAATGTTCATATGCAGGTTTTTTGTTTGATCTTCTGTCACTCTTTCTTTTTACTTTTTATCTTAGCAATCCAAAGTTTGAATAACTTTTTGGTTCTTTTTTAAGTGTAGGATAGACTTTGTCAAACTCGTAAATATTATGAAACCTATAATGCTCTTCTTGAGATAAAGGACTTGATGCTGAAGGAGACATCTTTACTGAATTCAGTAGATTCACAAGTAAGTATTAAATAAAGCTCCACACATATTTCACTATGCCTTTTCCCTACTTTAGTATCCTGCTTGTACTACTTGTATTACTAAGTGTTTATATGATGGTTATTAGGAATGAAAAATAAACTTGTTTTTTTTCAATGTTTTCGCTTTAGTTAAGACCTCTCAAAGTGATTAATATTCTGATTATTGACCATCAATGCTTTTTTCCCTACGCTAACTTGGTTTAACATTTTCTTTTGAGCAAGCAATTCTTACATTGCGAGTATGAAATGTGGATGTTATGCAATTGTGCATATAATCATGCAGTTGCTACTGTAGAATCCATTTGTTATGGATTGCTTGGTGATCTACATGATGCTTCCGTTAGTGTATGTCAAAGGCTGTAACTCAATGTGTGGGGTGGACTTTGTAGGGGTGAGGTTGACCCTGGGGAATTGGCTTAAGCTAAAGAATATTTAGGTAGTAGGGGTGCTAACTTTGCTTTAATTGCTATGCCCAGTCCCTTATTTAGGGAGCTACTTCACAGAATATCAGTTATGCATTGTTATTCTGGTTTATTGCTGCAGTATGGTGACCAATGATGATATAACATACTGTGATACAGAGAAGGGAGATGAGAAAGGGAAGAAACTAGAAAGTTCTCTTTTTATGAATTCTTAAAAAAAAGGCAGAACCTCACGTGGTGGTTTAATGAACAGCCTTTAGTCTCTAAATCCAATTTGGATTTGGACTTTTTATGTCAATTACGTGGTTTGGATTTAGGTATAATTTTTTTCCCTTGGATTGGGTCAAGTTTGAATAAACCTCCTTCCGTATCCTGACTTTAGGGTAGATTAACATGATAAAGGGGAAGTTGAAAGAATAATGTGTAAAAGAGGTAATTATTGAGAATATTTCATGTCTCTGTTACTGTAGGTTGCTTCATTCTTGTATACTGATTTGTTCCAAGCTTGCTATGGTCATGACTCATAATATACTACTGTATCTAACATAATGTTTAACTTTGATAATCATAAAATGTCGGATGGCGGTCTTCATTCATGTTTGACTGCTTGGGAAATTAAAAATATTCTCTAGAGTACCTTGATACTTCCTGTGTTTTTTTTTTTTTTTTTTTTTTTACTTGCAACACATCTAATTTCATGCTTGCCAATGCATTATTTCAATCACTAATATCTTTCATTATCAATAAGTAGAAATTATAAAGATTATCATGAAAGTATAGATCTAGCCTCTAGGTGAATCTAATCAAAATCAAATAAAAATTATAATGATCCGATATCATGAAAGTATAAATCGAGGTGAATCTAAACAATATACAACACGATTATATTAAACCAGTATAGCTAGTCAAAGTAGAGTATCTAAATACTGCATAAGTCATATTGTTGCAAGTAAAAATTAGAAAACGGAGAAATTATATGTTGCTCTGGCAGATTTACTGAATATTTGCATATGTTAATAATTGCATCAAAGTTTGCAGATGCGATAGGGGACCCTGCTGGCCGTACAAAACTCATTGATTCAATGGAAGCTATTATGAAGGGAATTCAGCAGGTAATTTGGGTCTTTCACTGGTCTCTTATCTATGTTAATCAGATAATATGTTATAGACTACCTCCGGCAAGTATTAATTAGACAGAATTTAGGCTAATATTAGGGTAGGAAGCTTGATTCATTGATTGATAATGGCGAAATGTTTACAAGGATAAATAGCTTTAGGCTATTACTCTCACAGTCTCACTTAGTAGCTTTAGGCTACAACTCTCATAACAAGTGTTTTCTCTCAATTTCTGGATAACTGCTATTCTACTACTTCTGCCTTTTTATACTCAAGCTCTATTACAAGTATTAAACCTACTCTTAGTTACATTTGTCTTCTGCTGACGAAAAGTATCACATGCTCAGAGAATCAGTCACCCCTCCCACAAGTGCTTCATTAATCACCTTTGTTCTGTTCCTTCCTTCTGCTGATTTGGCTGTTCTGCTGTTTATACTCTTGTCCCCTTGGTCTTGTTTTGCTTTCGAACATGCTTGTAGTGGTGGCTGACCCAAATCAAGTTCTGGGTTACTTGGGTCCATGAACCTCAAGTTTATTGGTAAATGTTTTTGGATGAATGATGATACAAATCAACTTCTGGATCTTGTCATGAAATTGTTTGGCCTACTTTATGTGTATTGATGAACTGATGACTATAACTCCCCAAGAATGCCATGGGACTTTAAGTATATTTGTTATCACTGCTAAATTTCTAGCCAGGAACTACTGAATTTATACATTCCTGATTGTCACAAGTTTAGCATACAGTACCTAACAGGCTGACTCTGTTTTCTTGACATATGGCCACATGTCCTGGTTCATTCTTTAGAAGCTTGAGAAGGTGCAATTTGGACTACAAGTGGAGCAAAAAACTCTTGATACCCTCAGGGAGCAATACAGTGCAGCCATTATGGATCAACGCCATTGTTCTGTTCTCTTAAAGAATTTTCAGGTAAGGTATACTTAATCTCTCATGTATTTTCTATTTTGTTTATGGGAATTGATGAACGTCTGTTTTCTACTCATTTGGGTCAATCACAGGGGAATCTATTGCTTGAAGAGTTCATAGTTGTATTTTGGAGTAATAGATATGTCATATGGGCTATTGAAGGTTAGAGACTTAGAGCTATGCCTAAAATAAAAAATATATATACAAATAAGGTGATCTGTAGCCAGCTGAGGAAGATTTAAGCAACAAACAAACAACTTAAGATACTAGTCCACTAAGGAACCTCTTGTTACATTCTCCCTTCATAACACATCCCTAGGCCTATCTTTATACCTAAATTTTCTTTTTTCTAACTCCATCTTGAAAATGGAAACTAAGGCTATGTTTGGTGTTGACCAAGCTCGGCCTTGTTTGTACGCTAATTGCTTGAGATCCAGATCCTAAAAACAATAATGCTTTTGAATACGGTCAAGTAGTTCAAAGCTGTTTGTCTCAGTAAAAAAAAAAAAAAATCTTTTTTTTTTTTTTTTTTTTTTTTTTTATAATAGTTGCCAACAGTTAAGATATAAAATCTTCAAATGAGATGTCATTAGTTTCGTATTAATGTGTTCTTTCCAAATATGTAATCCTTATTTATTATTATTATTATTATTTTTTTTTTCTGATTATAGAATTAAAGATCTTTCAGATAAGTAAATGAAAATGAAAAAATTAGCTCTGATCCGGTCTGATTTGATCTTACCATTTTTGAAATTACACAAATATTTACTTAGATAAGTCGAACTGGACATAGCATAAATAACCTGGTTACTAGCGTTTGCCCCCACTCCGTATTATATTATAATGTTTTAGGTATTAGATAGGTGAATTTGACTTTCTATTTATACTTTTTATGTACTTAATCATTTTAAATGTCTTTATCTAATTTATTTTGGTTTTATTGAATAATTTGCCTTCTAGACATCATTTAGTAGAACGTAACAAATAACAAATGAAAAAGTACAATAAACACCCGCTTGGTATAACTTAACTACTACCCCCGTTTCTTGTTATTTGCAACAAATGAATTTTTTATATCTCACAAATTATAATCCTTTATTGCAAATAATATGAAACGTTGCTTCCCTCAGCTGGACGTGTCAGATCCGTGCCGGGGGGGGGGGGATGTAGGAAATTGGATATATTGAGGGAATGTAGACTTAGCTTTGGTGTCATTCAGGAAGGACTACTTAATACTTATCCAACATGTAAGTTTGGTACATTTTAGATTGATAAGCCTTGTTTTTTTCTCTTTTTTTCTATCGTCTTCAAAGGCCTTCTTCACTACTTCCAATTTAGCAGTCCTTTTACTTCTTAAGAAAAGACAAAATGAATTAGAATTATGACTTCTCTTTTGTTAGCTTCATAATTTGTCTATTTCCTGGATAATTAGATGGATGACTATCTGTTTATCAGTGTGATCTTATTGTCATGTTTCTATGTGATTATAGAGATGACAACAAATTTGGAAATTTAGTAGATTGTTTGGCTTTCTGAGTTTGTCTTCTTTTCCCTGGATAGAAATCTGTCTTCTTATAATTGTGATTTTTATTGTAATCTTTGTGAAGTATCTTGAATTCTTTTTCTTGATTTGACTGAACATTCAATGCTCAGTGCGTGTTCATGTTGGTCTTTCCAGCTTTAGTAAAAACCTTCCGGGAATAATTTTGACGATAAGTTTTTGTATGTTGGGGGGAAAAAGCATATGTTCCCAGCCTGCCACAGTGCATCCTACAACTTCAAAAGTTTTGTGCCACATTACTGAAAACAAACGGTTTGTATTGAATGCTTATGCTGTTGTTAGATAAGAGAATAAGAAACTAGGTGATCACTATGTTACTGTAATAAATGTAAGCTTGAGCTCTGTCTGGCTATTTTTAATGCTCTGGGCTATTTTTTTTTCCTTTTCCTCAGGAAGAATGTAGAAAGAATGAGAGGCTCAAGATGGAATTTGCTCTACATGAAAAGCAAGGGGGCCAAACTTCCTCTTCGTGTTGAAATTTTGTAATTTGCAATTCCAGAAGCAAGGTGAATGTCTCATTATAAATTTGTTTATACTTTTATTTTTGAATCTATCAAGACATGTGTACAAACTTTCGCAAATTTTACTTTATATTCTCTTTTGTCTACTTTCATTTTATCACTTTCCTTCTTTTGTTCTATGTTTTGTGGACGTTTTTTTTTTTTTTTTTTTATTTTTTTTTATTTATTTTTTTTTGTTTTTTATTTTTTATAACGATTTATGTTAGCTGACCCCATTTAATATTGGGATTAATGTTTTGTTGTTGTTGGTGTTGGTGGTATCAAGGCCAGTATACAAATAAATTGTCCAATCTGCAATAATTTGTTGTATTTCTCAACTTCTCCCAAAGTTTTTGCATTGTCCAACTCACATTTGATACATTTGTTTCTTTGATTTGAACTACTACATGGTTTCATTTTGTGTGTACATGTAGCAGTTGTTATCTATTAGTGTTAGTTTTGATGTAATGTGGATTATGAATGAAGAAAAAGTTTAGCTAATTTTGGATAAGCACGATTGCTCCTGGAAAATTCCACTTTGTATTATACTTGCTATATATTTAATGTTTTGTCTTTATATGAGGACAAAGACAGAACAGTAAACAGTTTCCTGTTCAGTGTTCTTACTATATTCTCTCCGGTCAAATTCTCTCCTTTTGTTGGAATTCTCTAGGGTCACAGTGCTGATTGTGCTTGTCATAAATTACTGCATCCTTGAATATTGCTGGAAACTTGGAATTTATGCTTCATTGCGATTGGGACTTGTGTCATGTCTCCAAAAGTAGCAGTTGTAATTTGTAAATCGTACAGCCACCACAATCATGTATTTCCTGTTGTAGATAGTTCACAGAGGTTCGGAGTTCAAATGCATTTCCCTTGCCTCTCACTAGACTACGAAACCTTACCTCTGACAATCCTGCACATTTTGTCATTGTCATAAATTCTTGAATCTTGATGCTTCCATTCATTGGCATGGGTGATGCGAGCTTATAATTATTTCCATCTAGAATTAATTGTCATGTTGATTATGTTTATTTATAAAACATAACACACAGTCAAGCCATTTTCTGAATTTAGTTTCTGTTGGTAATCCTACTTGGGACTTGGGAGAGCCTTGTTTGTTATAGTTACTGAAGATAGATGTTGAACTGATTCTCATATATGCTTTTTACTTGAAAAAAAAAAAAAATCTTTAATCCAGCTGAATTATTCTTTCCTTGTGAATTTTCTTTGTAATTCGAATTTGGATACCTGTATCAAATATGAGTCTGCGTCCAATTCTCAGATTTGGATATGTTATGAAGATTTTATATTTTTGGTTCAAAATGAAGTGTCAAGTGTCCATACTCATGTTGTAATATCAGGGATCCGATATTGGCACTTAAGTTGACATGAAGAATCCGAGTGACAACGTTCATTCTTATATCTGATATTTTCTTGTGAATTCTTTGGCAACAACCTCTCCATTAGCCGCCAGAAATGCTTTGAGTGTAAGGTTGCACATGGACTGGCCAAAGCCTGAAAAGGCAGGTTGATGCTTTGTTGTAACTGTCATTGTTATTTTGAGCATTTGGAAACAAATTTAAGCATCGTAATGAAAGTTTTCCACAACTCACTTTGATTTGTGCTGGTTAGCTCATCCATTATGTAATGTTTTTTTTTTTTTCGTACTCAGCTCAGGTAGTTGGCAGACCAGAAGACAAGCGACATCCTTATGTTAAGTGTCTTGTGTGCCTGATTTTGATAGAACATGAATGGCTGTTGGAAATGCGACTGCAAGATCATATGTTTGTAGTCATAAGTTTGACAGAAGATCAAAGAGCTATGTGAGTCTGATTCTTTATTTGTCCCATCATTTAAATTTTTGAAAGCCGAATAGGTTGAAACGCTGAGTCAGTCTACTGGAGATGAAAGGATATAATTTGGTGAAGATGCATTGATGAGACGCAAGCTTGATAGTGGCTTCATCTTTGGCTTACTTGGAATGATCGGAATATTCAACCCAATCTAGCTGGTTTTTTTTTTTTTTTTTTTTTTTTTTTTTTTTTTTTTTTTTTTTTTTTTTTTAGAGATAATGATATACGAAAAGTCGAAATGATTAGGTTCGTCTTCTCTCAAGACTACAACCTAACCTAATTTAGTTGATTTGTTTGTGTACAGTACAAAGCCTCTTTTTATATATTATCTCATCTTTTGTTTCTAACTTGTTTATTTGGTTTAAAACCATAAAATCATTCATTTATTGTCTGCCTGGTATCACTTCCCTTTATTTTTTTTATTTTTTTTTTTTATTTTTTTTTTTTTGATATTTTAAAAGTTAGATTAATGTTGACTGTGTTGTATTTCCAAAATATTGAGTACTTATTTTCACAAGTTAAATAACAAGCCAATATAAGTCCAACTTATGTCCCATTTTGCATCAAATATTACGTTTGTGTTGATAATTATATTATTACCGTAGATGTGTTTCTGTTGGGTTGTTTCCTTTCCCTTTTGTTTTAGTTTCTACGTTATGATCAAAGTAATTAAAAGTATGGTACCTACTGTATATCGTTCCTATTGCTTACAAAATAAGTCAAATTAGAAACAATATTTAGAGATGAAGAGAGTAGCAAATGATTCAACATTTTACTGTTGCAATTGCAAAAGTGAGATTTACGGTCTCAATATGTCAGATTAGCCTAAATTATTAGAACATATAATTAAACAAGTAATATAAGGATAATCAATGGCATACTCATTTACTTTTCCAAAGTACAAATTTAGGTTTTCCAACCCTCCAATTGTAATTCTAAATAAAAACCAATGAAGGAAAACTTAAATATGTCTTCGACTCTAATTTATCCTAATTAGCCACTTTTTTTAACAATGGAGAGTGCCAAATCAAGGTACTTAGACTTAATGCTAACATATTCCTTCACCTTTAAAGACCTAAAACAAGGACCCTCACAATTTGGATAATCCAAAAAGGGAGAGACTTCAAAGTCTAAAGGAGGGCCAATGAAGTATGCAATGGATAACCTTTGTTTTTCATTGTTGACAACTGCCCTATGAATTGCACTTGGGAATCTTGCATTTGAAATTAAGTGCAAAAGATCTCCCACATTCACCACTAAAGCACCCGGATGTGGGTCGACCGAGACCCACCCGAGTCCATCTTTTAGTACTTGGAGCCCACTTGTATTGCCACTTTGGTGGAGGATTGTAAAGAGGAAGGTATCGGTGTGCTGGGCTAAGCCCATTGTTTGGGTCGGATCAGGGCATGTCGGGTATGAGTTGAGTTGCAATGCAGTACAAAGGTCTTGATCTTTTCCTTCTAAAATGGGTTTGGGTATGTTGAGTGATTTGAGAAGTAGACCCATGAGTTTGTTACCGAGGTCCTTCATTTTTGTTTGGTACTCTGATATCACTTCACTGCATAAAACAACATAAACAATAATTAAACTAGGTTTTGTTAGCAAAAATTAATGATATAAACAATTTGTAATGTAGTAGGACATTTGACTATCCAATATCCTGCCCTTGTTAATGTTGTTCGAGTCTCAAACTCTATTCCTATCATAACCTGGTTTCACACTTCTTTTATTAGTACTCACACTAGAGGTATAATTGTAAACCAAATAAGTGAGAATGCCATTAATTATTAAAAGTGTGAAAACAATCTCTCTTATCATTTTGGAAAGAATAGGTCCATTAATAAAGTTTTAATTTGTTGTTAAAAATTTATAAAAATAGTATCATTAACAACATGCGTGCTAATTAATTCCGAGTAATAAACTAAGCTAGTTAATTAGACTCTACACTCTAGTCCATAGCATCACTTAATATGACAATTTTAATATTTAGGAAAGACTCCTTTAAATTGTTTCTAATCTATTTCAAAATTATTGTCATTAGTGATTGTATGTATTTCGTATCTAAAAGTTTTTTTTTTTTTTTTTTTTTTTTTTTTTTTTTTATTGGGGGGGGGGGGGATAAATACCATTTAAATAAAAAGAACTTTTAAAGACAAATGGATCGGAGTATATTCAAAGGTATTGATGGATCCAAAAAAAATATAGAAGCTTACTATACTTTATATGTCATCGAGTATCTATTTATAAAGTTCAAGAGCACTAGAGGGAAAAAAAACAATAATGTCAAATAATAATCAAGATTATCCCTGCTCAACTATCCTAATTGCTGACGATTTACATTTCTGAGTGTAACTAAAACATAACTCATTCTGTCCCCGATAATCAAAAAATCTTAATAATTTTATTAAGGTTGAAAAAAGAGAAATTCAATATAAACGTACAAAATAAAGTAGTGTGAATATAAATAAAAATAAATAAATACTCCGTATTTGTTAGGGTTATTTTGAGAGATATAAAATGTGAGAAACATATAAAAATAAATTCACACTCAATAGTATACATGCCTTAATTACTAAGCCGGCCTATGTAGTGAAAATTGTGAATCGGTGAAAGCCTAACTTGTAGTGTATTACGTAAGACGTAACATCATATCCAAGATACATTAATCTAAACTTTGAAAAATAAAATATCTATGTCATATTATTTCTACATTATAATATATGCACAACAAAACTAGGGGTGAGCAAAGACCCAGGGTACCCGGTACCGGACCCGGAACCGGTTAGGATCCGCCGGGTCCGGACCCGGAACTGGTCCCACCGGTTCCGGGACCGGGTCCAAAATGTCGGACCCGGTTGTAACCGGTTCCGGGACCGGGTCCTAAAATTTCGGACCCGGTACCCACTGGGTACCCGGTTTAAACCAATTCCAGTTCCGGGTACCCGGTCCCGGATCCAGACAATCCGGGTACCCGGAACCGGTACTGATTTAGTTATAAAAATTTTTTTTGTTTTTTTAAAAAACCCAACAATTATGGCCCAACCTAGCCCAATATTCCAGATTTTACCCTAAGTATATAAAGCAAAAAAAAAAAAAAACCCTATTCTATCCTCTTGACTTCAGACACTCACTTCTCAGTTCTCACTTTCTCACCCTACTCTGCTTCTCTGCTACAGTGGTACTCACCACTCTCACACTCTCGCTCTCCTCTTGACTGTCGACCACCGTTCACCGTCGAGCGTTCACTTCTTAATTCCTCCAAAGGTAATTTTTAAACTTTGCATATCAAATTATCAATTGCGAATTTGCGATTATGTATTTATTCGGTTTAGATCTGAAAAACGAAAGCTAATTTTTAGGGTTTTAATCATGAATAGTGTTAATTATGAAAATTACTATTAAAGATGAGTTTGAATCATGATAAAATTACAAATTACAAGTACAAATTAGTTAAACATTCAGATTTGTTCCTTCCCTTGAATTCTCTAGTATTTTGGGTGAATATAAACTCGATTGTGTTGATTGTGCTTCTTCCCTTTCGTTTTAACTTATGTTTTTTTTTTTATAAAAATCATATTATCGAAGAAGAATCGTGGGGTTTAATACTTTAATGGGTTTAATCGTTTATTCTCAGATTTCGCAAGTTTAATGGTTTTTATTCTGTTTATTTTGCTATTTTTTAGGCATTTTTATTGCGTAATCTATTGAATTACTGATCTTTCAGTTTCTAGGTTTTACTTTGATATGTTGTGATGTTGTCATTGTGTCAAGTGTCTTGATCTGTTTAGTCTCAAGGTTTAATGTATTGATGTTGTTCTGCTTCTTTGCATTGCTGTTGTGTTGGTGTCAAGTTTCATGAATTGATTTAGTTTATGGGTTTAAGCTATTTCTTGTTTTATTGAGCTGGTCTTTTCTGAAATTTGTAGTTGTGGAGAAAGATGTAGATGGTGATGCATGTGCAGGAACTACAGTTGGATTTCTATGTAGAATTTTGGGTTGGTGGAAAGAAAAAAGTGACAAATACAAAGTATTGTCAACATTGGCTAAGGACATTTTGGCTATACCAATTTCTACGGTTTCTAGTGAATCCGCATTTAGTACATCGGGTCGCATACTTGATCAATTTCGTAGTAGTTTGGGGCCAAATATGGTGGAAGCTTTAGTTTGTACTCAAGATTGGTTAAGGGCGTCAAATGTATGCATTGATATTGAGCGCTTCCTTGAGGATGTTCAAAAATATGAAGAAGGTAATACACTAATACTTCTATTATTTTGTATATTTATCTATTTTATTTCTCTAAGTTTATTACTTATATTGTTTACTGTTTTTTTTAGAATTGGATGGTAGTGACACTGGCATCACACAAGTTAATGAATTTGTTGGAAATAATTGATGTGACAAAGGTTTGTATAATTGTATTCTTAATTATATTGTATGAAAAGATATCAAATGACAAATATTCTAAGGACATTTTGGCTTTTGTTTATAGGGAATTTGTGCTTCCTTGTTGGCTGCTGCCTCTTTGCTTTGTTGTCTGCTGTATGCTGTCTTTCTCCGTTGCTTAGATGGTTGCTGACTTGCTGCTGGTCTTGTTGCTGGCTGATGGTGTGCTCAGCTGCTGCCTGCTGATGGTGTGCTCAGCTGCTGCCTGTTGCTGCCCTTCCTTTTCTTCCCTTTTTTTTTCTGAACTTTTATTTAAGTAGTTGTTTTGGTTATGTTTGGATGTTTGGACTTTGCAGCATTGTTGAAGTTTGTTGTACTGATATTTTAGGTTGTTGAATTGGTACTTTTTGGCTTATTAGTTTGTAATATTTGTATTTTGAAATATTTGTATTTTGCTAGCCTCCAAAACTAATTTAGGGATATTATTATGTTAATATAACTAGCCTGCAAAATTCCATTATATATAATAATATATTATATAACAATTATAAAGAAAAAAACAGTATTTTACTACGTTGAATAATACCGGGTACCCGGTTTTGGAACCGGTTCCTACCGGGTCCGGGACCAGTTCCAAAAAATTTGGATCCGGTATTAACCGGTTCCGGGACCAGTTCCAATTCTTGGGACCCGGTTATAACCGGTTCCGGATCCGGGTATTACAAATATGACCGGGTACCCGGTCTTGCTCACCCCTAAACAAAACATTAAAATTGAAACTTGAAATTAATTATAAATCGTCTTTTCCAAGTGTACATAGATGGACTATTCAAGTATGCAACAGGTGGCTAGAAATAGATATTATAAATTTATAATTAATATAACAATAAATAAGTGCATGCATGCATGTATTATGCATGAAAATTAAACAACGTAGTTAGTAACTTTAGCTTATAATCTTATATTAGCAAAGGTGCATGCATGTTAAAATTGTTATAAAAATAGATTTAAATAATAATAATAATAATAAGCTTACCAAAAATCTTGAAAATCATTAGGCCAAAGTACCTTGGCATCGTGATTCAAGGAGTCACCCATAATAGTGAAACCTTCATTCCACATTAGCTTGTTAAAGAAAGGTGTGATTCGAGGATAGCCATAGCCAGTAGCTCCGTCAGGGGGTCGTACAACCTTCATCTTTTGCTCAAATGGGAGATTGAATAAACTTTTGGCTCGAAACTCGACTTGATCGAGGACTTCCTTTGAAATCCCATGATTCGTGACTTGGAACATACCCCAAGTCTCACATGCCTTAAAAATAAGGTTTACAACATTAGGATCATCGAGATCAATCACTGGGACAGAGATTGAAGACCACGATTTCTCAATGTCATTAGGGTTGATTTTTGGATCATCATAACATTGCGCCCATGCATGGGATTCGGGAACATCTTTGACTGAGCTAAAGTCAAGAGGAACGATAAGATTTTGTTTCACAGGATGATCCTTATAAGCTTCTGAAAGAATAGGCATTTTGACCATTTTTTTGTTAAAAAAGAAGAATTAGAAAAACACCTAGGTGATCACTAGAAAATTTGAGTGTTTTTTTTTTTTTTAAAAAAAAGAAGAATAAGAAAAACACCTAGATGACCATTTAAAAAAAAAAGAAGAATAAGAAAAACACCTAGATGACCATTTTTTTGTTAAAAAAAAAAAAATTGTGAGAAAAATTTAAGGTTGAATTAACAAATGTATCTCTTGAAAAGAAGAAGGGGTTGATTATTAAGGAACATGAGGGTTGAAAGGGTGGCGGTAGGAGGTAGTCTATGTCGTGTAGTGAGCTTTGGAAGAAAGTGGAGATGATGAGAATTTTTGACAAAACATGAGACAAATGTCAATGGAAGCTTTGAAAGACAAATAGTGTCTATTTTTGGACAAAAGTGAATCTCTGAAAACATGTATTTATAGGGATTTGGGCAATCAGGTAAAAATTTGTAGATTAATGATACACGTCCCGATTTATTTAAAAAAAAAAAAAATCGTCATGTATACAGAAGTTTATAATAAACTGGATAAAACACTATGTATGTGTCAAGCAAACAATAGGAAAGTATAATTATATAATTAATTGTAAAAGATCAATTCAGATTTTGTTATCTGGATAGATAAAGATCTCATTTTATAATCTATAAATGTATCAACAGGTCTATAAATAAGGTAAGATATCAACAATTATGATTATATACATTAAATAGGAGATATCTATCTTGATATTGTTCAATGAATGGATGGATGGTAGCTTAATTACATTATGTAATTATTTGATGTAAATTAAATAATACATCTATCCAAGATGATCTTGTGGATTAAGAATCCACCTAATAATTATATATTATAAATAGAGTAGCCATTTAATGCTTATAAAATTATTCTCAACGATAATTATCAGGTTCCTAAGGCTCCTAGTTCATGAAAACAATACCACGTATACAAAATCTTACAAATGACTAGGTATGCACTTTAAAGCTTATGAGAAAGTATCTTATTTTTCCTATCTTGTTTTGATTTTTCTACTTTTAATTGTAATGTTCTTATTTCTATTATGCTATATTTTAAAACGTAACTTTGATCATCAATATCTTTAATTATGTGTTAACAAAAAGTATAATGATATAATATTATAAAACTAACATTGAGATATATAACAACATTTTACACGATTAATGTATTGTGTGAGTCCAAACTCACGATAACACAAATATAATAAGTTATTGGACATTTCATATAATTTTTTGAACATCTCATTTAAATAACTTTATAAACAATTTGAAAGTTAATTAGATATCGACTTGGAAGTAAAAGTTTTTAATTTAGATATTTCATATAAATCAAAATTTTGAAAATTTCATATAACTCATTGGACATATCAGTCATTTTTCAAATTTTATGTATTGGGTGGGTGGACTTATGGTGAAACTGACTTACCTAACACTTTTTGATATATAATATCAATAATAAATTTTTTCTAATATTTTCTAAATTTTAAAATAAAAAGTCAAATGAGAACATCATTTTAAGACGAAGGGAGTACTTTTATCTTCCATATTACTTTATTCTCGGTAAAAAGCCCTCTCTTACACCTTTTCATCATAGAACACCATATGAATTATCCATTCATACAATTTAACAATAATCATGTTTCTAATTAAACAACTTTATTTTTTCCTACCCAAAAATTAAATTATAAATAATAAATTATTTTTGGTCTGTTGCTACAATAAATGAGCAAATAAGAAAAAGAACAGGATTTAAGGCATGACTGCATGAGATCATAACTGATTCTTCTATTTGCACAAAAATCGCAAAGTAAAATTAAATTAATTTGTTGCAACAAACTAGTTTTTGGCGGTCAAGCAATAATGCATCGGGTTATTGCATAAATGGCGAGAGTAAATTCATTTTTATTTAATTTATTTTCTATTTTATTATGAAAAGATAGCTTGTGATCCTTTGAAATTTATACTTGAGGCCGAGGGTTCAAATTAATCTCGTTCAAACCATGTCTTTCAAAGTTTCAATAAATGAAAAAAGACTCATTGAATGATGAGAACACCACATGGCACTTGGATTATAAACACTATTTAAGTACTACGTTTAAATTAACAGATTTAAAATTGGGAGTAAAGGAAATATCTTATTGATTGTCTCAACGAATAAATGGTGAATATATGTAATTCACCCAAATCAAAGTAAAATTAAATAATGCATCCAAGATGATTTTTTGGCCCACCAAAATTGAAAATAAAAATCATGCTTGTGCCTAGCCGTCTTGGATTAGAATCCACTTAGGCCATGTTCTCTTCACCTGATATCTGGTGATAAAATTAAATTAGTCTACTAAATTTAAATTATTTTTAGTGATTAAATTTTTTTTTTTTTTTACTAATTGTATTTTTTTTCTCCTTGATGTTACTTATGTTTACCAATTAAACATTTTTTGTATTGAGCTTAACACTTTTTTTTTTTCTTTCTAACTGGAATAATTATTACTGAACGTAAATTATTTTATTGACAAAAAGCCCAACCACCCCTCCCCTCACCCTGCCGCCACTCCCCTTCCCCTCAAAACCCTCCCCTCCCCCGAAAATCCCTAGAAAGCCCTCACCTACTCACAAAATCGTCAACCGCCCCTCTCCCACCTTCGAATCCCTAGTGTTTGAAGGTTTCGAGGGTAGGGGAGAGGAGATCGACGGTTTTTCCAGTAGGTGGGTCTCTAGGGTTTTTAAAAGGGGAAGGGGAAGGGTTTCGGAGGGCGGGAGATCTTTTGTCGGTGGAACAAGGGGAAGGGAAGGGGCTATAGGGAGGGGCGGTGGGGTGGTTGGGTGGTGGGGGTCTTCTTGGTAGCTGGAAAAGGAGGGGAAAAGAAGGAAAGAGGTAGTTGTGTGGTGGCTGTATGGTGGCTTTTATTCCCTTTCTTATTTAAAACAAAAAAACTTAGTATATGTATGGGTTTTTGTTTCCTTTCATCTTGTTTCTCTTTATTAAGCTCATTCTCTTTTTCTTTGTTGAACCAATGACCCCTAAGAAAACTCGGAAGAGGGTGATTGAGACTTGAGAGTGATATGAGTGTTTTGGGAATTGAGGAAAATATGGTGTTGGATAGAGCGGTATGGAGGGAGAAAACTCATGTACACTTTTGTTTATTTAATCTTAGTATTTACTTTTATTCATTTACTCAATTTGTATTTACTTTATTGATTTCCTTTAATTTGCTATAGTTTTCTCAAAGCATTATATCTTTTACTCACACGTTTTTACCACTCCTTAAAAAAAATTATATACACTCGGGTGCAAGGTGCACCCAAAGGTATTTTCTGGTCAAAAATATTAAATGAGTAAAAAGTACCCTTGGGTGCACCTATTTTTATGTGCACTTGGGTGTATATAAAAAGCGTTGACCACTCCTTTAAAACTTTCTTAAATTTTATTCTTGATATTCTATTATAACTTTCTTAAATTTTACTTGGATGCTCTTTCTTTTTCCCAATTTACACACCTTTTTTTTTCAAAGTTATCTTGTTATGTCCTTTTTTCTTGTGACGATTTGTGTTAGCCGACCTCAAATCAATTTGGGATTAAGGCTTTGTTATTGTTGTTGTTGTTGTTGTTGTTGTTGTTTGGTGGTAGCGTTTGATATAGTGGTTAGCGTTTTAACCAAGTCAAAACATTACTTGGAAAAAAAAAGAGTGTTTGGTAAGGTAATGGTTAGGGTGGCAGTTAGTGGTAGATAAAGTGTTTGGATAACTTTTCTCAAATCTTAAAAATAAAATAGTAGCATAAAATGTAGCAAGTAGCGTAAAATTTTGCTTACTTTTTTAAACAATAAGTATGGATTATAATGTATTTTATTATTTCAATCGCTATTTTTACCAAACACTTATACTATCGATCATTACTTTTACAGCTATCCGCTATTTGACCGCTAAGAGCTACCTACCTGTTACCTCTATTTTGCCAAACAAGGCCTAAAATTATTACTTAACATAAAATGCTTGCTACGATTAACATATAATCATAAAACATAAAAAAAAAAAAATATTGTTGTAGGTACATCTTTTCATTATGTTGATCAAGTCATAACACAATTAGTTTCAAATACCACGTTCATTCCCTGCATATCTCATTATTGATTTACCTACATCTCGTTTAGATGTAATCCTCATTTATATTTCTAATATTACTTCTTTATTTTCTTAAGTAATTATTTTCCATTCAAAAATTTTAAAAATTAGTGATACGCAAATATAAATTTATGATATAATTTATGCGGATCAAGTCTGAACATTTATGTAATAAGCAACATGGTTTAGATCATCAACTCGACTTCAAACGAATTATAACTTTTTAACATTACATTCTACTCCGTATTATTGAAGGGGGGGTTGGGGTTTGTTTGTATAGAATATGAATATGAATGTGACATATAACCTCAAAGTAGACCACATTTGGTTAAAAGATTAAGGAAAGTGAATACAAGCAAGAGACTATGATGACAAAAAATTGTGATACAAACGAAGGTGGATTATCCCCATTTGCCTATCATTTCTTTTTTGTCACATTGCTCAAGTATTAGGTTGACTAGTCAATACTTTGGATATTATTAAGGAATTTTCTTAGTATAAAGTTGAATAGATTGATTTTGTGGACCCTAAGATTATTACTGGATATGCTAATTCTACAAAAGGCAAAACTAATGAAGCTAAGGTGGACCAATAAAAATTTAGCACGACTTGTGTTGTCCACTTCGCCTACAAAAGTGCAACATAGCAAGAAGCAACCACTTAAAATAAAAAAAAATAAAAATAAAAAAATAAAAAATTTAGGCATAAAATGAAAAATCTATTTGGCCTATCAATTTCCATGAAGTAGAAACATAATCATACATTTTTCAAAGAAATTGGACTATGATTGAACTAGATTATGGAATTTTGTCATATACTCTCCATATGTATGTTTCAATGTTGATAGACTTTCACTCGGATTTGATAAATGGATTCTCCTAGGATAAATATTTCGTGAAAAATGGTCATGACATGTGTAGACACCTGATTGTATCTCCCCAAAAACAAAACCCAGTGATTAGTACATTTCACGTCTTTGATTTTTGAGTTAGGTGAATAGTTAAAGAGTCTCGTGAATTTCCCTTTAGCCTTAACCGTATTTTTAACCTTTCCTTAAATGTTTTAATCCAAATAATTCATTGCGTGTCTTTGAAAATCATTCATTTTGTGTCCTCTTTATAAAAGCGTCCAAACCAGTCTATTTTGGTCCATAATCCTGGTCCAATTATTATGTACAATTTTTTGCCTAGACTCTAGGGTAGCTAGCTTCTCCTACACCCCCATGCTACTACGTCGTTTTATATTCAAGCCATAAATAATCATTCTGCTATTTTGTTTTTTTTTTCTTCATCTTTTTTCATTTTTGTTAACTTTCTATTCAAGCAACTATATAATGATTTTCTTAACCTAATTTCTATTTTATTTCTCTCTTTTTTTACTTATTTCATTTTCTTTCTCCTGCATTTTTTATTTTTCCCCCAATTTTTCTCTCTTTCTTCCATGGAAATTTCTAGCTCAATTGTGTTTGATCGTGACTGTGATTCTAGCTTAATTGCTTTTGATCGTGATTGTGATTCTATTTTTCCTGCTGGAGTTGGTTTAGTCGACTCGTTTTCGCAATAATGTGAGTAATTTTTCCCTCAATCATTCGATTTTGATTATGCTCTGTTTTCACATGTAATAGTTCGATTTTGATTTCATAATTTGATAATTGTATGAACTATAGTTTATATAATGCTCAATTATAATTTTTGGTTTTGTAGTTTTGCTTATTGTATGAATTAAAATCAAAATTATGGTCGATTATAATATTTGATTTCATTTTTATTTATGATTATTTTAATTTATAGTTTGTGATGTATTATTGTGATTTTATTGTTTTTCTTTGTAATGTTGTTATTCGATTGATGTTTTTTTCCAGTTTTCTGCATTTTAATGATTGTCTATAGTTTTATAAAATTTGACATTCAATTAATGCTCATGTATGTTAGATTATATGTACATTTACGTTAACATAGGTGTAATTACTGTAATTTACATTTATCTATGTAATCATAAATGTTCATTTATATGTTTTATTATCATTTTGATATATGTTCATTTATGTAATGATAAATGATCATTAACAGTTTACATGTGGTTATTGTACATTATTGCTATTATTTGTGTTCATTTGTTACATTTTAATATTGCAGTGGAAAAAAAGAATGCTATTTTATTTGAGGAAGCAGCTAGTTCTGAATTTTATGGGAAACAATTTCCTTCTGAAGATGTGGCTTCTGAATTTTTTGCTAAGAGACAAATTGATGAAGCAGATTTCTATTATGATTTTGAACAAGATGAAAATGGTGCATTGGTTAATTTCTTTTGGAGATATGGAAGGATGATGAGAGATTATCATTACTTTGGTGATTTGTTAGTTTTTGATACTACTTATAGGACTAACAAATATGGTATGATTTGTGCTCCATTTGTGGGTATGAATCATCATGCAAATAATGTGATGTTTGGCATGGGATTTATACTTAATGAAAGAACAGAATCATTTGAGTGGTTATTTGATACTTTTCTAACTTCTATGGGAAGGAGAAGTCCTATTACTATTATGACTGATCAAGCTCAAGCAATTGCAGCTGGGATAAGAAATATTTTCCCCAAAGGTGTTCATCATAGATTATGTGTGTGGCATATTGAACAAAATTCTAAGAAACACATTGGGGCGTTGAGAGCTTTGGATGGTTTCACTGATTTATTTGGTTATTTACTGAAGTATTGTGAAACTCCACCAGAATTTGAGCATTATTGGAAAAGGTACTTCTGCTTTATACTTGTTTAGCTTCTTAAATAATTTTTACAGAAATGAACATATAGTTTTTTATAAATGTTTATTTATAATGATCATAACTGTTATGCTTAATGATCATGTTTCATTTACAGAATGTTGTTGAAATATGACTGTGCAAATGTTGATTGGTTGAATCATTTGTATAAAATCAAAGAGATGTGGTGTCCAGCTTTTCAAAGAAATTTTGGTCAGGAGGTGTGCTTTCATCTCAACGTAGTGAGACAACTAACAAATCAGTTTCTCAAAGGCTTAACAAGACACAAGGTCTATGTGATTTCTATCAAGTGTTTCTCGATGTGGTTCAAGAGTGGAGAAGCAAAGAAAAAGGGAGAGATTATAATACAATCAGAGGTAATCGTCATTTGGCCTTTGCATACATTGGGATTCTTATTCATGCTAGATCATTGTATACTATTCAAGCTTATGTGCTTTTTGAGGAAGAGTTCATTAAGGGTACTGCTTGTGATCAAAAGGATGCTGGTGTGAATTTTCCTGAATATTATTATCATTTGTGGAGACCTGGGAAAGATATGATCAAGCACGAGGTTTTTTTTAATAAAGAAACACATGCAATATGTTGTACATGCATGTTGTTTAGTGAAATGGGTTTGCTTTGTTGTCATGCTCTTCGAATTTATCATATGAATTGTGTTCATAAGATTCCAGATGACTATATATGTAAGAGGTGGACTAAGGCTGCTATGTGTAGTCATGGCCTTGATGAACCTACAATGAAAACCAATGTAGTATCTACAAGTCTTTGGAGGACACAAACACTAAGGAAATTTGTTAAGTTGGTAACAAGTTGTCAACACTCTTTGAATGCTAGAGCAGAGGTTGAATGTTATTTCAATCTTTTAAAAGAAAAGATTGAGAGTGTTACTGGTACTATTGATTTTAATGAACCGGTTGAAGGTATTGAAATTGTTGATCATGAAGAATCCGGCAAAATCAAGACCTATTGGAGAGAGGAATTATAGGCCTAAGAGTAATTTAGAGAAGGCTTATAACAAAGCCAGGGGTCAGTGGTTGAAGAAAAAGTCAGTATACACTCCTTATAAAAGATCTAAAGGTCAAGCAGTAGTTCAGGTAATAATGCACATTTATGTTTTTGTTATTGATCATTTATGTTCAAGAATTGAACATTTTTGTTTTGCCTTAGGAATTGGACGAGAATGGGTGTCCTATATCTTATGCTAATTCTTTGGCTGATCCTAATGAGTTAATTGTGATTGAAGATCCAAGTGCTCAGGTAAAAACTTATTTTCTTTTTTTTTTATCTGTTTTTATCAAATTCTTTAGAATATAAAACATTTTTACTTTTAATTTTTTTTCAAGGTTTGTAATAAAAAGACTGCCATTGTAGAAGATATCCCTTCAGATGATAGTGTTTCAAATGACTTTGAACAGGTATTATGTAAATGATTATGTATGTAATTGTAGTTGTTCATTTTAGTAGTTTAAGTTGTGATTATAATGTTTTTATAATTTTCATTTTATTATAGGAATATGGATATAGCTCTATGCAATCAAACATTACTGTTGATCCAGACATATCTTCTATTGTTAAGGTGAAATATTAATCATCTACCTTTTAATTTTGTATAAGGTCATCATGAATTTTGAATTTGATCATTAATTATTTTAATTTTGATCATTAGGGTAAAACAGCTGCAATTGCTCATGATGTTGATAATTTTCCAACAAGTTCTCAATTGCCACCAAAGAAACCAAGAAATGTACAATTTCCCACAGTTGTGCATGCTCAAATCAATGCTCAAGCTCCTTCTAAAGTTTCTAGCATTGTTCAAAATCCTCCAAAAGCTCCAAGAAATGTTCAAGTTCGTTCTAGTGTTCCGAAGAAAGTTCAAGCTCCTTCTAATGTTCCAAGAAGTACTCAAGGCTGTTCTCGGAATGTTCAAGTTGATTCTAGTATTTCAAGAAATGTGCATGATGTTCCTAATGTTCCAAGAAGTACTCAAGGAAATTCAAGGAATGTGCAAGTTTCTCCTAGTGTTTCAAGGAATGTTCTACTTTCTCCTAGTGTTTCAATGAATGTTCAAGGATCTCCTACTGTTTCAAGAAGTACTCAAGGAGGTTCTCCACAGATTTCAACCAAATATGATAGGTTATTAGCGTTTTTTGATACTAGTGTGGCTAAGAGATTGGCTACAAATGGTAAATAAGAGAGTAAATCAATATGCAATTATGTTTTGGTGTTTAACTATCAACATTTTTAGTTGTCTCAACTTTATAGAGATTCAAGTGCTTTAAGTTTTTTATATTTTGATTTATTAAGTAATTTGAATTTTTTTTTTCAAACTATTCTTAAATGTTCTATAAATGATTATTTTTGCTTTTGGAAGTGATCATATACTATTTTAAATAGTAAGAACCATTATTAAATTGGAATAATTATATTAGATGATTTAAAACTGGCAATTATAATGTAACACTTTACTATTTGTAAATATTAAAAAGATAATAAATTTTGTCTTTACTTGAACAACAACAAAAACTTATGTCCATACAAATACTGAAAGCAAGTATGATCATATATATGTCTATATATGAACATATTGTATTAAGCTTGTGCAAATCTTCTTGCTGCTCTTCTATTGTTCTGTGACTGCCTGTTTCCTTCATTCAGCATTAGTTCAGCAGTGTATTGTACTCTGAGCTTTCTGATTTGGTTCACCTGTTCCAAGAAAATAATTTATTATAAACATGAACATTAATGGGATATAAATGATCATTATGTATTATAAAGTGATCATGAAGTATATTTTTTTGTTTTGTTGAAATTTACTTACATTGTTTGGTTTTAGGTCACAAACCCATTCTTCATTGAGATCAACAGTGAAAGTTTCCATATGTTTCATAATGTAAACTCCACAGTTGGTGTAATCTTCGTTGCTCCTCCACTTCATTTTTTGCAAAACCACCTTATATTTCTCAATAGAATATGCATCTTCATACCCCAACCCTTTCAAATATTCTGCATATCCTTTTAACTGCAACATATACAGAAAAAAAAATTCAAAGGATCATATTAATATTGATCATTTTAATTTTCAATATTGATCATTTTGTATAAACAAATTGATCATTTATATATCTATTAAACAATATACTTACCACCAATTGGGGTTGGTTTTCATACTTTGTTACAATTGTTTGATGTTTTGGCAGTTTCCTGTTGTCAATTATATGCATTGTCTCATTGATATGATCAATGCATAGAAGATAGAAATGTGCATATATGGCCACTGGAAAAAAAATCTGTACATAGTACACAATATTATTATATATACACATTAATGTAAATGAACATATTATAATTCCATATTGTTCATTAATACCTGTTGATATCCAACTGCACTCTTGATTTTGTATAACCTCAATTCATTTGTTATTCTTTCTTTGAAGTATGCAATTCTAAGCTCCATTGATGATCCTTCAGGACACACTGTATTTGCATACATAATTTGCTGCAAATAATGCACAAGGATCATTTTAATATTCATAATGATCATCTAGTATAAGTGAATTGATCATTTTAGTACACCAATGTATACATGTGTAATTTCAATAAAGACTTACATGTGGAAATGTTGAAAAGTATAACTTGTTCTTTGACCTTTTTTGATTCAGAAGTACTGCCCATGAATCGATCACATTGTTAACTACTAATGTATCCCCTTCAAGAGTTTTCATCTCTGCCCTATTGATCGAATTCACTCCATCATAGTATAGTAGCTCACTGCAAAATATCAATTTTTTAAATTTTATGAGTTTACAACAAACATAATGTTAAAGTTTTAATGAAGTAAGTGATGTATACCTTTGATCTTTTCCACTATAAGCATAGTCTGTTACAAGTTTGTTCATTGTGTCTTCATCTTTGAACAAATCCTTGTACTTGACCATGTATGGAGATTGGAAAGCAAGAGGAACATTTGGGATTTCCCTTTGTGGCCTAGTTAATGTGACCATATATTAATACAAATATGAATTTTTTTAATAATGAACAAATAATTTATATAAAGAACAAATAGTAATACCTTATCTCTTTTTCCTTTGCAATCTCAGTTTTTGCCTTCTCAGCTTCTCTTGATTTTTTTCTTTCCAAAGTCTTCTCTCTGTCACTGAATAAATATTGAATTATGAATGATCATTTAGTATATTGATAATGAACATTATAAATCTATACACATGTAAAGACCATTTACCTTTGTCCTGTTGTGTTTTTGGAAATTTGAATCTTCTCTGTTTCAATTTCTTTTGAATCCTTTTTTGTCTCACTGAATATAAATATAGTATAAATGATTATTAAGTTTAATGAAAAAGAACATGTATATGTGGAATAATCATTTACCTTTCCTTCACATTTGAAGCATATATCTGTTTCTTCTTGTCTTCTCTGAAATATTAATCATGGTTAGTAATGAAGAGTAATTAATATAAAAAAAATATTATTCTCCTTTTTTGAACAATAAACACTTAAAATATTACTAAGACATTTAAATTAAAATACATAATTTACATATCTTAAATTGTGCATTCCTACCCTAAAGCAAAATATTCCCTTCTGATTTTATAATACATATCCATTACTAACTTCATAAACAAAAACTGTCCAAAATAATTACACTTTATAACCAAATTTATTCTACATGTCCATTCAAAATTATATATTTTCTAACAAGATAGGTCTTCCATGTTTACCCCATGCTTCCTCCTTTCTTGTTTGATTTATCAAGGATATCTTCCATACTTGAACATGCTGGAGATTTCAAGATTGTAGAAATATCTCCAGCAGCTTCCCTATTTTCAGTTGGTGTCTTGGGATCACCAACTTTTGAATCAGATGCTGCAAACAAAATACATGAAAGAAATTTTATATAACTAGAAATGAACATTATACTTAATAATTTGATCATTTATTTGTAATATGTGAACATTGTACCACTCTTTGAATTTCCTTCAACATTTTCTTCTAATGCTTCAGATTTTGAACCTTCACCTTTGTTTAATGCTTTTTGTATTAATTTGCATTCACACATATATAGACTTAGTATCATTAAATAAGAATATTTTACAATCACAAATGTTCATTTAATACTATATAAGTGAACTTTTTACCTTTTTTTGAATTTCCTCCATCTTGTGGTTCTTCAGAATTTGAACCTCCAACTCTTTCTGTTGATTTAAAATATATGAAATTGTTAATGTAAATGAACATTTGTTATTCTGAATATATACTTTTTTGAATATTTAGACTAAACAAACTTATTATTTTATAAATGAACATTATACTTTTCATAATTGTACATAGATATTAAAGCTTTACCCTCTTCTGGCTTAGAAGAAACATTTGCATCAGTTGTTGTTGAAGTTGTGGCTGCAACATTAATCTGTGCTTCTGTGTTCAAATAAATTAAATTTTAATTCTTTAATTATATTATACTCTTTAAGTAAAGATATTCAAATTAATGACAGTTTTTAATTAAGCATATTTACCAGTTGTTGGAGTTGGGGGAGTTAAGTTGCAACCCAAACTGAATGCCTTCCTTATATCATATTCCTTCTCATTTCCTATTTTCTTTTTTTCTGCTTCACTTGCCTCCATCAGTTCCTTCTCAATTTGTGTTATGGCATTCAAAAAATCCTCTGATCCAAATATTTCTTCATCTTGGCTGAGAATTGATGGTTCTCTTGCCATCTTTCCCAACACTTCATCTACCTTCTTGACCAACTGATTCCCAGGGAAGAGCTCTTTTGCCTTAACCAATTTGGTAGAAAGTCTTGCCAAAGATGCACCAACTTGTTGTACCATTGATGCAAATTCATTCATAAAGACCTGTCATTTATAGAACATATAAAAAAAATCATATAAGACATTATGTGTTTTGATATTGAACATTTCATAATTTATAAATGATCATTTTGTACCTTAGGATTGTCTTCAGGCTTTTCTTCTATTCTTGGAAGGACTTTTCCATATCCATAGTTCAAATCATTTTCTGTTTTTATCCTTTCAAGTGACATATCCCTTTTCCAACAAGAAATTATTGGAATTGTTCTTGGTTGTTTTTTGTTCAATCTTTGAACTCTGTCAAAGTAGAACATCTGCACCAAAACCCATTACTATAAATGAACATATAATATAATACAAATGAACAATTAATATAAAAGATTAAAATTTTAGACGAAATCGATATTTAACATTTTGTTAATGTACATTCATTGTTACTAAAATGAACATTTTATAATTTACTATTGTGTGTTGTAAACTTACCATCAGAAATTGCAGTGGTCCATTGTAGAATCCTTTTCCTCCACTCTTTCTCCATGTCACATGGCAACTGATGAGAGAGTCAAACACGTATTGACACCAATTCAAGTTTTTTATTTTTTCTTTGTCCATCATAGAAAACAGAAACTTGAAATGGCATTGGTTGTTTGAAATACACTTCATCAAACAATTCACAGCAACTACCAAAAAGTTGGTGAGAAAATCTTCTTCTGCTGGCCTTTGGTTTTTGAATTTATCACTTGTATATTAAGCAATAATTTGGTTTACAGATGGTGTTTTTCCTTGCCATTTTGACCTCCAATTTTTTTATAAATACACCAAAATCTTCACTTGCTCTGTCTGATTTGGCTTCAACAATGGGAATGTCTCCCATTGGCAAACCATATACAATTCTCACATCCTCCACCTCAATTTCAATTTTCTCACCTTTAGGCAGCTCAAAACTACAACTACTGACTTCAAAGCTATCTAAAACCCAATGGCTGAATTGTTTGTCAAGCTGAGGAAGTTCTATATCCAACAACGGCCCCAGTCCTATTTCATGCACTAATTTCTTCTGTGTATCACTCATTTTCTTAACCCAATGCATGAATTTGACATGGCCTCCTCTTGTCGAACTTCCAACTTCCTCTTCATTCTTTTCTTCCTCCTCTTCTTTTTTTTAGCCACTGAAAATTCAGTTTTCCTCTTCACAATCTTTTTTATTGGTTCCCTCTCATACAGAACCATTCTTTTTTCTTCAGCTTTTGGTTTTTTCAATGTTGTTTTCTTTTCTTGAACTACTTCCACCTCCTCACTTTCTTCATCTTCTTCTTTTTCAGCATCAAAAGCTGGATCCTCACTGTCTGATCCACTATCAGTATTACTTTTATCATCTTCTTCATTTTCCTCCTTTGATTGTTCTTCAATGATTTTTGTTTTCTTCAAAGGGCCTTTAGCTGATGCAGAAGGCCTCTTCTGGCCACCTAAACATTTGATCAATTATCATATGTAAAATGAACATATATATATGAAAGTGTAAATTGCTAGTTTGTATTTGAACATTTAACTTTATTAATATGTACATTACCTTTTTGTTCTACTTTTTTAAGAATTTTCTTTTCTGCAGGAGCAGAACTTGTTGCAGGGACTTCTTCTTGTTCTTCATCCTCTGATGGTTCATCATAAGGCACTTGATCTATGACTTTTCTTTTTTTTTGCAGGACCTTTGGCTGATGCAGCAGGTCTTTTCTGACCACCTAATTATTTGATCAATTACATTAAGTAAAATAAACATTTTAAAAGTGTAAGATTGTAATTGAACATTTATTGTTTTAGATATGTTCTTTTACCTTTTTGGCCTGCTTTCCCACTAACTGCAGCCCTTGTACGCCCTGTTTTCTCAGCAGGTTTCTCTGCAACTGCAGTTGCAGCCCTTGGACGCCCAGGTTTTTTGGGTGTTGTTGCTGCTGGTAGGTTTTCAGCAATTGCTGCAGCAGCTGTTGCTATAGCTGATATGCCAGGCAACTTAACATCTGCAAATAAACATTGTTATATAAATATTAATATAGTTGTAATATTTTATTTAATATGATCATTGTTATATTAGAAATTGTACATTTTATTTACCTCGTGATTTACTTCTTGTTCTTCTTGCTGGTGATTGTTCATCTTCCTGTTTTTTCTGATTTTCTTCCAATTCTTTTTTCTTTTGATTTTTCCTTGCAACCATTTTCCTTCTTGGTTGCTTTGAATTTTGTGAAGATTCTTCACTCTTTTGAGACAAATTTAACTCTTCAACAGGTTTTATACCTCTCAATATTCTTGTCAACTCCTCATCCCTTTGCAATTCTTCTTGTCTTTGTCTTTCCAATTCTTCTTCTGTTTCATCCTCAATCTCAATTTCTTCACCACCTATACATTTAGATCATTTACAAATTGGTAAATGAACATTTTCAGTATAAGTGTTATTGATTAAAAAAATTTAATATTTAATTTAACAATTATGTACATTACCTAATAGGATTTTTTTAATTTCAGCAGGGGCCTTCTGTTGTGCATTGGCAGAACTTGCTGCATGGGATTTTTCTGCAGCAGAGGACTTTTCAGTAGTTGTAGCTGGGCCCATTTCAGCAGCAGTGGATTTTCCAGCAGTATCAACAGTTGTAGCAGGGGCCTTTTTAGCAGCAATGACCTTGCTAACAGGAGCATTTTTCCAGTTTTTTGTCAGTTTTTTTAGTATTCCTTGAGTTGACACTTTTATTTTTTTCCTGGCAACAGATAATTTATGATCAATAATATTGTAAATGTGGAATAGAAACATTTAATAAGTTATATATGTTCATACTTTTGCATTATGTATGAATGTGTTTCTTCAACTGCTGCTGGAGGCTCATCCTCTTTTGGAGGCTCTTCCTCTGCTATAGCCTTCACTTGTTGTGTAGGCTGATCCTTTGCTGTAGCCTCTTTTGGAGGCTCATCTTCAGTTGATTCATTTCTGAAAATTAAAAATTGAAAATGATTAAAAATGTTTATCAACTAATATGAAAATGAACATTAGTTGATTTCTGAAAATACCCTGCTGCATCCTTTTTTGGTTGTAGTTGTTCAACCTCTCTTGTGTCTTTCTTAGGTGATTGATTTCTGAAAATCAATTAATTTCAAATAATTAAAAATGTTTATTAAGTAATATGAAAATGAACATTATGGGAATCAAATACCCTGTATTCACTAATTCTGATCCAGCCTTTTCTTGTTGTAGGTGATCAGTTTTTGCTTCCTCTTCAGTTGTTTTTTTTTCTGAGAATGCAAATCATTAGATTATGTATGACAACTAAGAAATAAATGAACATTAAACACATTGAGGTAGAATATACCCTTGATTTGTTGATGCATCATCTATTTTTGAAGTTTCCTTCTCTTGTTCACTGAAATTTTTCGAATGTTAATACATAAAAGTATGATTATGTAACTGTATAAAAATTAATTATTGAATTTTTATTAAGTATTTATACCTTATTGATTGATTTTTCTCTGGCCTTGATCTTGACATTATAAATTTCACTTTCAACTTTTTTGGTTCACTAAAATTTTACAAATTATTTCAATTATGAGATTAAGTATTGAAGTAAATGATTGTACATTAAATATTACATATATGAATATTTGTAAGTATATCAACTTACTTGGGATGTAGGTTGTCTCCTAATAAATAGGGTTCCCACTTTTTTATAACTTCATTTCTATCCAATTTGTTGTCTATTTCAGAACATTCTTTTCTCTCATGAATTATAGGATAAGGATTGAACATTCCATTGTCAAATTGCATCAAGTGTATCACTTTAAATGGTACATCACTACAATGTAAATTAATATTGTAAATCATAAAAATTGACATGATGTTTCTATGTTAGACAAATGTACAGAATAGTTCATATAAATGATCAATATAGTTGTAGCAATGAACATTTGTATACACATATATGGATATATATAACATAATATGAATTTTGACAATATAGTGTTTTGTAAATGTTCATTTTACTACACAGATGAATAAAGTATATGTTTTCTATTTGTACAAAATGGAATTTAGAAATGAACAATTAATATGTCAGTAAATGTATACACATAAATTTAGAAATGAACAATTTAGAAACAAACATAAATTGCATGCTGTACACATAATATACAAATTTGAACATATGTATACATATATATGCACACATATATGCACACAATCCAATTTGAACATATACTGTTTTGTATTTGTTCATTATATTTCACAATACTATACTTTATATTTTTTTTTGGTTGATCATTTAATCAAAATTATGCATACATTCCAATATTAACAGTAACTTGTTTAAATTTTTATTATCGTCTCAGAAATAGAGGAAAATTATGTTTATTTTGAAATTAAACAGTAACTTGTTTAAATATGAGCAAATTTAAATAAATTTATGCTTATAATTCCAAAAAAAAATAGTAATACTTACTTTGATTGTTCTGGAACTCCAGTATTTTCAATTTTTTTCCTGAAGCATCATCAAAAAGAAAAAATACCAAAAAATTAGGGTTTTGTTTCGCAATTTTCAATTAATTTTACACTAAACATGTAAAACATACTTACTCATTAGATTTTTGGTTTGTTGTTGTTGAAATTTGTTGAGATTGTGCAATTTCGTCTCTTATGTCGGACATTTTAGACAATTTTACTTGCTAATTGCATGTACGAAAATGGAGTAGAGAGAGAAAATGGAGGTTGAGTGAGAAATTGGAGAAAGAGGATGAGAAAGAAAATGCAGAGTAAATGTGATTATTTGAAAAGTTTTTTTTTTTAATTATATATATATATATATATATATGGGTGGGGTAGTGGGAAGTTACTGGCAGTTTTAGAGGGAAGTTACTGGGATGTGTGGGGGTAGTGGTACGGCATCGTTTAGGGGGGGTGTAGGGATAAATGGCTAAACTAGAGTCTAGCCATAAATAATTAATTATTATATAGTTGGATGGGGCTTGAAAAGGGCTTTTCAACGATATATTATAAGCCCAAATCCGACTTGTAACGAATAAGTTATGACCAAAATACTAAACCGAGCCCGAACTTAGCCTTGTCTGCCGCCCGATGATCATGTGGAGGGTCCATTTACCTTAATCCCATTCCTAAACCAATTAGGATATATTACAAGCTTCTAGAAGGTTGTTTTCGATCCTAAATCCATTAGAATTGATTATAAAGCTTCTAGAATCCTCTAGAAGGTTCTAATTTATCCTGTTTTCGAAAAGATAAAGACCTAAGAATTTGAACATCTATTTTTTGATAATCCTAATCCCAGTCAGAATAGAATACGTACGGATATTTGGTTAACCCAATCCGATTGGGAATCAAACTCTGCACAGATTCTTATCTTTTCAAGACCGTCGCAGAATGGCAGAACCATCGCGCCGCGATAGTCCCATCGCGCTGCGACGAACCCGAAGCGCCGCGACGGTCCTGTCACGCCGCGATGGAACTTGTTTTACTTTGATTTAATTTATGAATCTTTTTTGATCCTTCGACCCTCTTTTTTCCTTATAAATAGAAGTCGTATGCCCCCGTTTTCATTTACCAACAATCATCATCTAATCCCTTCTCTAATACTTTCTTTTTCTCGATTCTTTTCTTAGCCTAGCCTAAACACATCCTTGATACTTTTCCCTAATCAAACACCATACCTCCTTCACGAGCTTTGAATACTCCTAGCCAACCTCGAAGTTGTCTTCGACCTCAACGTGAAAGGTCGATTGTTTTGAGGTTTGGTCCCAAATCTATATTTCAATTCTTATTTGATTTATTTGGTTTATTTGATTTAATCATTGTTGAAGTTTACTAACGCGTGTATTGTTTTGATAGAAAGAGGTACGAGGCATCAAAGTGAGCAATTCGATTATTTAATTATTCTTTTGATATAGAAATTATGTTAGGATGTTGATGTTGACTTCTAGTATCATATTTAGGATAAAAGTTTGATTTTTATTATTAGTGACATGCTAGGGTTTGTTATTAATCCGTTTATTTTCATGCCTAGGATCTTGCTATTAATCATATTTTAATAATGTTTTGATTATGATAATGATTGTAATCAATTATTACATTGCTTGATTATTCATTCTTATTGCTTGATCACGCCCCTTCTTGTAGGTTTAAAGGGAATTTGTACTTGAAATCACGCCTAATAAGATAATTAATAATTTGATTTTAGGTTAATATGATTTTAATTCAAGTGATCGCCAGAAATAGATTTATTTGTGCAGCAATAATCAACCAACGTAGATTGAATATGCTTGGGATTAATTTAATGTATGCATGTTGATCGGAAAGTGCACATGAATATCATAAGAATTAAGTAGAGGCCGATTAGGACGAATTCAATCTCTTTTAGGTTGGATTCGTACCATCATCCCCGAATATCCAGTCATGGTTCCGGACCACTATGGAGTTAGCGATCTCCGTGATCGTGAATGGGGTGTAACCTTCACACCCGTGAACGGTTTACAAGTTCCTAAAACTTGTTGGCGTTTCTTCTATCTCTAGCTTCCTTCCCTTGGAGCGCCACCATACCTAGAAGCATGATCACAATGGGGCTCAAGGTTGGGTTTGAAAAATTTCCTACAACATGTTTGATCGACAACAATGGAGTTTTCAATTTGCATGAAACTATTGACAAGGGGAAGTTGGGTAATTTGTTTCCTGTTTAATGTGGAAGCCATATTTCCTAGGCTTTTCTAATCTTTTCTCTTTAGAACTAACCAAAAACAACCCAAGATTGTATTTAGCGTGATTTTTCCCTTCCACCATTTTTTATAGCCACCCAAACAACACTTAGTCAATCACATACTCGTATTTGATCAATTAGTTGAGACTTGAGAAGTTGAGAGGTCATAAACACATTTTTTCATGGGAAGAATCAATTCAATCTTTAGTGGATGCTTCATTCTATCACCATATTGTTCATATTGTGAATAATTTACCACGAGTTTTGATTGTTCTGCCCATCATCAAGATGATATACATCATTCTCAAGCACTTGATTCACAACTCGAATCTACCAGTCTACCACAGAGAAATCAAGCAGGCATATCCTATGAATAAGAATCAGTGATTTCTGATGCAATTAAAAACATTGCTGACTTCTGCTGTGAACACTTGAGAAGACTAAAACCGCCCATGTTTAACATGGTACAGCATTGAAAAAGAGAAATCTACTTATTAAGAGCTTCTTATGTAGGACAATTAACTATGTCTATAACTTCTCTTTTGCTCTAGGGGAGCTTATATTGGGAGTGAAAGAGATACTAACAGAGGCACAACAGCTTTCCTGAATCATAGCCGCGCCAAATCTGTTGCTGAAGGTACAAAGCTGCTGCAGTAGTGCAGAAGCTGCATTTCCTTTGCTTCTTGTTGAACCTAGCTCCAACATGTTTACATTTGCAGGGATGCCTCTGGCCTTGCCAATGGCTATTCTTCACTCAGGAATTTTAGCCAGATTTGCTAAATCAGCAATAGCCTTGTCAACCTTACCTGCCAAATATACAAACAACCACAATAATAACAGTATAAACAGCATCAGACATTCAGACTTGACGGAGGTTATCAGTAATACGAGTATTATTCAATGACATATTTAATAGAACTAGCCTCAGCAAGTACATCTAAAAGTTGGGACTTAGGAATATCAGGTACTAAATAATCGGTGGTGTTCATCAATTTGAATTTTTAGTAGTACGAAGCCATCATCTCGATTGCACAGAGGTCGTTTTAACATTAACACTTTATATCATCATCCAATATCAAATATATTATGGTACCTCAAGACATTTTGGGTTCAACTCTGCAGAAAGAAATGACGGCATGTCCTTCAGAACTGGAAATTATACAGAATATAAGTCTGCTGGATACTTTTAACCAATTACTCAGGTTTGAACAACCTATAAACATCAAGAACATGCTGGTCATAAGCAAATAGATAGAAATGTCATATTTGTTCTAATGTCTACCTATTAAAATTATTCTCATCAGTGATATTCAGTAGATACACAAGGTTTAATATACTATGCTATACATTCATACAGACATTGAATAGTGCTTGATAACATTGAAATTAGTTGGATGTACAATGATATATTTTTGCCCAACAGTATGAGGTTTGTATGTTATGTTCACTCGATCTCATTACTTGCTTAACCAAGCAGTCAGGCAAAATATTTAATCACATTCATGAATCCCAAGCATCAAAACCAGAAGGGCAAGAAATGGTTTCTTCTGTTGCATATATCGTACAATATAAAGCTGCAGGATAGCATAGCGTATAATTCATGAGGAATCAAGGGAAGGTTAAATCATTCCAAAATTTGAACCTTGACATCTTATTCATGAAAAAGTTTCTGAAAATTGGAATACAATTTGGAGCTGTAACAACATGCACAGTTGCACATCTAAGTCTCCAATGTGTACACTTTGCCGCTACAGCAGTTCAATGCTGTGCATTTGATCCTCCTAAACAAAAAACTGGTAAAAGAAATTCAAGATCATTCACAATTAAAGAAGTTTTTGAGGAAAAAAGGAAACTTAAGGATTCCATATAACTATTTCTGTATAACCTATAGTTTTGTTGACATCAAACACAAGAAACGTCACTATGCACTCTGTATAAAATTTACCAAGAAAGGAAAGTAGATTAATTTTTAAATAACAAAGGTAGTATGATACATGAGTTTTTTTTTTTTTTTTTTTTTTTTTTTTTTTTTTTTTTTTTTTTTTTTTTTAACAACACGGAGTAGTATAGTTGAGCGTCAAAATTTTTAAACTTTAGTCGTATAAACAAAACTATAGGTTCGCTCATAAATCAAAACATGTCCTTCATTACGAGGGATTGACACAATGTGACAACTAATTACAAACAACTGCACAAGGGGACTACCGAGTAAATATTAGTTGTTACACTGAGAAATTCATCACCATGATACGAGGTAATCAGTAACAGTTAGCTTACAGAAATTAATACATGAGCAAGATGGAATTAGTCAGGTGCTCGATTTGCATTGAGTTCCCGAGAAAACGATTTAAGGTACTTAATCTGATTACATAAGACCATGTACATAGCTTGCTATTACCAATCCACTTATCTAAATACTGGAATTAAAGTCAGCTAAAAGTTATCTACTCAGCAAAAACCTTGAACAAGAGTTAGTAAAAGCAAGGTTAGACTATTATCTGCTCATCTACTAGCAAGATTTGTTGCTGTTGCGCTCATATATATCCTCGTCATACCTCCCGCTTTGTTTCGAGGCTAGGTTCTGTTGCTGAAGTTCCTGCATGTTTGGCTATCATCCCACCTGCCATAAAATGAAAGAAAGTTTATGGATCTATGAAAACAGTCTGAATCTGGAGTACATCTTCAAGAATTATAAAATACTATGAATAATAATTCATTTCCATTATCTTTGCTAGCCATTCAAGATACTGAGATAATGGCACAAGGGTTAAGTATTTAAAGGGCTATTGTAAAGCATCAATTTCAGCACAATATAGTCATATATAACCTACTGTATGTTACGTTGTCACTAGTGAATTTCGATGTGTCGATGTAAGAGGCAAATATATAGTTAAATAATAAGAGTAATAAATTGGATTTTTATAACGGTACAAAAGAGAATTGCTAGAAATTAGAAACGGTGAACATATTGAAGCAATTCAAGCAAAGCCAATTTGAACCGACTGCCATAATAATACCAAACCAAACCAAATCATCAAAGATAGGCCTTGTACACGGCAAATAATTACCTTGGTTGATAGGGCCCAATCCATGGATGGAATTTGCACCGACAGATAATAGGTTGCGATACTTTTGCACAAAAGAACGGTCAGCAGGTGGATTTGTTTCATGCTCTCCGCTGGGTAAACAATATTCGTTTGTGGTTGTCCTGGGTGAAGCTTTCGGTAAATTAGTCGACCAAGATCCTCCATTTGATCCGGCCATAGCCATGATAACATCTGCCTGTAATAACTTACCACAAGCAAACCATCAGCTGAAGCAATTATGCAGGCCTCTTGACACAAATTGACAACAGAACCATCAACCATGCTATCATATGAATGCAATGTGGTAATGTCCTTCGCATAGAAATTGTTTTTCCTTTCTCAGTCTCTTAAATTGTCACTTTTTAAGCTCTTCCAAATAGGGAGGAGAAATAAAACAATTCTACCACCTCCGCCCCATAAACTACTTTAGCTGGCCCATATCAATCTATATTTTCTCTCATATAGTAAGTGTTTTCTCTCTATTGTTTCTCTAGAGTTGCGCCCCACACCCACCCATCCACTTTTTGTCTCAACTTTTTCACTCTCCTTAATCTCCCCACAATTCCCCAGTGTATAGTTCTTATTTGACAAAGGACTTATTTCACTCAAATCAGATCCACAGACTAATTTTAGCAGGACTTTTCCTATATCCTAATTCAATGACATCAATAAGGGACAGCAGCTCTTTCTAAAACCATTACACTGCATTAAAAAGCAAATAATGAATCGATTGTAAGACGTCTGTCATACTACTCTTTAGGGATAGCAGAGCATCTCACCCTAGATTCTGGAATCTCCTGGTGTCAAATGTTTTCATCAATTGAAAGCATACAAACAAAGAAAAGTACATTACTTTTTCATCTACTAAATCCTCGTGTCCATACATCATTACACGTGCTATCTCCTTATGAGCTGTGATATTCAACTAAAAGAAAGGAAGAATAAAACTATAGTAGATTAGAATATTAGATGCAACAAAAGCAGTTGTCCCTATGCCACCGGAGGCTTGTTTTCTTTACTCTGGGTAAAAATTACCTGATACTAAACTAACTGAAGTTGTATAGGTTATTACGATCTTGCAAGTGAAATAAAAAAAAAAATAAGTTTCAAGGTGAGAAGAATAAGACCTAAACAACAATACAGTCGCAGAAGTAAAAGAAAATGAAAAGACTAGGAATACCATAATTCTAACGTTTTTGTATTAATTCCTAATAACCTTCCAACACATAAAGTAATTGTAACACAATAAGATATGAATAGACAATCTTCCCAACACCCTACAGTAATTTGGAGAAATATTACGTGCAACACCTTAGTTTACAAGAAAAGGCATCCATCACGCCAGACATAGAGAGGGCAATCCACAATTTTTTTTTTTTTTTTTTTTTTTTTTTGGCAAAGGCTATTGATATTGATATTGATAGAGCGAACCCCAATGTTTAAGTGAAGCTTTAAGCTTAAAATTTGATCCAACTGCAAGCATATTAATTCTAAGCCTCAATCACTTCATCTTCTGGTAATTATAATTATCCCTATTAAAAGTACAAAGAAGATAAGCAGGGCTATTTTATCCTAAAAAATGGAAGAGAAGGTTGAAATGAAAAGAACTCCTTCTCTGGATAGCGGATACCCAGCAAAATTACAGAGAATTGGTGAATAGGACTCCCCAAAAGTGTCTTTCTTTTAAAGTATTTGACACATGTAAATCGAAAGCTAATCTATGATTTTCAATGGTACAGAAGTACACTTCCATTTCAAAGTTTACACTCAAAACTTGTCCAACAAAGAATTAATAAAAAATTACTGCATGTACATGCAACAGAATGATTGTCAACATTACCATCATCACAACAGCAAAAACCTTTCAAATTCAGCAGCTCTACAATGCATACATTAAGTCTACGTCTCCGCAATAAGGTTTTCCTATGCAAATACTCTTACAATACTCATTGAATGAAAAAGAACATTTTTCCCCAACTTCAAAGACCATTAATCTTCTTCAAAGCTTGCAGTCTTGCACCCTTTCCTAAGTCTAACTAGGTGCTGCTAAGAAAAATTGAATCACTTTGCAAGTTCATAACTTAGCTATCAGACTGCACCAACAATTTTTATGTCCTATTAATTGATGGTAGTTATTGTTATTAGTGTTATTGAAGACATTCTCGTAACCAGAGTAGTTTCCTGAAAAACGTACCCCATTTTAAGCAAAGAAATGGTCACAAACCTTGTTTGGATTAACATCATCAAAAACATGGACTTGACCACCATAGATTATAGTCATTTGTCTGCTTCCAGATGTATTTAGGCCCCGTAAACTGCAATTATCAAATAAAAATGTATGATACAAAGTGGAAGGTGGAAAAACAAGATCAAAGATTAATTGAGACAGTAAAAAGGCTTTTTTTCTTACATTGGAGGGTTAGATGGTTCTGGATCAGATATATGAGTGGCAGGCTTTATGTTGCAACCACTTGGAAGCAACCCATAAGGGTTTCTCTCAGTAACTGGATTGCTACCAGCAGTGATCGAATTGAAGATACCAGAGCCTTTATTCCCAGTTCTAGACCCTTCATCCGCAGCCAGCTGAGACAAGACTGATGGACCAGAGCTGATATCCCTCAATCTGCTTGAGGGTGCTTGATACATGAGAGGAGAAGACTTCATGACACAAGCATTATACTGCATGCTACTCCCTCCAACATTCGTTGGATTCAGCCTCTCAGAGTTCACAAAGTTGGCATTAGTTGTCTGAGACACAAAAGAAGATAGTGGCCTGATATTTTGAGGTACACCATGAAGAGGCCCATCAAAAGGTGAAAATTTGAGTCTATCCCCACCACTTGCACAGCGAAGCATCTGGATTCCAACATAGGAATATATTCACATAAATTGGAGCAATAAGATAAGGTATTTGTATACATTTCGAACAAAGAAATGACAACGACATATACCTTCATCACATGAGAACTCTCAGGAATCATTTGTGGAATCCCCTCTCTTGATGATCCGGTAAAACCAGAATCCGAATGACTCCGCTTGCTTCCCACAAACCGATTACTTACCTCAGACACGGATAGATCACTTTTTGGACCATAACTTGAAATTCTCTCCAACTGACTACCCGCCTGTTTCTCTGCCATTGATAGTGGGAATCTAATTCAGTTATCTTAGAAAACATGATAGTGCCCAAGTTGTTGAAATAACAATGGCCACCCACTTTTAAAGTTGTACACATATTCAATATACCTCAGCTTACCAAAAGAAAACAGTCCAAAGAGACAACATCAACCAAGTGCACAAAACAAATGTCACTTTTTTAAGGGTGGGGTAGCTACCTGCAACCACATAACTCTAAAGTCTAACTATCCGGAACTAATAGCCACATCGATAATATAATTCGAACGAGTAATGTGACAACTAAATCCGGACAAAGGGAGTATTATACATCACAGTGATCCAAAACTTGATATAAAATAAGGTTATACTAAATACACTATTTAGAGGAACAACAAGCAAGTACTATAATTTCTTGAAGTTTAAAAGGGGCAAAATTAAACAAATGTAGAGCCATAAATTAACTTCAAATTTCTTAAAAATACAGAAAAATGCCATTAATCAAGTTGAGAACAGAAATCTAAATTTAAGGAAAATGCCCACAAAAATGCATTCAACAAATAGCAGGAAAAAAGAAATCAAGCTAACTAAAGATGAAAGCAAAGGAAAGTTAAAACTCTGATAAATGCCCACCAAAATACATTCAACAAATAGCAGATAGGAACAGAAATTATGCTAAAAAATCTAGATATATCAAAATCTGCAAAATGCCCACCAAATGCATTCAACAAATAGCATATAGAAACAGAAATTAAGCTACAAAAATCTAGAAATAACAAATTCTGCAAAATGCCCACCAAAATGCATTCAACAAATAGCATACAGAAACAGAAATTAAGCTAACAAAAATCAAGAAATATCAAAATCTGCAAAAAGCCAATAAATCAGAATTAAAAAATTAAAACCAAAAGATGGAAGAATACCAGAGAGAGGAAGAGAGACAGCGGGAAAGATGGGAGCTTTACCACCAAGAAAATCATGAAAAACAGCAGCAGGAGTTTGTGTTGGTGTTGGGTTGCTGTCAGAAGCGGTGTTTTTAGTGGGTTCACCTGTCATCATCATCGCCATTGTTGGCATTTCATGTTCATCCTCCCATTATTATTACAGAAATTGTAGAGAGAGAAAATTTAGAGAGAGAAAGAGAAGGGGTTGATAGATGTGATGGGGTTGAACTGGAATCTGGCTAAAAGGGGCAAAGAGAGTGAACTAAAAGAGAGTGACGAAGTGGAGAGAGAGAAAGAGATGGGTCGAAGTATTGAAGTGTTAAAAGTTGCAAATGTCTACTACTGTAGTCTGTGGGGTTATTATGTTGTGATCTATGGTTGCAATACGCCAATACCGTGACGACGCTCTAAGTTTTGAGCGGGTTTTGATTATTGACACGAACCTGATATTATAGCATTAATGACAAAACATAAAGTTAGTTATTACTCTATCGTTATACACAATATTAGTACAACAATACAAAGTGGAAAAGTTACCATACTCATCAACTAGTAACACGGGTTTGGTGGACCTGCGAAAGGTCTCGGCCTAGGGCCTTCTCCAACCATTACAGACTTACAGTATAAAGGTTATTAGTTATGAGTAGACCTGACAATCTAGACCTAGACCCGATCCAAGACTTGAAATTGATCCGAAACCCGATACATACCCGATCCGAAAATGGAGTTGACCCGATCCTGACCCAACACCCAAACTGACCCGACCCAAAGTTGACCCAACCCAAAATTGACCCGAAGTGTTTGACCTGAGCAAACCCAATACCCAAAATTGACCCGAACATATCCGATACCGAAATATCCCGAACTAAAATCACCTTATAATTGAATTAAAAATGTCTGGTGCCAAAAATAACTCAAATTGTTCATTTTCAACCGTAGCCAAGCTCATAAACCGAATTGATGGTTCTTATTATAACAATAACAAAACATAAAATTACTGATTTGAGCTTGATCCACAAATGGAACAACCCGACTTGATTTTGACTCGATCCGAATATGACCTAAACATACTTGACCCGAAAATGATTTGACTCGAACATACCCAACCCGCCCGAAACCCGAAATGACCCGACCCTACCCGACCTGAATGTTAACTAACCCAAAATTGACCCGACCCGTACCCTACCCAAACGACCCATTTGCCAGGTCTAGTTATGGGCTTATGGCAAATTGGTAATACACATGATGTTAAACGGTGGACATGTTGGTAAAATTTGGGTGACAAAATTGAATGAGTTTTTTTTTAAGTTAATTACAACTTCTAAAAAAACCATAAAGGGCATAAACATAATAATGAGTGCAATGAAATTCTAGTTCTAACCCATCTACCCCAAACTTAGAGATGTTCTTTTGCAGTTGTCATATTTTGTGAAAAAGTCATATAAAGTAGGACAACAAAACATAATTTACAAATCTTCGAGTCTTTTTGTTATTACCATTCAAATATGTGCTACCTCCATTTTATATTATTTGCAATGTCATGACGACGTCCTCAAATTTGAGCGCGGGTTTTGATTATTAACACGAACTTGACATTGTAATGACTAAACACAAAGTTAGTTATTACTATATCGTTTATACTTTATATACGATATTAGTACAACAATACAAAGTGGAGATGTTACCATACTCATCAACCAATAACAAGTACTTTAGTAACATGGGTTTGGTGGACCTGCGAAAGGTCCCGGCCTAGGGCCTTCTCCAACCATTACAGTAAAGGTTACTTCTATTAGTTATGATAATACACATGATGACATGATGCTAAAGGTAATGGTGGACATGTTTGTGCAATTGGGCGACAAAATTGAATGAGGTTTTTTTTAGACACTGTATCAAGTTTGTGTTAATAGTTGAAGTTAATTTTACGGTTTTTTTCATCATATACCCCTAATTTTTTTGTTTATAAACCATATATCCCTGAACTTTTTGAAATTCATCATATACCCCGAGTTTTCACAAATATACATCATATACCCTTGATGACTAATGATTCTTAACTTCGTCAATCATCAGGGTTAATTATGACCCGAAACCACCCTAAATACATTCCCCTATACCCGAAACACCCACATTCCTTTTTCTCACCCCAAAACTACCCCAAATTTCCTTTTCTCATCTTCAAAATCAATCATACGAATATGGTTATGGAGATTTGGAGTGATTTCGGGGGTTGGAGAAAGGAGAAGAGTGGTTTCAGGGATAGGGGGGAGAGATCTAAGGTGGTTTCGATTCATAATTAACCAAATTTCACTCATCTTGTTGTCATTAGGGGTATATAGTGAACTTTTGTAACAACTCAGAAGTATATGGTGAATTTGAAAAATTTCAGGGGTATATGGTGAATAAACAAATAACTCAGGGGTATATGGTGAAAAAACCGTTAATTTTAGTGAATCGCTAAACATCGCCCGCAAATTACCATATAAAGCCCACAAATATGATTTGGTGTGACCATTATGCCCATTTTCTAAAATTGAACAAATCTCGGTTTAAAAAATGTGGAGCCGTACTGGCTCGCCGGGGGAGACCGGAGGGCAGGCCGGAGATGCGGGGGACGCCGGAGGTACGTCGTCGTCGACGGAAAACGAGGTAAGTCACCGTTAAAATTCACGGTTTACCGTAGGAGTGGCTCCGGCGCCTAGGATGGACGCCCAAACCGTAGCCTGGACGTCCAAGCCAGACGCCAGAACCACCACAGTGGCGTCCAGCCCAGACGCCCAGACCACCAGACTGGCGTCCTGGCCAGGCGCCACTCTACTGGCTGAGGCGGCCCTGCCAGGCGCCAGTCCAATGGTTGTGGCAGCCCTGGCAGACGCCACCTTTATATATTTTTTTTTTTCTCTTTTGATTTTGTTGTTGTTTTTTATTTTTTTATTTTTTTATTTTTTTTTTAAAAATCGAAAATGATTTTTTTAAAAAATTCGAAATGGGTTTTTTTTTAAATTAATTTTGAAAATTCGAAATAGGTTTTTTTAAAATTAAGTTTGAAAATTCGAAATGGTATTTTTTTAAATTTAGTTTGAAAATTCGAATTGGGTTTTTTTAAAAATTAAGTTTGATTGTTGAGAAAGGTTTTTTTCTAAAATTAAGTTTGACAATTCGAAATTGTATTTTAAAAAAATTGGAAATTGTTTATGTGACTTTTATAAATGATTGTGTTTAAAATTTGTATGTGTATGTGTATGAATAATATTATACATAATTATGCTTTTTTTTTGTGTTAATTCTGTGTAAATATAGAAATTAAATGTATTATCCGTTAAATGTATTTATTATAATATATAATTGATGCAGGATTATGGTGGAGACGGAAATGATTACAGTGGGATATTTGGACATGATGGTCCATTCGAAGAAGCTCAACAGGCGATTGATTGGGCAAAACAGGTTGCAATTGCAGCTGGATTTTGCTTGGTAGTAGTAACTCATAAATCTCAACGAGATGGTAGAATGGATCGCATTTTGAGATGTGACCGTTATCGCAAAAGAGAAGAAAGAGATTTTCGTACAGCCACTCGGTTTGACACAAAGCGGAAAGGTTGTGGGTGTGAGTTCAGAGTAAAGGTTCGACAACTACGGAGTCGTGACGGTTGGGAAGTGATAGGTTACTCTAAATGGGGGTATCACAACCATGAGATGATAGTATATGAAGAGGGTCATCGACAGCTGAGCGGCTTAAGTCCTGCTGCGAAACTAGTTGTGAAAGAAATGAGTGATGCTCAAGTCAAGCCTGCTAAAATATTAGCATCTGTGTTAGAGAGAAATTTCCAGAAGACCATCCAAACCGAAGACACATCTACAACGTCAGAAAGCAACTCAGGTTTGAACGGTCAGAGGGAAGGAACCCTATACAGCAGCTGCTACACCAGGCACAATCACGTGGTTACCTGTTCTGGTTTGATTCTGATGAAGATACAGCAGAGGTGACTCATCTTTTCCTTGTGCATCCTGATTGTGCCGATATGATCAAGTCTTGGCCATTTGTGATTTTGATCGACTCAACGTACAAGACAAACAAGTACAAGTTCCCACTGGTTGAGATCATGGGGATGACTCCAACGAACCAGAACTTTCTGATTGGTCATGCAATCATCAAGGATGAGACGGCTCCAAGTTATTATTGGGTGTTGGAGAAGCTGAGAAACTACATCGGGCCTAATGTTCATCCAGCAGCCATCGTCAGCGACTGTGAGGGAGGTCTCTTTGCCCCCATAGCAGAGCTGTTTCCAGAATCGAACCACTTATTGTGCACATGGCACATTAAGAACTGCGTGAAAGTGAAAGCCTACAACCTTTTCAACAAGAATTTGGAAATGGCAGAGAGATTGGTGAATGGTAAGTGGCGGAAGATCCTACAGGCTACCACAGAGGAAGCGTATGAGCGAGCATTGGCTAACTTCAGGGATTCGTACCAGTGGTGTCCGGCACTGGTGGACCATGTGATGCAGCAATGGGTCCCTCACAGGGAAAAATTTGTCAAATATTGGACAAACCAGGTACTTCATTTCGGGAACACTACAACATGTAGAGTTGAGAGTGCTCATAGAGCTACCAAGGACTGGATTGATTCATCGACCGCTGATTTGGATACACTGTTCGATAGACTTAACAAGTCAATTGAAACTCAGAAGAACGGCATCAGGAACTCTCTAGAGGACTCTAGACGACGACATGGTACGATGTATAGCCATTTCATATTTAAGATTCTCCATGGTCGTGTGTCGCACTACTGCTTGGGGTTGATTCTCACTGAGCTGAACAGGATGAGGGACTTGGCTGACGAAGTGTATGTTCGGTGTGGGTGTGCTATTTCAGTAACTCATGGATTACCTTGTGCATGCACCATTCACCGCGTTATTACAGAAGAAAGGGCGTCGTTACATGTTGATCAGGTCCATTCATTCTGGCGGACGCTCGTTATTGGTGAGCATGCAGATACTCAAACGGCCGACCGTGAACAGGAGGAGTTGGAGCAGTTTCGTTCGATGTACGACCGAGTGTCCTCCAGCCATCCTTCTATTATTCGTGACGCTACTCATGTACTTCATGACATGTTCCACACGTCTACCTTAGATTATGAGGAACCCGAAGGAGTTGACCGTCCTCGAGGTCGGCAACGACGGAACAGGAGTGCGTTTGAGTATATCCGTGGTCTTGGTCGTGGTCGTGCTCGTGGTCGGACATCGTCATCTAGTCGTAGTCAATCTTCATCGTCTGTGAATATGCCCCTGAGAACTGGTACGTTTTGGTTGTTTACATTGCACATAGTTTTAAAATGTTACTCCTGCCTTCTTAACTGTGTTTAATTATATGGTGAATAGGAAGAAACGATGTTGATCAGTTTCCGTACAAGGACAGGATACCTGCGATCATCATGCCGTACTTGGAAGGGTGGAATGATGTAGTCGGAGATGGTAACTGCGAATTCCGGGTCGTGGCTGATGTTTTTCAAATGGGCGAAGACAACTACGGTTTGGTGCATCAGTTGATGTACAGCGAAATTGCCTCTAACCGAAATGTTTATCGTCATGTGTACCAGGATGACTTGGATGGCGCTCTACGGCGTATCCGGTGGGGAGGTGGACCTTGCGGCCAAAATCATTATTTTGACGCGCCCCTAGATCTGTTTGCCGTTGCAAACATTTACAAATGCGCAGTCATGCATTTCGGCCTGGGATTGCATAGTCAAGCTTATTATCCTTGTACCACGGTTCTCCCTTGGCGTTCGCGTGAGACTGTCACCACACCGGTCAGAGAGGTAGCTATTGCGTTTCTTGGGTCGTCATACAGACATTTCATCCGACTAGACATGTCATCCGATTTTCCAGTGCCACCGATTATACCTCGGTGGTACACCATTCGCACAGCGAGCGTAGAGGGTTGGGATGCGCTATACCATGACCGGATCCACGAATGGAACACCCTAGCTGCATTTTAGTTTTTCATGTTTACATTCTTCCTATGTAATCTTATTTGTACGTTGCTCTTTTAATGAGAACATTAATCTTTATATTGTATTGCTTACTGCATTCTATATGTTGCATGGGTAAGTTGCGCGGATCCACGAACGGTTATGTCAAAATTTAAAAACAGCAATGATAATATGTCTAAGTTGGAAGCTAAAAGAACAATCTAAAATGTTACAAACTTACAACATAATGTCCAATTTAATAAATTAAAACGATAATATTTAAAGTGCTCTATAAATAAAATGACAAAACCATCAGTAATCCCTCCTCGACGCCGACTCCCAATGCGCAAGGATCTGTTCCAGACTATCAACAGCAGCTCTCACTGTTGCACTCATGCTGTCCTTCTCCAGAGAGAGTTTCTGTACGTCCTGCATTATCTTTCCCATCCACTGCATACAACAAAAAATAAAAGATGAAATACAATAACAACATATAAAACTTAATTAAACGACAACGATAAATATAATATGAGACATACCGCTTCCATGGCAGTAGGCGGTGGCACATAATCATCATCGCTGTGGTCGAGATCTGCGATCAACCTCGGGTGCGAATAACGGTTGAACCACTCCATGTAGTAGTGGTCACACATGGGAGGAACCCCAGAGGGCGGCCGCTGCAACTCCGCGGTCCATGAGCGGGCCACCATCGGAAACTGGTCCCACGTCCCGGTCATGATATCCGACCATTGCACGACGTAGTCCCTCGACGATGCAGGTCGGACCGCCTTCATCGGGCATGCCGGGGGAGGAGGGACAACTTGGACAAATCCAAGCTGGCGAAGACAACGTTGGGGCATGTACGCCTCGACGATCTCACGATACTGAATGAGTCCCGTGTACAGGGTCCTGGGTACCCTAACACTAGGGTTCAGGCCGAAAGGCATCCAGTTCACCTGCACATAGTTTTAAAATTTAATAACATGAATATAATATGTGCAAATAATAAAATGTAGAAACAATTTATAAACGTTACCTCTAAGGGGGACAGCCTGTCCAGCAATAGCCGTATCGATCGGAGGCGGTCAACGGACTTCTTCTCCGAGCGCGGACTCCACGCACAAGCACGCGGCATCCCCTCATCAATAGGAACCGGGTCACGATGTGGTCGCAATGCAGGAAAGTACTCGTATATCCAGGTCTGCAATAGAGTCAGACACCCAGTGATACCTGCCGCATCAGCCCGACTCGCAAATCCTAGTTGGCGATACAAATACGCCAACGTAGCCGATCCCCAGGAAAACTGGCCTACACTGTCGGGGTCACACGCCTCTACTATGTCGTGTGGCCTGAGCTTGTTTCCGCCGCTCTTATCCGAAAACAAGGTACATCCGAGGAGTAGAAAAACATAAGCAGCCAGTTGTGCGTCATGCGTCCTACGTGCACTGGGGTACAAACACCGCTGCAACACGGATGCGATCTTCACACCGCCGTGTTCCCAAACACCAAGCGCCTCGGTGTACAGTGCAGCCCTGTCCACCGCCAACAACTCCGCCAGCAAATCTGCCTGATCCGCATCAGCCACAGCACAAAGTCGTTTACCCTCAACACGAATCCCCAGAATGGCCTCGACGTCATGTAACATGATCGTCATCTCACCGAACGGAAGGTGGAAAGAGTTTGTATCCGGCTTCCATCGCTCAATGAAAGTCGTGATCAGCGTACTGTCAATCTTATCGTGCATAGTGGCAGGAACGTGGTTCACCCCAGTGCCCTCCAGTCGCTCGAACATCTCGCTCTCCGCCGGCCAAGCCTCAGCCCATGTACGCAAAAAGCTACAAGTCTTTTCCCGGGTATGACATTTCAACAACCCCGTAACTGAAGGCCTCTCCTGGTCCTCCCAAATACTGGCAGCTATGTGTCCTAGAAAGCTAGGAATCACACTCCCGTCAACAGGCCCACCGGGCACCTCACTCCTAACAACCCAAGAATCATTAACGACCCTCGACCGTTTCCTGCTTGCCCCAGATACAGTGGACGCAGATGATGTGCTAGACCTACTAACAAACCTACCACCCCTACCCTTACGCACCTCCACCATATGTGTCTCGTACATGTCATTAACCCTCTGACTGAATGGACCGTAATCATCATACGGTCCACTGCCATCGTCCTCATCCTCATCTGCGCCCTCCTCCTGCTCCTCCTGGTCACCCTCCTCAGCATCATCATCGTCATCGTCATCCTCATCCCGACGGTGGATCCGTTCTCTACGAACCGAGGCCGAAATACCACGGGATCTAACATGTCTATGCCCCGACCTCTCCACTGAATAGCTTCTACTAAGAAGCTCTACATTCTTCCCCGCACCATGACGACCCAGTGAATTCTACAAAAAATTTAAAAATATATAAACATACAAAAAATTATACGAAAAATAGCTACCACTACCCAAATCAAATAAACTAAAAACATACTAACAAATTAACATAATAAAGAAATTAACAAAACACTTAAATAAAAATAATAGAATAAAAAATACACTAAGAAAGGAAATAAAACCAACACATAAGAATATATATAAACATAAATAATTCATTCCCAATTAAAATAAATTAACTAACCAAAAACAATATCAAATGAACAAAAAATTGTACTAACAAATTGAAATAGAGAATAAAAATAAAAATGTACAAATAAAAAAACAAATAATTATAAACAAAATATAAACATAGAAAAAATACAACAAAATTGAAAAAATTTATAAAAATAAACAACAAAATATAAAAACAATTGAAAAAGATATTACACAAAAAAAAAAATTATATTTTAATACAAATAAAAAAAAAGGGGGGGGGGGGCGCCTTGGCTGGACGCCCAGCCAGTGGTGGTGGCGCCAGCTGCAGACGCCGCAACCAGTGGGCTGGCGCCTGGGCTGGACGCCATAGCCACGGCTGCTGCGCCTTGAATAAACGCCACAACCGTGGCTATGGCGTCCAGCCCAGGCGCCAGCCTACTGGTTGCGGCGTCTGCAGCTGGCGCCACCACCGCTGGCTGGGCGTCCAGCCAAGGCGCCCCACCTCCGTCACGGCGGTTTTCCCTTTTTTTTTTTTTTTTTTTTTTAACAAATTGTACCTTGCCTCCTTGAAACCTCCTTCCCTCCGCCGCCGCCGCCAATTCCTTGTCTTGCCGCCTCGACATTGCCGTAGTTTGAATATTTTTTTTTTAGAGATGTTGAAAGAAGATGAGCGATGAGAGTGTGAGTAATGAGAGTGTGAGTGTTTTTTTTTTAGGTCAAGGGCAATATTGTCAAATCAAGTGAATTTTGTGGGCTTTATGTGGAGATTTGCGGGCGATGTTTAACAAATCCCTAATTTTAACTTTTAAAAAGAACCATAAACACAAGAATGATTGCAATGAAATTCTAGTTCTAAGTTCTAACCCATGTACCCCAAACTTAGTGTTGTTCTTTTGCAGTTGTCATGTTTTGTGAAGAAGTCATATAAAGTAGAAAAGCAAAACATAATTTGCAATTTCTCGAGTCTTTTCATTACTATCATTCAAATATCTACTAGAATTAATAACCAAAACATAGATGCAAGAAAGATGTTAAGAAACAGGTGCATTGCGGAGTTCATCCTTCATAGAATCGATCAGCTTCTGAAACTCTTGAATTTTATCATCACACTTGGCATTAGTCTCCTTGACAGCCTGCTTAAACTCGGCAACATCGGCTACAGATATTCCAGGACGGGCTTGCTTCTCGAGCTTGCTAGTTTTCCATGCAGCATTCAGAACATCTCTACCTTCTGAAGTCTTTAACCAAATGCAAAACCGGTAAAACTGTCTGCAGGTGTACACATCAGCAGACTGGAACATATTCTTCTTGGTGATAGCCCTGTGCACAACACTACATCGCACAGACTCATCAGGAATCAGAGTAAAGTGTTCAACGGCCTTAATGAACCCCTTGACAGTAAGGAAGCTCCGGATCAGCTCCTCTTTAGTCCAGCTATCGATCTGGAAGGTCTGAACACGAAGAGGCTCCAAAATTCGGCGCAGCTCAGAAGCAAGATCAGTAGCATGGCCAGGCCAATAGGGAGCCGAAGGAGTATTAGCCATTATCACAAACCAGAACTGAAGGTAATAACATTACTAAGTGATACTCACAGATGAAGACAGAATCTGCACAAAATAAGAAAACATAACAATACTTAAAAACAGTAAGGGTGCACCTACACCTACTCATAATCAAAATAGTTTAAACATGCTAAGTGATAAAATATTAAATAAGAGGTGCCCCAAAAGACTAAAACCGCGCATAAGTCAGCCCAACCCAGCTAAACATCCTAGGCTCCGTAAGAGTAAGGGGGGGGGGGGGGCACGGCTACACCTATTAAGTGCCTCTAGTCGGGTTCAAAGTAGTGGCATAGAAATATATTATCACTAGACAAATGCAAGCAACATGTGGTAGCAAAGCGGTAGATACGTCCAAAAGTTTAACAAATATTCTTATATGTATTGGTTTGAACTTTGTAGACACAAACCAATACATTAGCTAGTATATATACAAAGCATACTTATTATACATTTATGCTCCATATTAAAGGCTAGACCAAGTGATAAGAGTTTAGCCTCGTAATAGAAGATCATGAGATTAAATTCCAATAGGGGCTCTTTGGGTGCCTTCAGCTCCTTCGAGGGCTCACATCTTTTTAAGAAAAAAAATATTTATAAAACACACAGAGTATTAAAAAGAAAAAAAAAAATTATAATAGTACTACGTCATATTATTTACAACGATTAGACATTTTCCACTCACACTTTATTTCAAAACGTTACAAATTATATGAAACGGAAATAGTATTTATTTTAGATTTATCGGTGTCAGTTTAAGCTTTTGATGACTATAATGTATTAGTAATTTTGATAAACTTTTTAATATAAAATTCATGAAAAATTGCGTTCATGTATTATTTATGAAACACAACTTCATTGTTTAGGAACTTTATTTAGTTTTCTATCGGGCCACAAAAATGTCCGAGACAACACTGATTTTTTCCATAAGCAATCTTCTCAATTTTTTTTTCACGTTAAGCGTACCACACAAACTGACTAATAGTAATAAATTAATAATCATGATTCAATTTCATAATCAGATGCAACTTAATTACTAATAAAATAGTACCTATAATATACACAAATTATGAAAATGAAACACAAACTGTGTGATGTAAGAACTTCCAAAATGGCAAGGTTAAGAAAATGACTTACTGAGCTTAGTCCTTAAGAGGTAATGCCAGTGGGCGGTGCTGCTGAGGCCGTCCCCTGTCGGCACCGAGGTCGTCTACTCGCCGTTCCAAGTAAAGTGCAGCAAAACCTTGCCCTTATATGGAAGAGTCAAGGTGAGATATTATAGAAAGTGATTGGGTTTATAGAAGTTGAGCGGTTAAGCCATAAATGGAATTTATAGGGAATGGGTGTTTCTGAAAGTCCAAAAGTTTTTAGCCTTTTTACCATTTTGTTTCCCCATGAAAAATGAAAAAATTGGAATCATTTGTATCATGCAAATATGCAATACAGGCTAGAACCGCTTGACCATGCACAAGATATTCTACGGATATTTAATCAACTTTGTCACTTATTACAATCTTATTCCTAACTCATACTCTGTATCAAACACGAGAACACATCTTAATCCTTATCTCACTCACCAAGCACACGCACCCTTTTATCCCACAAACCAAACACCCCGTCTAAGTAAAGTAGACCCTTTAGCTTATTACATTTTTTTCACTTATAGTATGTTTGGATAAAGAAAAGGGAAGGAAAAGAAGGGGAGGGAGGAGAAGTGGAGGAGAAATAAAGGGAGGGGAGGGAAGAATGGTGATTTTTCCTTCCAAATCTCTCCATTGTTGGAGGGATCAATTTCCTATAATTTAATCCCTCCATTTCTCTTCCTTCTAATTCCCTTCCTTCTTCATTTGTTATCCAAATGAACGATGCCCCATCTCTCCATTTCCCTTCCCTTCCTTTCCCTCCATTTCCTTCAACCCAAACACACCGTTAGAGATGTTTTCCTTGTACATTCTTTGCATGAAGAATAGCAGTAAATATATTTAATTTCCTTTCCCAAAAACTACACCATTGTTGACTTAGCAGTCTTAGGACTCTTAGCTCATGAAAAACAATGTGATGATGCTTTGAATTTCCTCCAGATTGAACTTGGTTCTATGTAAGAAATAATTCACTGCTTTTGAACTGTTTGACATGCTCGATTTAAAAAGTTCTGTATAGCACAGGAAGTTCAGGTTTGCCTCTTTCGCTTTGTTTGGATAGGAAACAAGGAAAGAAAGGAAGGGGAGGGATAGAAGAGGAAGGGAAGGAGAAGAAAGGGAGGGGGAGGTGAGCTCCATTTTCCCTCCAAATCTCTCCAATTTTGGAGAGATAATGCTTATTAAAGAGAGAGGGAAATGGATCCCTCTCTCTCCTTTTCCTTCCTTCCAGCAATCCTTTACCCAAACAAGAGAGTTTGTCCCCCTCCCTTTCTCTTCCTTTCTTTTCCTTCTATCCAAACAAAGTGTTTGGGAATGAGATAGAAGTGAGTGATCGAAATATAACACACAAGTATTAAGCAAATCCAGCCTTACATTTCAAAGTATTTATTCAGCATTTCTTTATTTTTCTTCTCTTGCTGACTGAAGACCTCTTACAAGACCTTCCGCGATTGGCTGATTCCCCACGGTCTGAGCATTTCTTCAGTACATTGGACATAGCCTTGGCTTTTTGGATGATGGATTTTCTCCTATCATGGAATGTGTCTACAGCTCCAAATTCATTTGGCAAAGTTGTTGAGGACCGAACAGTAGCCACTAATTCCGAAATTTTTAGAGCCATGTCATGCAATCCCTTCTTTTTGAGCTCACAATGCAGATTCTGGTAAGTAAGATACTTGGGAACACAGCCTCTTTGGATCAATTCCTCAAATTCCACCACAGCTTCCTCCAACCTATGCATTTTACACAACGAGTCAATTAACATAGTGCTTAAATCCGAATCTAAAACATAACCCTTGGATCTCATATCTTTCCTGATTTGCATAGCCAATTCCAATCTCTCCTCCTCACACAACATCTTTAACAACAAATGAAATGTCAGACCATCCGGCTCATAACCAGACTCTATCATCTTTCTATAAAGATTGAGTCCCTCTTCGACTTTCCCATGTTTTAGGTAACACCTAAAGAACCAGTTATATGTCATAGCAGTTGGCAAAATATCTCTACTAATCATCATCCTAAGAATCTTACCTGCCCCGGTGAGATCCCCTGCCTTACAAAACCCTCTAATCAATGAATTATAGGTCGAAAAAGTCGGACCTGCCTCTAGAACTAGAAACCTCTCCAACACCCCTAAGGCCTCCTTCAACCTTCCTGCTTCTGCTAATGCATCCACTAAAGGACCATACACCGCCTTGTTAGGGGCAACACCGTCTTTCCTCATTTCACCGACTAACTCTAGTGCCCTATCAACATTACCCATCTTACAATAACCATCAACAACTATACCATAAGTAACAACCTCCGGAACCAATTCTTCTCCCCTCATTCGAAACCAAAGCCGTTCCACCTGTTTTATGTTCTGTACTCGAAACCACCCTTTAAGTAGCATATTATACACAGTAATCGATGGAACCCAACTGGGATCCAAACACATTTTCCTATCTATAAGATCAGAAGCCACCCTAACATGACCATGTCTACACAAAGCATTTAACAACAATTCAAACACATCAATTTCCAAAGTATTAGCAAACTTAAACACATGAATAGCATCTAATACTTTACCTAAACGAGCATAATGTCTAATCAAAACCCCTAAATTTTCAGCAGAAACTAATTCAGACCCATCACCCCTCTTAAGCTTATCCATCATTATCATCAATACCCACATAAATTCACCTGATTTTGCAAGGATATTTACCATTGAATTAAAGATTGGAGCAGAAATATGATACCCAGGTGGACTGTCTAACCATTTGAAGGCTGAGAAAATCCGATTCAGCGACGAATCAAACTTCTTGAAGATTGCCAGCAATAAAGACGAAGAGGGTTCAATTTTAGCTTCTTGAAGAGCATTGACGAAGTCTGAAATGGACAAAAAATTGGGATTTTTGAGGATGGTGCAGAGAGTATTGGAATCACTCTCTGAAAAATTAGGGTTAGGGTTTATCGGAGAGGAGAGAGAATGAAGTAATTGAAACCTTGGTATTACGAATTTAGCTTGATTGCAAAATGACGATGAATTAAAGGGTAATTTGGGGGTGAAATTAGGGATTTTTGGGTTTGAATTTGAGATGAAGCGGATTAATTTTGGAGAGAGAAAGATGAGAAATGGAGACATTCTGTATTCATGAATTCCCGCCAGCTTCCAGATTACCGTTGAAGTTCGTTAGAAATGTTATTTATAGTTAGACCTATTTTATTCGAGTAAAATAAAGTACTAATCCTGATGTTAAGCCCGTGAGTTGCCTGAGTTGCTTGTGTCTCACAAATTTGTACTACAGAGCACTACATTGTAAAATGTGGTTGATTTCTTTACCTTGATTAAAAAAATCATGAATTTTTACTCTGCTTATTATAAATACTAGATTGTACCCGTGTTAATGCACGAGATATATAAATGTTAGTAGGGGTGTAGTTACAAGTTAAAAAAACGACATTCATATTGTATATAGATATTTAAGAGTCATTTTGAAAACAACTCTTTTTGTTTAACATGAACTAAAACATGATTTATTTTTAGCTTGTGCATATTCTCACACAGGTAATGTTCTTGGTGTCAATCTTTATGCCTAGAACAAGAAAAGCTACACTTATATTAGTATAAATTGTATAAATTGAATGAAAATTTTATATGTAGTATTGTAGGCACGTAAAATTTATACATGTGCCACGTCGGATATATACGGGTCAAAAGTCAAATTATTGACTTCGTGTTATTTGAGTGTTTATTTAAATTAATTATTTTGGGTGAAATAATTAAAATTAGCTCATATTAATTAATTTATTTAAATATATTCTTTTTTTTATGTTGAAAACCCTATAAAAAGGTTAGGCCATTACAAGTGAGTTATATTATCCGACCCAACTCCAATGTACATCAAACCCTAACCCTAGGGGTACCTCACTCTATAAATAGGGACTCTTTCTACTCCATTTGGGGAGGAGAAATCCAAGAACACTACATCAGAAAACAGAGAAAACCTCTCCAAACTCCAAACCTCTCTAAAGAAAACCTCTCAAACCTAGAGGGAGAGCAAGAAACATTCGACATCCCGTTCTACTCTAGAAGATCATCCGTGGAAGAGATTTAGCCTCGATGGCCCTCAACACAGGAAAAGAAGAACTTCGAAACATCAAGAACATCACCAGTTCAACCTCTACATCAAATAGTCATTGATCGAGATCAAGCCTCGTCGGCCCTCAATCAAGAATACAAGTCAAAGGTCTATACCAACTATCTTCGACCAAGATCAAGACTCGACGGCCCTTTAATCAAGAATCAAGTCATCCCGTGGAACACGTCAAAGTCAAAGTGGCGATCGAATCAGAGGAACAAATTAGAGATTGTACCCAAAATTATCAAATTAATAAAATTAATACTTCGTTGCATTTATTTTGAGTCTATATTTGCATATTTAAAATTTGTGTTTACAAATTTGGCACGCTCGGTGGCACGATTTCTACCTCTCATCTCTTTCTTTACGAATCGAAATGACAAAGCACCTTCAACACGTTGAAGAAATGATGACGAAGGACAACGCACAAGACAACGTCATTGTAAATGTCATGGCAATCGAAGCAAACACTGTCAAGGAGGAGTTAGCAAATATGAAGCTTCTTCTTGAGAAACTTGTCAAAGACAACAATGAAAAGGGAGCACAAATCAAATTCCAAAGCGAACAGATTGCTGCACTCAAAAGAAGACTCGAGAAGCGCCCAATCGAAGAAATTAAAGTGAAGGTGATAGCAACGGGTCAGAACTTAGCACAAAGACAAAGCTTAGTTCAAAAAATGAAAGGCCGCATGGTGATTCGTTCAGCTTCCAAGCAATCCAAGAGATGATAGCCAATGCTATCAAATAACAGCTTGGTAGAGATGTCAACAAAGATGGTCGCTACAGCAAACCTTACACCAAGAGGATTGACAAGATGAGAATACCAAGCGGTTATCAACCATCGAAATTCCAGCAAATTGATGGGAAGGGCAACCCCAAGCAACATATTGCACACTTCATAGAGACATGCAATAATGCTGGGACCTCGGGAGATTTGCTTGTCAAGCAGTTTGTTTGCTCTCTCAAGAGTGTTGCTTTCGATTGGTACACAGGTCTTCCTCGAAAATCCATCGACAATTGGGAGAAAATGTAAGAAATTTTCCTCGATCGCTTCTTCGGCACACGTCGTACTGTCAGCATGACTGAGTTGACACAAACCAACCAGTCGGATGATGAGCCAGTAGTGGAGTACATCAATCGATGGCGAGGATTAAGTCTTCAATGCAAGGATCACTTGTCCAAAACTTCTGCAGTCGAGATGTGCATCCAAGGCATGCATTGGGATCTTACTTACATCTTGCAAGGAATTAAGCCCAAAACGTTCCAAGACTTGGCAACTCGAGCTCATGAGATGGAGTTTTCGATAGCCAGTCGCGAAGATGGATCCGAATAGGCGACTGTCTGAATCCTTGGGGGCAAAGAAAAAATAAGTCCTCGAAGCTCCTAAGTAAGAGCCTAAACTGCATAACAAAAAAAAAATTCACATAATGAACTACGTTTGGCTTGATCCAAAAAGTAAATTTCAATTACTTATTGGTACGCAGGCATCTTGGATGTATAAAAATTTATTCAAGGCCAGCCATGAAAAAAAAATGCAAGATTGGGGGCAAGTTTCAAGTTGTTTCCACCAAGTTGAATTATGTCATCTATTTGAAGATTGGAGAAAGCTTTCAAGCACCAATACTTCACCTAACTTACTGGAAAATCTGGAGAAAGCTGCAAGCATAGGAGATTCGTATATTGTTAAACATGGACATTGGAGAAAGCTTCCAAGCACCAGCGGTCCACCAAAAATTTTGAGATCTAGAGAAAGCTTCTAAGCACCAGAGATCATCAACTCAACATGTTGGACATGAAGATCGGAGAAAGCTAACAAGCACCGGTCCACCAAAGTTCTAGAGGTCTGGAGAAAGCTTCCAAGCACCGGAGATTAACTCAAAACATTAAACACAAAGGTTGGAGAAACCTGCCAAGCACCAATACTTCACCCGACAAATTTTGAATATCAAGAGAAGGCTACTAAAGCACCAAAGATCTGCAAATTAAAAAAAAAAAAAAAAAAAAACTTGCCATCATGTGAAAATGGTTGGCAAAGTAAATAAAGTGTTATCATGATCATCACTTTTCAATTAAAAAAAAAACAAATAAAAAAAATATGGAGCAGCCATGATGCAGTGACAAAATTCATGGAGCAAAACATGCGTTTTAACGGCTTCCTTCTACATAGTGTCCAGAGTTTTGATGAATTGCAAGGCTGTTATGGTGAAGGTTGCGGGGCTCAAATATCGGTTATAGAAAGCTTCAAGTAGCAAGGCTCAACTACACAACGCCGGAATATCAAGACTTGGGTCGTGTGACTATGGACTTGTGAGGCTTGGCACCATGTTGCATGATCAAGTGTCTTTTGAGGTAGATGGTTGGCTCCTCATGGCTTCAAGCCTTCAAGTGTCGGACAACAAGCTAAGGACTCTTCATAAACAAGAAGCTGTGCATCTTGTGGGTATGGGAAGGACTTCAAAGTCTATCTTCAACAAAGTCAAGAATATCTCACATTAAGATAAAGAAGCCAAATACCTCATCATTCTCGTGGGTATTAGAATTTTAAAAGTTTGATTTGAGTTTGTTACATTATCAAAAGCTTAGCTAAGCAGTTCGTGACTTTGTTAGTGTTGATAGGCTTTAGCTTGTTGACAACATTACTAGCTAGCAAGTGTACTCACAACCCCCCCAAAAGAGAAAAAAAATAAATAAAAAATAAAAAAGGATTTCGCGAGCTCGATCACGATCAAACACTCCAAAGTCGTGTCCGTGACCGATCTCGAAGGGAGCAATTTGTAGGCACGTAAAATTTATACATGTGCCACATCGGATATATACGGGTCAAAAGTCAAATTATTGACTTCGTGTTATTTGAGTGTTTATTTAAATTAATTATTTTAGGTGAAATAAATAAAATTAGCTCATTTTAATTAACTTATTTAAATGTATTCTTTTTTTTTAATGTTGAAAACCCTATAAAGGTTAGGCCATTACAAGTAAGTTATATTATTCGGCCCAACTCCAATGTACATCAAACCCTAACCCTAGGTACCTCACTCTATAAACAGGGACTCTTTCTACTCCATTTGGGGAGGAGGAAATCAAGAACACTCCCTCAACAGGAAAAGAAGAACTTCGAAACATCAAGAACATCACCAGTTCAACCTCTACATCAAATAGTCATTGATCGAGATCAAGCCTCGTCGGCCCTCAATCAAGAATACAAGTCAAAGGTCTACATCAACTATCTTGCCTCGACGGCCCTTTAATCAAGAATCAAGTCATCCCGTCAGAGGAACAAATTAGAGATTGTACCCAAAATTATCAAATTAATAAAATTAATACTTTATTGCATTTATTTTGAGTCTATATTTGCATATTTAAAATTTGTGTTTACAAGTATATATATATGAGCATGAATATAGGTTCAATTAAAAGTTATAAATAAATCTTTTCTCCGTTCCTTGTTGACAAGGAGGGGTCATAACAAGTACAGTTTATTAATGTGTCAGACCTGTTAGTCACATACATGTAATTACAACCAAGAACAATAATATCTTGATCTTTCTTGGGAAAGTTAATCTCCTTCATCTCCTTTGGAAGTTGAAGGATTTAATGGCGAAACCAAAAGTGATGGCAAAGACCACACAGAAACTGGGTACCACGATTGCAGCAATAACCAGAAAATCATGCCTGTACCCATATTGATCTTTTAGCAACTGCCTCACAGGCACTGATCGAATACCATCTGCGAGCATCACTGGGTCATCTATGGTCCCGTATTGAGATGTTAGAAGGCCATATAAACTCCATGCTATCGGATTTGCCCAATAATACCACCTCCACCACACCGGGATCCTCTGGATCAAGAAGAAAGTGTTAGTTTTGATTTCATAACCAAACATTGCAGAGATACAAAACAAAACTCAGGTCAAGGTCATCATCAACTCATCATTATACCAACTTACAGAAATGCAGCCCTGAAACCAACATATACATCAAAAAACTAACAATAGATTCGCTTCTTTTATCACATGATCTTATAATTAAGCG